TGATGGTGGATAAGGAATGTCAGCGCGAGTAGGGGATTCGTCGTCATCCTCTTTTTTTATCATCTGGTCAAACTCCTGCAGGAGAGTATTTTGGCCTGGGGCCGGTGGGTTTTTGACGTCTTCATCCCCAAGCTCGCCTCTCACATCGGCTTCGAGGGCCTGCTCCATTGGGAGCTTTCCGAGCCTAAGCCTGGGCAAGGTTCCGGCCATAGCCGGGTTATCACCTGTATAGGCAGAGCCAGGGTGATGTCCAGGTATACCTTCGTCTTCAGTAGGGAACGTCTGGCCTGCGCCAGCTTGACCCAGCATGGCGGCGAAGCTGAATCTATCGTCGACGGCACGTTCCTTGGTGATGATAGTGCAGTAGCTGCTCAGAATGGCAGACATGACGGAACCACCCTCCTTTTGCTTGCTCTCAAGGAACTGCATAAGGTTCGAGAACGCCGGGTTGCTTAGAACAATGCGATATTTGTTCCCACGATACAGTTTAGCAGTCGAATTATCTTGAACATGCTCTGGGAGAGCGATTGGCTCTAAAGCGCGAACATCCTCAGTGTGTTCAGGCAGAAAAAGGTTCTTGTTAATATCGAAGAATTGCTTCGCATCTTGAGGGTAAAAAGATGTGACCATATTGAGGAAAGAATAAACAAAGAGCGGCCAAAGAACGCGTCTAAGCTCCGGCTACAGAGGGTCAGAAGTAGTCTTTACTTCATGCGAACAGTATTCATACCTTATATAGGTCCAGGTTGTCTTCAACCCAGACTTTGAGCAGGTCTGTCGCCAAGTTAATTACACCGTACTAAGCTTGGCGTACCATTGCTTACCGAAACCAAGTCTGTACTTGGGACGTGCATCTTCTCCGAGAGGAGGTAAAGGGCGACCATCTATTTCTTGATTCGCCGATTCCATGCGAAGCATGGCCTCAGTACGACTATAGCCCTTCTTGGCCAAGTAGTCGATGACCTAAGGCGGAGGACGTCAGCATGAAGTTGACAGCATAGCTACGTGCGAGTCTGGCAACGAAACAAACACAACATTAAAAACAGAGCTAAGATGGAGCCCATATACAAGGTTCCAACGTGGTATACATTAGGTCCAAGCATGAAAGTAGAAATGTCACTTTGAACTTAAGTTGAGACATAGTATATCAATGGCACAGATGGCAGGCAGCTCCACATTTATGGTTTACCAGGGCCGCGGGAACGCATACACCATGGGACACGTAATTGAGCATCCAAATATAATCGCACAGCGACTACTTACTATCTGGTTCAAATTCTGCTGAGACATCGCACCACTGGGAGGAGGTGGAGGGGGACCCGGTGTTGGCGCAACTGGGGTAGTAGCGCCCATTGACTGTTGAGGAGGCATTGACATTCCACCGCCAGGCCCCATGCTTCCACTTCGGGGCACAGGACTCGGGGCCCCGCCTGGAGCAGACATGGCCCTAGATATCTAGTTCAAGGAGGCGAAAATGCCTAACCTGAGGGAAATTATGGGAAGATAGTGAGCAGAGGGATGGTGAAGGTCAAAGTAAACGGGAGCTTTTGCGGCGTCACGTTCTGATATTGCACTATATCACTTTGGGATTAGTTTAGTTCCCCGGCTTAAGTAATCCGATTCTAGTGTTCCCCAGGCCCGCGCACGTGATGCAAGCTTAGCTGCCTTCACACCTTCATATTCCAGTGCTAGACGGAGCCTTACCTTTTGTATCGGCCGTTTCTCTTGGATTCATACACAAGCGCAACAATGGCGGACAGCAAGGAAGCCGGAAAACCAGACCAACTTTTCACATCGGCGGATCGCATACGCCAATTGAACGAAGTGGACAAGGTAAGAGGCGCTTCGAGCGGAGAAGCAGTGCTTCGAGCGACAAACAACTAGACCGTCATGAAAGGCCCAATTGCTCACTAGTGCTTCACAACTACAGGACGTGGCAAGACTAATTCATTCTGCTGGCCTCGCGATACAAGCCCTCACGAACGCCAGATCCAGCGACTCGGCAGGAGATAACTCCCTCGATTCCCACAAAGCTCGTTTCAAAGAAGCTACCTCGCAATATTTTGCCCTCCTGTCGTCTATCGACGTGCGATTGCGCCGTCAGGTCTACGCCTTGGAAGAAGCTTCTATACTTGCTCCGGATTCGTCCTCCAGGACAGGCGATCTACCTGGCGCGAGCGGGGGAACTGCGGCAGCGGCAAACCCGCTGGATGTCAGTTGGCTTAACAGCCGAAAGGATACTGTAGGCAAGGACAAGGAGGCAGAGCTTTGGGCGGCTGCAAGAGGATTTGTCGAAAAGATTAGCAATCCTGGGGTGAAGTCCGAGAATAATCGTGAGGGGATGGAAGTCGATTAAGCATGCATTTCACATGCACCCCACTTCGAAAGGAACCTACCGGTGACTCCCAAACATTGGATACGGTTGTTACAATATGGTGATCGATCTTTGTCACCTTCATTGTATGCGCAACGGTCCATCCCAGGGAGCATTCCTAGTCTCACCTTTACCTCTCTTTTTACTGTCTTGCCCAAGACTCACAATGAGCCTCGGCATTTATGATACCCAAAGCTACTGAATCAGAGATTCTGTCGATTTTAATATTAAAGACCTTGCGCAGGGATCCAAAGTAGGTTCTGCGGCATAAGGTTGATCCCGCAATTTGTACTTCTGTTACGGGCCTGCAATTCTCGATATGCTAGCATTATCGAAACAATGTGAGTCTTAGATCTCCAGGAACCTTAGCTCGAATCTACATACAATAGGCTAGAAGTGCAATGTTGGAAGGCGCAAAATCGAAGATACACAACATACTACTACCGTGACTACTGTAGTAGCTAGATAGTGTTGGCAGTCACCAGTGACTACCTGTGCATGGACATAATCATCTCTCGCTGGGTAGCGCGCTCCTTGCTTGCTTCCGACAGGGAAGCCAGGCCTATGACATATTAGTGCATGGTTATAAAACGGTAAATAAGGGAAGCTTACTCCGGAGTTCGCCCACAACATCCTTCGCTTTGCCAAAGTAGACCTCCTCTATACGCACAACGAGGTCAGTGCATCACTCAGAGATATACAGTATGTACGGTGCAGGACAAGAACTGTGAAACATACGCAGCAGGTTCCTCATTTTCAGCTCCATATCCTCAACGAGTCGACCAACATTGGCAACGTGGCTTGCATCGGACTCAACCGGCAAGTCCACCTCCACTTGTCGGGTCATGTTACCACTCAGGTCCATTTCGCCCAGAGACTCGGTCTCGCTGGCCAAATGGAGGATAACAGTGCTGGTCAGCTTGTAGTGGGACATACGAGCCCGATCGGTAGCTTCAAACACGTGGATGCTGTCCCATTCTCCCGAGCTCTTCGCACCCGGCGTTACCCCTGAGATGCATCAGCACAAGATCCACCACAATCTCACTCTCTCCCCCAGTATTAAAGTCAATCACCAACCCTTCTTCAAAAGTATGACTCCGGCGAAACCATCGTCCAAATCCCAGAAATAGACGCTGCCTACACCACCCTCATAGTACAGCTCCCGGTAGACGTCGAAAGCCTCATTAGCCGCCACTTCGAGCTTTCTCACCCTCTCGCTTGGGACGGTTCCATCATCCAGTGGAGGATCGAACTCGTTGCTCCAAGGGGAGCGGTAGCTATCGCCATCCCGGTTGTAGTCGCAGAGCAAGTAGTCACGGTTGGTTTTGGAGCACCGGCGGATCTCGAGGGGCTGGTCAACGGAGGAAAGGAGGTCTTCGGTGAGGTCAGGGACAATAGACGTGATCGCCTGGAGGTTCTGCTTGGTGTCCCGAGGGTTCAAGCGTCGCAGGAGGTCTCTGGTTGCAATTACAGTCAGCTCTCGGCTTGAGGTGGGGTACGGGGTTGGTTTGGTTTTCGTAGATCGAGAGGTGTGGCATGCATGTTGCAAATGTATGCATTTGCATGGAAGGCGTACTTACAGCGCACTGTCAAATTGAGCGTCAGCCATGGTTGGTAAGCTTCGGCGAATGTTTGGTTGGTATTGTTGTTTACTCTGTTCTCCAGACCGATCTCAAGTTGGCCGAAACGGAGGTGCGTCGTCGGGTGGGTGGGGCCGTGGCAATTGTCTTGTAACCTTAAACCTAAGGGTGCATAACTGATAGCGCATGACTGTTTCGACGATGGGCTTGCATCTTCGCCTTGAATGACGATTATTTGAGTATTATACTGTTCCAGATGCATCACCACGACAATCCTTCCAAGATCCTCTAGATATTCTTCCAATGTAGCAAGTAAATATCCGATTTTAGGTCAGCTTTAGTGCAATGTGTCCATAGATACTCATATCCTTGTGCTCAAGCATGGGTCACATCGCATAGATATCTTTAATGGAGGTTGTTATACAATGACCATTCATTCGATACGTTCGGTTTCATTGGTAGGTAAAGTATTCGAGGTTGGTGTGGTGTGAAGTACTAAGTTGTTGCAGATGACCATCGAGTAGATAAATATCCCTAGATGTACTCCGTACTGGAACTTCTTTAATACCTTGGATTTCCGTATTTAGCGACCTATCTAGTACAATGCTCATGAATATCCAAAGCATATCTAACACTATTTCATAGATACTACATAGCTTATGATAAAAATATTCACATGGATTCTCTATCTATAAAATGGCCAGGGAACTGAGTGAGAAAGCCAACCATTCTGCTGACGACAGGAATCCCTGCAATGACGTTTCCCTTCCATCCATCTGTTTCCTGATCTAACGAACGGTAGAGGAAGAGTGGTATATATATCTCAGTGGATTATGTCTGTGAGATACCGAGCCATTTGTCTACCTAAAATTTGATAGATACGAGAAAACGCAGCGTCAAGTCTTCAGTCTGGAATACCAATGTCTCTCGGACAACCTTGTCCATTGGGTTTCCAACTAGTTTCACTCTCAAGTGCATAGCCATGACTCACTGGCAGATCAAGCCTTGCAGCGTTGCTGACGCCCCTGCTTTAGCATATAAATAACATGTCAGCCTTCTGGGAAGACCCGACATGGATTCTCTTATGGCCCAAGGAAGTCACACTGGAATTTCTAATTGAGCAATGTACGAAACGCTATCCCAATATCCTACAGCGTGCACGCCAGGAGGTCCGCCATCAGAAGGCTACTGACCTGCTTACCGGCGATCTTGTCGGATATGCCCGATGGATACTGCCTCCTACCCACTTTACTGCAAAAGGTGGGAGCTCACAGTGGTGGGTGCTCAAGTTCCGGATGTTAGTGATGAAGAGAAAAGAAAGTTCCAGCAGTTAGCAGAGTCCGCGTGGTGGGATGGTAGAACCGATATGCGTTCTATCGATGACATCAATGACGCAGTAATGGACCGTATACTCGTGCAGAGGCCTTATATCAGTAAGTGCGATCTATTTTTGTTTTCAAGTAAACCCTAGCAACGTTTTGTTGCGAGGAAAGATGGTTAATTACCTTCTAGAGCTTGACTATCTGGCTGTTCATCCCAGAAATAAAGGCAAGGGAATTGCTACAGCACTTGTTGCAAGCGGCATTAGAGCAGCTAAATCTATCAACGTGCCCATCGTTACAATGTCTTATAAAGCAGGACGTGGGGTGTATACGCGTCTAGGGTTTGAGGAGGTTGATCGGGTGATTCAGGATGACTCGCAATATGGTGGCGCTGGTGAATACGGAGCTTACTTTATGATATATGATACCAATAACTAAATCCAAGGATACTATGTATCAAGCTTCATGGTCGCGAATATTTTAGCCTCCTCTTCCTCTTCCTTCTCTTCCTTAAGGGATTCATTCTGGCACCTTCTAACACATATGATTACATGTCCCAGCCTCTTCCTAATACCCAGATGCGAATCCATCATGTCGCAGTGTTAAGTGTCGCTTATCTCTCTGACGTATTCTGCATAGTAATAGGTAAGTTGCCATCAAAAGTAATTTCTGCATAGGCATACTCCTCAATATAAATTATACGTTATAATGCCAAAAACACTGGAAACCAACGGGGTTGGCCAATGTAATCCTTGATTCTATTATTGTGTGCTCATAGACCAGTCCTTTGATTTTCTATACATGAGAAATTGCAAACATTTACTTTCGAAGGATACTAGTAGAGCTTATATTGTTGATAACTGGGTATATAATACTTTCAAATGTTAAACCGGGACTGATATCAATATATATAATACGTGCAGTGAATGGTTGGCCCCAGTGAGAGACTCCAGGATCTCCAATTTAGTCAATCCTTTTTTAAGCACGAGGGGAATATCGATGCGACATATACAATGGTGATTCCCATGGCGCAATACAAAACGTAGACGTACCCGGCGCAGGGGAGTGCACCAGGCTCGCTCGGGTCGAAGTTGCAAAATGTCGGGGATATCGCTATCACCCAGGTAAATGGCCCGGGTCTATCCTCATTTGAATGTAGGGAGGACATTATGGGGAACTGGTGTTTAGAATACTTGCTATCACTGTTGTCGATCTTGCATCAATGGCTGCGCGGGCGACATTGCGGTGCATGCCCAGTTGTGTGTTTTTGATATCTGAGCAATACCGCATTATCAGTTATGTTTAAAATTAGTAAATGGATTCTATTCACGTACATGGACTATGCTATCTCTGTCAAATTTTGAAATAGACGCTGCATGGCGGACAAGTCGAGAGCTCGGTGTTGCTGGCCATTCTTCTTTTGCGTCAGGAGTTGCAGGAGAATTGAAGCTCTTATCCGAGAGGAATTTGCAGCCACTGCTTTGATAACACCTTCTGTAAGAGGTAAACTTCCCCCCCTATTCTCCAATATAATATCCAATATCGAACTTGGTGCGTCTGGGCCAGGATTCGTGGCTGCTGCTATGAGAACTGCCTCCGTGATTGGCAGGCTATCCCCCTTCTGCTTAAATAGATACTGTATGATTGATGCTCCCTCTTTCTGATTACCCGCTGCAGCTGTGACGATATTTTCGGTGATAACAGGGTATTCCCTCTCTCCTTGAATAGAACTCCCAATACTCCTCCATATCCAGTGTTACCTGCTGCCGCCTTGACGACCTCCTCTGTGATGGGAAGGCTGTCCCCCCGTTGCTTGAAAAGAAGTATCACCGCATCTTGCCCATCAGGATTCCCTGCCGCAGCTCTGACAACTTGTTCTGTAATGGGGAGGGTGTTCCCCTTATGCTCAAAAAGGACCTCTAGCAAATCAGCGCTTAGCTCGGGATGGTCTGCCACTCTCCTAACTATGTCTTCCGTGATAGGTAGAATATTGCCCGCTTGATTCAACAGAGCTTTCATTGCTGAAGCGCCATCTGGTGCTCTGCCAATGCCGCAGAAGTCGGACGTCAACACATTATACTTAGACGGAACGGCTATTGTAAGGATATCATGCAAGACAGTGAGATTAGGTGGGCCATGCTCATGGTGAAATCTCGCATTCGAGGGTTGTGAGTTATGTGACTCCCGCGGAACTGTTGCTCGATTCTTTACTTGCAGACCGTCCAGTGTAGGAGCCCAGTCCCACTGGAGAACGAGGTCGTGAAGAACGCTCGCTTCCGAAGGAGTCCCTTGTGGAACCCATCCCCTCGTATCATGTGTAGCTTTGTGTCGTGGAACCACGCTGCTCATAATAATTTTTAGTCCACTATTCGATATCCTTACAATAGTTGGAGCCGAAGCCCCCTTAAGCAGGCAGACAATGTCACCCGCGCGAATCGGCTCCGCCGGGGTTTGGAGCAGCCACTGTACACCGGAATTCATGTATTGGTACAGTGTCTCTACTGTATCGCGGAATAGAACTTTCACCTCCTGTCTGTCATATCGTGAGCCAGGCATTGTGACCGACTTGATAATCCCCAGCACATAGCCCTTCCCTCTAATAATTGCTGCTTCTCGGTCAGGCCACGTCTTGACGGAAATATCTGGCGAGATAATATATTTGATCACGCGCTCGAAGACCTTATTCCACGGGAGCTTGTAATCTGGCCTCAGAGCCTCTGTGTCGGGGTCATCGGAACACATGCCGAGCAACGCGTATACTTTATCATGCAAGCAGGAGGCATGGCGTGAATGATACATATCAATCAGCTCACCTATGGACAGTGTGCCGCGTGTGTTGAATCGATAACTAGGCCGGAAGACTGCATCTTTAATCAGGTGATACGCTGACTGCACCAAGCCTTGGAGCCTCGGGTGGGCTGTGCGAAGAACTTCTAAGCTCTGCAAGCCCGAGATAAACGCGTAACCATTCATCTCCACAGAGCCACACATGACTACAATGTCCCGGGCCAGCGCCACCTCCTGGAGTACCTATAACAGTCTAGTTAGGAAAGATCCATCAAATCTCGGTTGCAGGGCATCCTACCCAAATTCGTTGAAACCAGGGGCGTTGCACCAGCGCCAGCGAGGACGGAATATACTTCTCACTGTCTGATCTATCACGATAGTAGCTTTTAGACACGGGGTCTAAAGAAGCATCTTCTGCGGCTTTGCGTATGGCTGCCAGTGCGTCACTGCTTTGATCCGCCTCCTCTCCCAGCCAAACTATGACTCTCCAAGCTTCACCGTAGATTGTTCGCATCAGCTGGATTTGGTGGGATTTCTCCTGGTCGTCTTTTTGATTGATACAGATGGCATCAATCCATAACAGACGTGCCACACTATGGTTCCTTAGACGCAGTAGCACTGTATGGAGGTTCCCAGTGACATGAAAAGGTCTACTGCCTATGGATATAGTTTGTGGCTCGCCTCCCTTGCCCCATACATAGGATAGGGCTTCATATGGATGTTGTCCCACGGAATCTGTCAGAGTATATTCGATGAGTTCGCATTCCACACGGGCAGCCTTATTCTCATGCGGTAATAAACGGAGGAGGCGAATCTTGTTGGAGCCCTTGGCGAGAGGGCGATAGGTGTATTGGGCCATGCCCAAGGAACCACCAACGTGTGAGTGACCAAGAACCCTCTGCCACATAATGTATATATAGAATCATGTTTGTCATTTTGGCTCAGCTGGGAGGCAGGACCTCATAGCCGCCGGACACATTCCACTAATGCACGCTGGGTAGCCTCACTACCATTCGTGGACCAATAAGATTGCAGCACTTGCTGATGATATGTTGTTGCACTAAGGATCACGATGCTCCATATTTATCTAGCGACCGAGCGACACCAACCATGCTGCGTAACCAGCAAAGAACGAAAGCTTCTGGGCTGCAGCGGGGCCTTCGTTCTTCCTGACGTCCATTGCAAATCACTCTATCGCATCGGCCGCATATACCCTGCAATGTCTCCCGTGGATATCTCACAGATACAGCAGGCTCACCTGGCGACGAGTGCTGATTCCAACAGCGTCTCCGATAGCGACGGCGGATCTCTGTGGTGGCTAAAATAGCCGATCTCAGGTTCGGGATCTACTTAATGCCAACAACATCCGGACCTCACACTGCCCACGGAGGAGGTCTCGGCAAGTATTTGCGCGTAGGCTAAAATACTCGTCGATGTGCGACTCGAGAACAATTGCTTGACACTGGTGATTGTGTATCTGATCCTCAGTACCTTCGTTGGTGATAGTTGTGACGAGTTGCCCTTCAGTTGTCTGGGCACTCTCGCAAGTAGCAACATATAAAACAGACGCTGGACGACGCACCACCTTGATATTCCTAGTGTTTTTTTTTTTTTTTCATATGCTCTACCATATCAAAGAGAGGCTATTCAAGAAAGCCTACTCTCGGCACATCGTAAAGGAGAATCCCGATAAAATGGATGGAAGAGGAACAAGGGTTGAGGACAATGGGCAGCCAAAACCGCCAGCAGGGATCAGTCCGTCTTTCCCCCTTGTCAAAAGACCTTCTCATCCTACTTTGACTTCCGCCTTCATCTCCATTACCATCCCATCAACCCCATCAGTCTTTTCTTCGCGCAAACATCTACTAGTCAGTGGCCATGGCTTCCGAAACACCCTCGATCGTGCTCGTCCAGGGCTCCTTTCAGACTCCACTCGTCTACGCCCAGTTGACGACTCGTCTTCGCGAGCTCGGATACCCAGTCATTCATCCACCGCTCCCCAGCTGTTCTGATGTGGAGGCGAATGACTTTCCCACCCGCACGCTGGCGGACGACGCACGCGCCATCACGGAAACCCTGGAGCAGCTGGTGGGAAAGGAAGAGAAGTTGGTCGTTGTTGTCATGCATTCCTACGGGGGCATTGTGGGCGGTACAGCTATTCCCAGGTCTCTCACCCATGCTTCGCGTCAGGCCGAGGGGGAAAAGGGCGGTGTTTTGCATTTATTCTATTATGCTGCCTTTGTTCTACCTGAGGGCGCGTCGGTGATGGGAACGCTTGGCGAGTCTCCGAATATTGATGTTGGGGTATGTCTTAGTTTTGCTTTGATTGATAAGCTAAGTTTCCTTGTGCATCGCTAAGCTAAAATCCTTTTCCATTTTTCTCCAGCCAGACGGTCGCTTCCGCATCAAAAACGGAGCAAAAACTCTCTACAGCGACCTCCCAGATGCCGAGGCAGCCTTATGGGAGTCACGCTTGATCCCCCAGTCTTGGTACAGACCACGCCCACGACTCACGCGGCTTATGAGTACCTCCCGTCCACTTACCTGATCTGCGAGGGGGACCGGGCAGCACCCGCACAGTTCCAAGAAGGATTCGCCAATTTGGCCAGGGCTGAGATTGATCGCTGTAGCGCCGGCCACTCTCCAATGCTGAGCCAGCCAGACATGTTGGTGGGGAAGATTGCAGCTGTGGTGGACAAGGCGTCGGCAGGAACAGCCTGAATCACTTTGATATCGAGATATAGTTAGTCTCTACTACTTTTAGCGGCTGTCGGACTTGAGTACGATTGTTAATCAGGATGCCGAGAGGATTGACAAGGCTGACTCTTTCCGATTTGAGAGGCTTACTTGGTTTCTGTTTTGGTATACGTGCATACATTGTAATCTCCTTTAGCAGGATCTCCCAGGAACTTGAACTGGGTTTAGTTAGTGACTCAGTGGGACTCGCCCACCTCGCTCACCTTACTCACCCATAAAGCAGCAACTTATAAAGGGACTCATTTTCCAGTCGGCCGCGTTCAATATGTGGCTTCAGTACGGTATAGTACAAATAACGACCGAAGAGAAAACCCGGCCAAGAAATCTAGCCTGACAATCTCTGCGCTCCGATTGGGGAAGTGAAACCAAGTTCAGAACTGGACGGTGAAGAAGTGAGGCCCAAGCAAGACGTATTTCAGGCCACGCCAACTTCAGCGAATATCGTATCATCACGCCCTTTTCCTCCTCACAATCTGATAAACGGCGAGCTAAAACAGGACGAGCCGCCTTACGACTAATTAACCCATCATTTCGGAAGTGCAAGCAGGCGACTTGCACTCATACATCAGGGAATAGCTGCAAGAAATCCGGACGTCATGGCAAACTCGGTTCCGGTCCGGATCGATCTTCTCATAGCACCGCCCAATCTTGTTGTTCGGGCTCTCCTCCCAGTACACATTATAGTCGGACCCATCACGGACGTAGCGGAATTTCTTGCCCGCACGGTTGCACGGGTTATGCGAGTCCATGCGCCTCTCACGGTAACTGTTATCCCAATTGGCCCCGTTCCCTGAGCAAGGATCGCCGTTCACCGCAGCGCCACTGATTGTGTACGAGCCGGAGAACCCGTAGCAGGTTGTGGTGTATAGCTCCCAGTCTGCGACGGCGGGGGCAGTGAGGAAGGCGATAGCAAGGAGGGCAGCTACGGGTCTCATGTTGATGGTGATGGTGAGTCGGTCGTATGAGCCTTTGAAGGACTTAATGACTTTGTCTATGGCGTGTTTTAATAACGGATCATTCACTGCTAAACTTATTTCGCAGGTAAAAATGCTTTTCGAATCTTTGATTGAAAATCCATTGGACATGACTTTTGGCCCCTATTTATACCCTTCATGGGGGTAGTTTTTGAATGACTTTCCACAGCAAAAGCATCAACCTCTTCTTTCCAGGCGGATAAGGGATTGGTTAGCCCGTGGCTGAAGGGGATCTTGGCCTGAATACTAACAGACGAAGGATGAATCCATCCAACTCCTAGTAGGGAGGTGCAGGCTATGATTGGATCTATAAACCACTGAGCTTCCAATCAGACGTAATAGATGCTAGGGATATGTTGGGGCTCTGGGCAAGGGCTCAGGCCGTGTATATTATATTCTAGCGTTAGCCGTGTGACTATGTAGATTCTTCGTCTCAGTGGAAGAGCCCAACAGGGTCCATGCGGGGGAGGAATGTTGGCCCTCCTTGACTGCGGCGCAGTCACTCTGCATGTCGATAGTATTAGTACTAGTAGTACTAGTAGTAACCTGCGGAAAAAAGGGTTCTTACATTAGCCTCCAGCCCCGCAAAAACCAACCGAACAGTCAAATCTCATTAGTGAGCTGGTTCCAATCAGGAACAATCTCATGTGTGACGCTCCATGTGTCTTGCAACACTTTCTCACTCTAATACTTGGCGTCTGTGTGTCCTATAAATAGACATCCAGGTGCAGGTTCCCAAGGCAAGACCTACTTGTGGGGAAGGGGCTATGATTTGATTTAGCTCGTGTTTGGTCTGCTTTCCGGGTGACAATTCTGTCATTTCATTGAACCTACGCGAGATGGTACATTTCGTCTTTGTCAGGAAGCTATACACAGTGAAAACCGCCACACCAGCTACACTCCCTTGCCAACATCCAAGCACTGGTAAATCTCCCGAATATATGCCTCGGCATTTGCGCTTCCAAGAGACCGGTACTCCATCTTGTTCATGACATACGCGATCGTCATCCGCCGGCCGCGATCCATGACGACCATAGATCCTCCCCAACCGCCCCAGAAACAGATGCCCGCATCTTCAGGAATGGCAGGCATACTGTTGCTCGATGGCAGCGCGAGTCCAAGCGCAAAGCGCACATCAAGGAAGAGAACCGAATCCAAGCCTCGGACTTGCTCTTTCATCATTTCATCCAGGGTCTCAGGGGCAAGATACCGCCTCCCATCGACAGTACCATCCAGCGAGACTATGGATGCGATGCGCGCCAGGGCACGCGCATTGGCGAATCCGCCTATGGCCCCGTTCTCGGCGTTCCTAAACCCGGGGTCATTAGGAAGATCAGGGATCATGAGAGACCCGACAAGAGCCCTAGCGAGGATGCTGGTCGGGTCCAGCTGAAGATTAGCCATAGCATCCGGCGAGAAGGGAACAATGTCGGCGGTTCGGGCCCAGTCGGCTTCGGGCAGTCCAAGCTGGAAGTCAGCCGCCAGAGGCGTCGCGATCTCTTCGGCGAGGAACTGGGTCAGCGGCTTTCCCGCGATGCGTCGCACGAGCTCGCCGATCATATGGCCGTGGTTGGTCAATTGGTATGCGCTCTGTGAGCCTGGGGCAAACCATGGTGCCTGTCCTGCGAGCCGCTCGGTGGATTTCTCCACGTCTTGCATCTCCGCGGCCGTGATCGCGCCCTCCCAGGCTGGCACCCCGGAGGAATGGCTCAGGAGATGTGAGACCTTGACGTTGTCTTTGCCGTTCGCCGCAAATTCGGGCCAGTAGGTAGCCACTTTCTCGTTCATGTCGAGCAGGCCGCGGTCCACGAGCATGTGGGCGGCTAGACCGGTGATGATCTTCGTACAGGACCAGATTCCGGTGATGGTGTCTTTCTTCCATGGCTTGGTCTTGCTTTCATCTGCATGACCACCCCAGAGGTCCAGGACATTCTTGCCGTCGATATTGACACAAAGGGAAGCGCCAACTTCACTACCGGCCCGAAGCTTCTGTTGCAGAAGGTCACGGACGGAATGGAAGACGGGGTCACAGGAGCCGTCGATTTCAGCCATGGTTATATAGCAGCTGCTTTGGGTATGGGTGAGGTGTTGACTCAGTAAGGGCGAGCTAAAATAGATCAGACAGCGATGAAAGAGATCCAGCGAGAAAATGAAAATAAGAAATATGGATGATGAATGATAAATAAAGCCCAAGGTAGCCCATGTTATAAGCAGTACACAGCACAACCGTCAGCCCTAGGACAAAACAGCCTCCAGGGATCCATGGCGGCGATTTGTCGTCGAGTCTCCACGTTCATCCACTAAGCTCAAGTGGCCCCGTTTTGCACACCCGAATACATCCTTACCTTTCCCCAACGCGAGTCAGCCATTGCGATAGTATGATTGCACAGGTGGCTTCCCCGCGTTGCATTGCAGTAGCTTCAATGCCAGGGTCTAGCCTAAAACTGAACGTTCGCATGGTCAAGTTCTCCTTGACCCTGACCAGCCTGCTCTTCCAATTCTATTACGACAGCCCAAGACAGCATGCTTCTTGATTAGCAGGAACTGGTTCCCCGGAATACTGGTACATATATCTCGGGCAGGAACCTGAGTTTGATCGAGATTTGCAAGCTGCAGCGTTGATTTCCCCCAGCGTTTCCTTCGAGTTGGGGGGGTGGTTCCGAAGATTTATGAGTCTTATTATATTGGAAAAATGGCCCCACAACTTGCATATACATCGGGAACATTTGATAGGGCAGCTCGTGTATTTATCCCACCGCCCGAGGTAGCTAAAATACTAAATCAACCAAAACTAAGATATCACCAGAACCCACCACCGCCCTCATCGAGCGCGTCCTTGCAAAGGTGTAATAAGTGGAGGGCAATGTTAACCAATAATAAAAGGTTTCCTCCAACTATCATTATCCTGTAACGAAGGAAAAGCACGGCCGTATCTCTATGGGATCTGGACACAGGAAGGTTAGGAGGGTCCTTCCAGGCTAACTACACCCAGGGTTAGGGCTGGTTTCGTTAAACAGCCAAGTACTCGCAACAGTAATCAAGAGCTACGATCAAACGCTGGACTCTGGAGTGTAGTAAGCAGCGATCTACTACAGACTCTAGGTCTGGGTTCAATAGACTGGATATGCAAATTCGGCTTTGATAGGAATTGCCTGCATGTAACTTGGGAGCAAGGCGAATCGAAACGGGCATTGGAGGTGTTCCCGAGCCACAGGTTGAGATCAAAGACAACTAGGTAATCGACAAACGGGGAGAAGGCCACTTTGGCTTCATCCTGACTGTCGGCCTACTTACACCTCAGCGTGGGCGATTGCGTGGGGGGTGTAGTCTTTTGGGGGGTTTTGAGTGTGCACGTGGTGGTTACGTCGTTTGTTTGTATTATATGATATGGGGATGGGATTACGGGAAGGAGTAGGGTTTGGGCTGATGTCTTGGGCTTTATGGATTAAGAGCTGGAGATATGTGGGATAGAATATCATAAGCATAGCCTTTTTATAGGATTAGATCATGATGAAGATCATTCAACGCTCGAGTAAGTTATAGATCTGAACGGGCACCGTCACTCGCAACGTCCTCGAACAACCCACCGTCACTTCCACGCGCGCAAAATATTCCCTGGCTACGTAACAATGGTGGAAGGTCGGGACAAGCGCCACATCGCCAGGTACTGGGATTGGCACGACAAGGCTGGCAGTGTGAGTATTACCCGCTTTCTCAATCCACTGCAGACCAACAGACTTATTCTTCCACGAGCACACACTCGCCCGGAAAAACTGTCCTTGTCCCTTGGCGGCGCTCTGCCAACTCGGCAGTTCGTCCATCGGCAACAAGGTAAAATACGTCGCAGCCTCCAAAGTGACCTTGACCTGACAATTGTCTGGACAGGTAGGCTCCGGATGGAGGCTTTCAAGGCCTAGGTTGAAGTGGATAGGAGCCATAGTTGATCCATGACGTTGATCTGGAGGTAGATAGAGCGGCTTTGTCTCTCGCGCACACAATGTGACATGCCCCGTTTTCGCACCCAGGAGACTCATACGAAGACCGGTCGTATCAGACATCTGGATCTCACTACATTCCCCCTCTGGCCACAGACGAGGTGGTTGTTCAGGGCACAGCGGGAGGAGCTGGACCTGCCGTGTGGCATGAAACCGCTGATTACCCATGTCCACCTCGGCATGGACATAGTAGATAATGCTGCACATCTCAGGACAGAATTTATCCGAATTGTAGTCCACACTGGGGGGTAACTGGAGGTGATCCTTTCCATGATGAGCAGCCGTTCCAGACGGGATATGCTCGTAGCATGGGTCGGATGGAAGAGCATCAGGGATGACAAATGAGAAAGGTACGATGTGATGATGATGACATGCTTCCAGGGGTTCAATGTGGTGCATTTGGAGAAAGGTGTAGTCGACGATACTACCGGTGTTGGGGAAGGGCGTGGTCTTTGTTACGGTGGTTGATGTTCTTCCTGTGGTGGCATGTCAGTCTATGTTTAGTTTTAAAGTGCACATGGCAGGGTTAGCCTGGTGGCCATACCACACAGGGTTATGGAGACGCGAGCGCCCTGAGGAGCATTTCTTCGGTGGAGGACCAGTTCGCCCTGGAGTGCATCGCCGGTTGTGAAGACTGTTTGTTTACCGGTTAGACGAATCTCCATTGCGGGTGTAGGAGAGAGGCTTGCGATGAGCTGAGGAATATATTGGGCCGACTTCATCTTTCTCGGAGGATTGGGGCTATATGGTAAATATCAAGATGAGGTGAATATTGGAGAAAGCCGCGATTGCTGGATGAGAGGTGTCTGAAGCAGCCCCCCAATCCTTTTATAGTGCTTTGAAACCCACATGACTACGTTCACACCGTCTTATGCAACCGCAGGGAAGGATGATGGAAGGGTGACTTCCTTCGGTATGAGTTACCTTTAGCTGTATCTCAATCGCTAACGGCAGTTCCGTCCGAATTCGCCGACCCTTCAGCTTCTTGGCGGGCAGTTCATGGCGACATCGGGGACCAATCCAATGACTCACCCCGACTTTAGTGTACGGAGGAGCTCCGGATCCACGTTCCAGGGCTAAGGATCAGGGCTAGACCCCATCTTCGTTGTCTTTCCCGTAGTAGTAGTAGTAGTAGTAGTAGTAGTAGTAGTAGTAGTAGTAATAATAGTGAATATGTCCATCTCCAATGGCTCAATTCCAATGCCTTATATTATACAATAGATATATCCAAAAAAAAAAGGGTCATCACTCATGACAATAACCAACCCTAGTCATCACTGTCATCACGGACGACTTGGTATCTGTGCGTGGTGGCGCTCAGCGCTCCGAGTAAGAAGGGTATTGAGGTCAGGGGGATCGAAGTTGTCGTCCGAATCGTCATCCTTGCTGGTTTGGGACGAATAAAATGGCAGTTGTTTTTGAGCGTTTACAACAGAAGACAATAGTTGTTCCGGGGTCACTAGTGAAGAGTCCTCAGCAGACCGTCTCTGGTTATCTACCGATGCGGATAAATGCTTAGAGCGAGGTTTGGGTTTTGATAGCGTTCTACGGCGCTCACGACGAGGCGACCGACTGGGGATCACCGCGTCGTCCTGCCTGGTTGACTCCCGGGCAAGAATCTCCTTAAAGCGTTCTTCACAGTCCGGGCCAACGCTATTCATCTTTTGCAATGTTCCAATCATACGACGTGTCAAAGATCCGTGCTTCACGACCTTGGTAGGTCTTGCGACGAGCTGGAGGCGAGGAAACGCATCATTGCGCGGGTTGCGGATGAATTGTGGGCTAGTGGCCCCAATATTGCGATAGTGTTGCTCCAGCTCTCTTTGCTGTGCCGAGGTCAGTACAACTTCTTCAAGAGCCGGTATCTCCACCGGCTCCGGGGTCGGCATCCGAGGCTTCCTACTCTTCTCAGCTTTTGACTTGGGTCCCGCTGCCAGGGACGACGCTTTAGTGAAGCCGGTTTCGACATTGTCAGGCATGTGGAACTTCTTGGGTGGCCGTTTTGGAGCTCGTCCGCGTCTCTTTGGCTCTGGTAAGCCCTGATCCGCATTTTCATCCGGGATATCAATATGGCGTTTATCCGCTACCGGCCGTATCCCTGCGGGCAGAATGCGGGGGGAGATATCTTCGTGAAACGTAAAGCGGGACCCACTAGCAATCATTTGTTGCATCTTCTCATAGTTGTCCTTGGCTTTGATATACGACTCTTCCTCCTTGCCCTCCATGAGGAGGAGGACGATGTTTCCAGCCCTCTTTCGTCCCGTACGTCCCATACGCTGAAGCATCCGAATTGGCGAGGCAGAAGAGTCATAACATACGATGAGGTCGACTTCTCCGATATCTAAACCTTCCTCGCCAATGGAGGTTGCGACAATCGTATTGTACGTGCCCTTTTTGAAATTCTGCACTATACTGAGTTGTGTCTTTTGGTCCATGCCCTCAGAGCCCTTCGCGCTGGATTGCCCAACGAAAACATGAGGTCGGATCATGGGCTCATATCTTTTCAGCACCCTCGTCACCTCTTCGGCACTGTCGCGAAAGTGTACAAAAATCATAATTCTCGTGGATGACTGGCTGTCACCTGCTTCTCCATTGGACCCTTCACCAGCATCCATAAAATGATTCAGAACAACCGATTTTAGATATTCCAGCTTTGGATGCCCGATAAACTCCGGGTTCTTGGTCCACGGCTGAAGATGATTCATAAGCTTTTTAAAGCTCTCATCCTGCACCACTTGGCGCTGGTATTTACCACCTTTCTGGCCCTCCGTGTTGGACTGGAAGTGCAAGAGGTGGCGATAGAAGGGCGTAATCCCGTGATACTTGAGAAGGTCGATAGCATGCGCCAAGCTTGCGAGAACGGTGAAGATAGCGTTGACCTTGCCCTTGAGTCCGAAGTGTGCGTTTCGACCGGCATCTGAGGCCATCCATTGCTGTCTCGACTTAGTGAGCCCAAATGCCGTGAGCATCATCGGGTCTCTTCCCCAATAGGCGTTGAGGGTGCGGAGCTGGTCGACAAGCGGTTGCAAAGTTTTAGATAGAAGATCCATGCAGAGAACCATCTCCTCAGAGTTCTTGAACGTCTGGACTTCGGTGTTCCTCGCATGGACGTACTCCCGGATATCGAGAGATTGCTCCGTGCGTATCTCGACTCGGGCAATATCAAGTCCATCGATGACGGCTTGAACAGACTCCACCGTGGAGCCCGGTGTCGCCGTCAGAGCCAGGACACGGAAGCTCTGGTTATATCGGCGAAGAAACTTGACAACTTCCACGTACGCATAACCACCTGTCGCGCGATGTGCTTCATCAACAACAAGCAGGACGATCCGTTTCGGGTCTGCTATGCCGGACTTGAGATCATTGATCAGCGTTTGCGGGGTCATAAAAAACACCCGCTTATTTTGCCATTCTTCCGCTCGAATGCCTGGTGCAGCTTCGCCTGTGAGCATGGTTGTCTGGGATCGTGGAATTCCCGCTATACCAAAACAGGCGGAGATTTGCTGAGCCACCAGAGGTTTTGTGGGTGCCACGAAGATAATCTGGGCACTTTGGGTCCACCGAAACCAGTTCAGCATAATTGTCGCAGCGATAAAAGTTTTTCCTAGACCCGTGGGGAGAGCTACAAGCAAGTTGTGAAATAACCCTTTTTGAGCGATATTGAATTGATAGTCTCTCGTCTTGCCAAGGTTTGTTGGATAGACCCAGGTATCAAGAGCCTCTTGATCTAGCCTATGCTGCGTCGGGGGTTCGTTCTTTTCCGGTGGGGACAACACCTGCTCTCCGATGGGCGGTTGGGATGTTTGGTTACGGGATGTCATGTCGAATAACGAGGTTTGACGTATTCCAAGTGGGCGGTTGGAGGACTGCGAAAATTGCCTGGTCGCGGGTTGAGGTTGAGCTCTAGTTGGCGGAGACAAGGATAGATCCGAGTCGAACGCATCGTCGGGTATATCTTCGAGAAGGAAGGATGTATCTGTCGTGTCCTCTTTTCGTTCTGTAGAAGAGCGCGTAGTCGCTTGAGGTGTCGGGGCCTTTGTATTTGAAGGGGGAGGACGGAATTGCTCGCTCTCGAAAGACTCTAGCGACGCCGCAATAGCAGCATTTAGGTCCTCATCGTCAAGATCATCGCCACTTGCAGCTGGCGCTTTCGGTGCTGCTGCTACTGCTCCTCCCTCGCTCGTTTTTGCTGATATGGTGCTGGCCCGCGCGACGCTGGGCTCTGGCTTTTTCCAGCGGGGTCCACGAATCATTTCTGGTGGCGACGGCGGCTGGGTTAATTGGGTAACAAAGATATTCTCCTGAATATTGCTGCGCTTGGGAATGAATACTTTGTACTTGGACGGGGCCTCTGTGTCTTCGAAGTATGAGTCTTGGCTGGGCGACTGGGGCTCATCATAGTTGCCCTCATTGTCATCGACTACAAAGGAGTCAGAGTCAGTTCGAGGGCTACCATCATCACCATATTGTTGCGATTTTCGATTCCCAGACGATTGTCGTCTCACGTCGGACGCGGTAGCATCCACCAGACGGCGACGCTTGGCTGAGCGCGGGGAGGGTTCGGCCGCGTTTCTCGCAGCATCGGAGAATCCATCGTCTGTTAAATCATCAAATCCCTCATGGAAGTAATCGACCGAGCTAGCATCCGAGCCTGTCATGTCGCGCGGGAATTTTCAGTGGCGTGATATCCGGTCTTGCGATCTCTACACTCGTCCTACTAATTCCGCGCGCGACGCGATGTGTCGCGAAATCATGTGAATGATAAGGATGTTTGCTTGGTTTGTATTGATAAAGCAATCCGCCCCGATTAGGACGGACACATGACCTGTCAGCCAACCACAACTTCAACGAAGGGAACATGTCGACCTGATTCAGTCTTTGTAACACTACATCGATAGTACTCGATCAGTACTTCAATTTACTAGTTGACAGTATCGATACAGCAGTAATTCGCGGTGGAAAGCCAAAGAATGAACGACTAGTCGATTGTAACCTCATGATTGCCACTGCCATGTCACTTGGACAACAATCCAAAGTCTGCAGCACTAAAGAGGCCCACAGCTCGTGTGGCCACCCAAAGAGTGGGACAACAGGACAACACCCGAGTCTAAGGGGCACCCTAGGGGCTATTTTTGGCCGACAATGGATCCCCCCAGATTTTCACTCTTCACAGACCCTTCCACTAAGACCCAACGTGCGAGGATAGCATTCAATTGGGGCCAACCGTCATCTGACTGATCACAAACACCAGTCCCAATGGTGCAGCAGGAGAGAAGTTCACTGTAACCCTTCAAGCTCTCCCTTACAGCATCCCCCGACGAATAATGGCAGGCAAAGTGGTGGATGAAACCACCAGTAACTTTCCAGACTAGACCCAAGTTGGAACGTCCCAGAGAGGCTTCTCGATCTGGTCGGCCTATAAACTTGGAAGTGTCGGCCGGCTCTCTACAGGGTCGCTCGATTTGACTGGTCCGTCAGGGCCTTAGCCGACGCTGTCGTGAAACCCAACGAATCAGATCATTCCATTGACGAGAAAAAGAGTATCCGAGTTTCAATCATACGGCAACAACCCTGAGACTAAATTACTTCTTCTTGGGATTGTCCCCTGTCGTTTTGCAAAAAAATCAAAAAGAAAATGGAAATTGAAAGAAAAATAAAATTCACTCTAAATCCAGGGAAAGTAAAAATAAACAGGAAAACTGGGCACCCCCCCGCTTTAGGTAGCTTTAATTAAATCCCCGTCTTTCTCCTCTGCTGTCTTTCTCTTCCTCTCTTTCCTCTCCACAGTCCTTCGTTAACTACGTCCCATCTGCTTGTCGCGTTTGTATACACTCGTTAATTGCTTCGAGTTTCATTATTGCTTCAGCGTCTTTGTCATTTTCAATTCGTCAAGATGAAGCTCAACCTCATTGCTCTGGCTTCCCTGGTCGCTTTGACTGCGGCTCAGTCGACCGACTCTACATCCGAGCCTGCCACCGGCACCACTGCTGCTCCTACGACGACTGTCAGCTTGTCTCCTCAACAGTCCTGCGCTAAGAAGTGTACGTTGCCATATGTCCTTGCCCGGCTGGCGCTCTCTTGTCCCTTTTGCCTGATTGCCAAATGCACTGCGAAACTAACCCAAACCAGGCGACGCAACCGATCTGTGCTGCATCGCAGGATGCTTCCAGGTCCCTTGCCCCAACGATTCGCAGGCTAACGACACCAACACTTGCGTCGCCGCCTGCCCCCAGGGCAGTGGTACCCCGGCTGACACTGACCGCTACGCCGCCTGCCAGAGCTCCTGCTACAGCAGCCACTTCTTCCCCATCACTGCCACGGGTAACTCTGGAGCTTCCAAGACCTCCGCCAGCGACTCCGATGCCACCACCACCGGCACTGGCAAGGACAGCTCTTCCACCGGTTCCAGCGGTATGTGACTTGAACCCCGGCGTTAATATGGTCTGGATGCCGTTCAACTAACATTCAATCGCACAGGATCCTCCGGCTCCGGCTCCGGCTCTTCGGGCTCTGGATCTACTGGCACTGGTACCAGCACTGGATCTGCTGCCAGCGGCACCGAGACCAATGCCGCCTCTGTCGCCAAGCTTCAGCTCGGTGTCTCTGCCGCCGGTATTGCTGGTGTCGCCCTCGGTATCTGGGCTCTGTAAATGAGCTTCGCGTATGGATTCGGTGATCTCACGCGGGATGGTTAATGGGAGAATGTGAACGGATGGAAGGGTATTAATCGGTCTAGGGATGTCGCATAATGGGGTTTATCTACATAGTTGTACTTCTGCGCTGTAATATTGATTCCCAAGCACTTTGTCGTTAATTGTATCGGTATTAGCTAATGCACCTGCTATCCCAACAGTCCTGTCAAGGTTGAGAACAACTACAGTTCCGGTGACCACTTCGTAGACAAGAAAACAGCCCCAGTCCACACAGACGAACTTGGTAAATGCGACGTCAGTGACAACCCATAAAAGGGGTGCTAGTACTAAGTTCGTTTACTCACGTCCAGCAAGGGGAGTAGGGCTGTGCGCGACCCCTTTATCTGACGTGAAAGTTCATCTCCAGTCCGAAAGGACGACGATCCAGGGGAAAGTAAGTCTCGGCCGTACAAAACATAAAGGGCAAAGAGGTGACGACGATGCAGGGTGAGCTCCATCGACGATATGACGTGCTGATCAACATAGTCAAATCGTAGCAAGTACCGACTATGCAAAGATCGTCTCTCCACACCCCCACACCCTTTAATCACATTACATCTATCACATTTGCATGGTTCTTTCCGGCCACCTCCATCCCCTATTCAAGTACGCAGTATGACTAGTAGTACTCCTTCTATCACAACCGATCCCCCAATGCAAATCAGGGACTCCCCACCCCCCCCAAGTGTAACCAGTTCAATTCAAAACCTCCCTGGAAACAAACTCCGACAGCTTCCCAGCAACCTCCGCAATGAACCCCTGATTCTGCATGCCGTCGACCCATGTCGTCGGGATCGATTCAAATCCATAAAAGGCGCCCGCTAGACCCCCGTAAACCGCTGCCGCTGTGTCGGCGTCTCCTCCCAGGTTTGTCACCGCCAATACTCCCGCGGCCCAGCAATCAAACTTGAAAAATCCCCACAGCGCCACTTCGAGCGTATCCACGACCCATCCACTGCTGTGCATGTCCGCGGCCGACTGGGCTTGCCAGTCGGAGATGGTCTTGTAGCCCGAGAGTCGCTGTGCAAGGGCACTGTGCGTGAAGTTGAACCCGTTGATTCTGTCGCAAAGCTGCTCTTTGCTCTCGTCTGGTATCCGTCAGCACAGTCAGCGAAGATTTCCCCTGAGGGGAAATAGAAATAAAAATAAGAAATAAAAGCAAGAAACAAAGAAACTAAACCGGCCCCAAAGGATGAATCACAAACAAATATGGAACACAAAATCCCCCGGCACAGATCCACAAGAGAGAAAGGAAAGAGAAAGAGAAAGAGAAAAAAAAAAAAAACAAAAGCATACCACGCAAAACCCCACAAATCAAAAGCGTATAAACCTCACAAGCCTCCAAGCACGCCAGCACAGGATGCGTAACCCGACTCTGCTCTCTCGCGACTCTTGTCGCTTCCCCCAGATCGCGCCACAAAGCCAGTCCAACGGGGGCAATTCTCATCAAGCTTCCGTTCCCGGAGGATTGCTCCACATCTAGCTTCCCATTAATTACCTCCTGGGTACGTTGAAGATCCTCCGTGCCCTGTTTCTTCCAGCTCTGGAGGGCAGAGCGTGTCGAGCGACCCACGTCCCAGGCGTGGTTGATCGTGCTGAACCGGCCGGTGGAGAACCAGTCGACAAAATACTGGATGGATAAGACGTGGTTGTATTTGCCTTGCGAGTCGATGATGGATTGCGCTAGGGCTAGTGTCATGGAGCCATCGTCGGAGTAGGATCTATTTCTTTTCTTCAGTATCGGGTATCTAGTAGGGTTTATAACTCAGGATGAGGTTATTAGTTTACCCTGCGGGCTGGTTAAAGGGTTTCACGTATTCGAGGCCGGTGATGGGCTCGAAGCTGCCTGGGTCCATGAATTGGACGGGCCCGCCGAGGGCGTCGCCTACGCAGACTCCCCAGATTGAGCCTAAGGTGCGGGAGGTTAGGGATGGTGGCATTGTGGTTACTGGGATGGAGGTTGCTTCGGAAGTGATGGGAGTGGTCTGGTGTGTTAGCACAGTAAAAGTACGTAAGATGGTGGATTTATACTCTATTCCTGAATTCGGAGTCAGCCTTGTCACTGCCACTGTCATGCTGCGTGTTTTCGGTGACTCAGCAGCCTTGTAGATCATGACGCAAATACGAGATTGATGGGGTGTCACGACGATTTACCTGGAACGAATGTTGTTATATCTTGTCGTGAAGAGTGTATCTAATTTAAAAAAAAAAAATGGTATCACATGACTTTTCTATACATCTCAAAGGGACGAACTGCAAACAAGTTCAATCTTTACATGGAACTGACCTTTATGGTTTGGATCGGTGCAGCTCGATATATATCCATATCTCCCCTCTCGGTAGTATTATTTACATCGATCTTGAGGTGATTAGCGAAGGGTTGGGTCTTCACTCATCAAGCTATCCGTGGTAACCCCTTTCAATGCCCACACCAAGTTACTACTAGTCAGATTCGACAGCAACGATGCCTTTGTCCCCCACAGCTTCCTTCCACAGAGTCGCAACATCACCCGGAACCTCCCACCTTGCTTCCCGCATAAGTGTCACGTAGCACCGGGCCATGTCCAATTCGTGTGGTCGATACTCGAAAGATTCGGGCCTCTCTCCAGGCTGCAGGTATTCGAATAAAATTGCATTTTCATCCATATATCCCCACCCCATCGAGAAGGAGAAAGTCCGCAGTCGAGGCATCCGGGGGATCGCAGTAGCCATCGTCCGCATGAGAGGATCGAACATCTGCGGATCAGCCTGCGTCCGCCACATATGGCAGGGCCTTTGACCGTTCAGAAGAGCATCTCTGCGTTCAGGCAGGAAGTCCGGGAACTCTGAATTGAGGGAAGAGTTGGTGTCGGAGTCGGAGGCATCTCCATCCTCGTCATCAGACCGAGTGGATTCATAGCCCGCTTCGACATCTGCAGGGTTGCCATTATAATACCATCGGCCGTCGTAGGTGATGAGCGCTCCTTGGATCTGCACTTTGTTCAGATATGGGAATGTTTTGTCCGTGTTGAATAACGCAGGCGAGACCAGCCACCACCCTGTGAGATTCAGGGTAGTCAAATGGGTGTCTTCGGCCAATTTACGAATGGCGATGTTTAAGGCATCCCCATCTGGGAATTGAGGGTCGGTTGGCTGGCTCTGGAAGTTGTGATTGAGTGGGATGTCTTGCTCGATGTAGATATCCAATGTTCGCAAGTTGCTCAGCGAGCGTGACTTCAATGCCTCTGCAAGGGCTGTTGATAGTCAGGAGAAGTACCAGTTTAGCGGACAAGATATCTTACAGGTTCGATGTTCATTTTGCATTTGCACCCGTTTAGTCCTGGGTGCATTTAACTCCATAGCCAACCGTTCCAGACTGGGTAACGACGAGACAATCTTCCCAATAGCCGAGGGATGCAGCGAGCGTCGTGCGTTAGGAATCTTCAACCCTTCAACGAACGGCAACTGAGGCAGAGAAGCCTCACTGTCCAAAGTAAGGTAGTTATCTTCAAAGCTCCATCGCTCGTCCGACAACCCAAAGCCAAGCTCCGACGACCGCCGAGGACGGTCCATAGGCGAGGATGCCGTAAGTGCCAAGTCCACCCCCTGTGTCTTCCACGAGGACATCTCATCGAACAAGTCCCTGACACCCCGATTGAAGGCTTCATCATTTGCTTTGCTCTCCCTCCGTCTTTCAAGACACCGGATACGGTTCGTGCTGTAGGTGGGCAGATCGATTTCATATTCCAGCTTTCGCAGCAACTTTCTCCGTCGCGGAGTGGAGAACACTTGCCGGAACATGTCCAGATCGGAACTGTATTTCTTGATATCTGCCATTGTGAACCGTTCCACGGCGTATTGCCATTTGCGCGAGATCGTCGCGTACTGGCCAACCTTCGGAACCGGTTGGGGCGGATGCCTGATAGGAGGGACTTCGAGGAGATGAGTAATGATTACTTGCAGAATTTCCTGGCTAAGATAGTCCATTTTCAGGGTGGGGAAAAAGTTGGGATGTGGTTGACGAGAAAGCTGGTCGGCTACTCGGGGTCGGAGATCATCATTAGGAGTACATGTCCATTAGCTACAGCGTGAGACGGATATATATAAAGTATAAAAATCTATATCGAATGGCCGTTGGAGGCTAGACTTGCGGGCGGTCAAGCCCATAATTTTATGATACCCCACTATAGGCTCCCAGCTAAGATAACGGTGGCACTGTTACCTAGATATGGACCTACTTAGGGCACGTTTGATAACAAGGAAAGACCCACAAGCGAAAGTAAGGTACAGCTATATGAAACGAGATACAATATACTAGCAGCCGGGATTCGGGGGGTTTGTGTATTTAACAGTCCGATTCTATATTGGCTCTGCAGCAAATGTTGTAGAAGCTGAGCAACCTCGATTAGAATGTTTCCCTTACTATAATGATTGCATACTAGTTCGATAAAAATCAAGAAGGGTAACTCACACGGGAAGCCAGTTTGGAACCGTTGAATTCATGGTGTTGCAATTAGAGATGAGATATATTCTACGGGAAAGAGAAACAAAAAGAGAAGGAGAAATCAGAAGGGATGAAATTGGTAATAGATTATAGAGCCCTGCAATACTAGGGCCTAGTGGACTCCACCAGAAACATCCTATTTGAGGTTATTGCTCGCTGGTACCACGATAGCCGGCCGCCCCTCATTATCCCTGGGTTCGACGACTTCATCTTTGACCCAGCATGGGAGCTTCACTGTGGTCCGCAACTGATCTTCCTTCGTACCCCAGTCCAACCAGTCAATTACTCTGTCGGTGAGCTGGTACTTAAAGGCGTCTCCTACTTTGGCATCAGAAGGAAGTTCCAGACTATCCATCCGAGTCCATGACTCCTGGACTAGGTCCGCGTCATGCACCATCAGCCCCCGAACAAGAAAAATAGGAGGACTTGTGGGGGGATAGTGCACATACACTCTGGATAATGGTTCCCTGGGCGACAAAAGCGCGGGAGATGGGATAGTTCGCTCCCCTTCCTCAACCGTAAACGAGATATGACAGCCCGGAATAAAAAGACATGGCTCTCGTCTTCTCAATTCCATACCCCGGTGATCCTGAATAATTTCCCAGTCCCAGAGAAACGACTCTCCTCCAGGCCAGTAGCTCATATCTCTCGCCTGGTCTGAGTGCACCACGATACCGTAACCCTAGTCCCGATAAATGGGGAGAACTCCCGTTTGGCTGAAGTCCAAACAGACCCTGACCCGGTCTAGCTATAGAAAGCACGTCAGGGGCTTCCCACATCCCCTTGCCCACCTCAACTCTTGCCAGGCCATCTGAGGTGTGGCGGACCAGGACGAACTGATCAGCGGGTACAGCCAGGGCATAAGGAGACCAGTAGAAGATACTCGGGCGAGTGTCGGTATCATCTCGGCGCAGGGTCACGTCAATTCTCGGCCTTTAGTGAAATACTTCTAATATAATCTGGCTGTAAAACAGGACGACCTACTGAAACGTGAAAGAGACAGATAATATCGCCTTTAGTTGGATTATTAGAGGCCTCTAGAAAGCGACCTTCAGATTATTTATACTAGTGTAGAAGGATAACGTAAGCCTATAGAGGTATTTCTGCTAATTCAATAGATTTAAGACTAACATTATTGCAGCCGAGATCCATACTGTGTGACAACCTGGAAATGCCTGGCAGAATCTATCTTAGTTTGTGTGGTTGGAGACATCTGATAGATGTTCGGAATTTATTAGCATGAATCTTGAATATAGAATCCTGAAACACTGTTGAAGGATTGGCCACGTTTGAAAGTACGCAGACTACGATGATCCATGATTTCTACTTCACCTTTCACCGAGTCCTTGCCTATTATATCAAGGAGTCACCTTCTCATTCTACAAAGACTACATGTTGCAGATCAAAGCAGAAGCTATGATATTAACCTGCCTGCTTTCCAAACTGGGCAGACGGCAGGTGAAGTGGCTATGCTTGATGGCAAGAGAGGCCGGATTGGGTCGGAGGTTGTGAAGGAATCATGCAGGAAGATCTCCAGCATATGACGTATCGTCTGAGCATGTGTACAGCAGTTGGGCATCACAGCCCCATCTCAACTCGCCTTTCATGTAGCTTGGACGGGGTCTTCGAGAAACATAGAGGCAGGTGCATCAGGCATTCGCAACGATTGAGCAGGACTGCTTCGTGCCGACAAGTAATTATATTCAGAAGAGGACCATCTAGACTTGTTTTAGGATCGCAGAGATGCAGATATTCTCCGTCTAGCTCCGATGGTCGCTCGACTTGGAAGCTATTTAGAACGAGTGAGACAAGGGCAGCAGTAGCTGCTGTAGCCAAGAGCAATCATATAAAGTGGACGAGGCGCAGCAGGAGATACAACGCGGAGCACTGCAGACGCGACGGTATAATGAAGCGAATCGCTCAATAGGAATGATATATGAAGAGGTCGGCACTAGAACTCGTCATTATATCACTTGGCGCACCTAGATGTATTGTGTACGAGCTACTGCGTATTATATCAAACCAATATTGTCCAATCCTCTTACCATGGTCCATGTGACGGGGTCGTCGAACCAAACAATAGCTAGCCTAGCCTCTTCTGCGTGGGGCCTCATTGACAGAGCCCATTTCTTGCTGTGTTGGATAGGTTTTGCCTCTCAATCTATGACAGCTGTCCGGAGGCAAATTCTAGGAGGATGATTGTGACCTTATTGGCAATTACTGGCTCCACGTTTGATCTTGAAAAAGCGCAAGCTATATCCAACCGTTCCTTTCACGGAATAGCCTATGTTGATTGAAAATTGAAATATGGTCGTCAATTGTTCAGACCTATGAGTTGTTTGATGTGACGCGGATGATGTTGAAAATAAGGTTATCGGTGATGAAGCCAAGCGAGGCAGTGCTTTTCACCCAAACTTTTCCCCCGGAGCTATACAACGGTCCAGATCACAGGATTCCACTGCACAGCATGATGCGGCATGGCCTGGCCATGGGCTGATTTGCTGTACAGCGTGTGCTGATGGCTACAGCTTTCATATATCCGACCTTGTGTTGTCTGATTGGTGGGAGAACGGTGGGTATCCTTGACGTCAAAGATATCAACTCCAGTGTATGATTTGTTCCCTGTTTCATATCGCTCGTTTCTGGTAAAGTCTACCTTAGCTGGCAAGACTACCTGGGTAGCTGATTTGTGACCATGGAAAGCCTTCTATACAGTCCTGCACTGGGTCAAGGGCTTATCCCAACCCCCACTACGAGCAGCTAGCTCTGAGGCATTTGCTCTCGTGTCTTCGTCCATGTTCCAAGAATCATCGATTTAGTCTAAGGACGCCATGTCATTATTTGCCATGAACGTTTCCTTTGACTTTCTTGGCTCTGTCGTCTACTGCAGAACACAGCCACGATCAACTCAGTCAAGACGGTCGTACAGCGCGACATCTGGTATACCATAATATTGGCGATATTCCCAGTTCAAGAGTACCGACTACAATTACGGATACAATGAATATTCACCATGGCCACCGTGACTGGCCAGAGTCTCGATACCAACTGTAATGTGGTGTTTACACACAGCACCGACAACATCTCGTCAACCAGTCTTCAGTACGACGATATCCCTCTGTCCGAAGCGTTGGCCCCTGATCCGCAATATGAACGTGACTTTGAAGTCGTGGACAACAAGTTTGCGTTCTCACCCGGACAGCTGAACAAGTTGCTGAATCCCAAATCCCTCGCCGCCTTCCATGCTTTAGGAGGCCTTAGGGGTCTAGAAATTGGGCTTCAAACTGACCTTGCGGCCGGACTTTCTGTGGACGAAGACAGGATTTCGGAATATGTAACATTCGACGAGGCCACAAAGTCTGCCTTCTCCAAGCTAGATAGCCAGCCGCGACTATTGAATGCCGATAGCCAGACGCCGATTGTGCAAAGTTCCTCGCCCCAGTTCGTCGACAGAATCCGGATCTTTGGCCGCAATGCATTGCCTGAACCCAGAAGGAAGCATTTTCTCAAGCTACTCTGGGATGCATATAATGATAGGATCATTATCCTGTTAACTATTGCGGCTGTTATATCATTGTCACTGGGGATATATGAAGCAGCTAGCGGCCAGTCTCAGGTGGACTGGATTGAAGGTGTGGCCGTATGTGTCGCTATTATAATAGTGGTGGCTGCCACAGCCGGCAATGACTGGCAGAAGGAGAGGCAGTTTGCCAAATTAAACAGACGGGTAAGTTAATCGTTCCCTTGGATGTAATATTGGAATTGACCCCATCTAGAAAATTGACCGCGATATTCCAGCGATCCGCTCAGGGCGGCCACTGATGGTACACATCTCCGACATCACAGTCGGTGACGTCCTGCAAATTGAGCCTGGAGATTCCCCACCTGCCGATGGGGTCATCATATCTGGTCACGGAATCAAATGCGACGAGTCATCAGCAACAGGTGAATCTGACCACATGGATAAGGCCAGTGGTCATGAAGTATGGAACAGTATCATCAACGGAACTGCCACCAGGGAACTAGACCCCTTCATCATTTCCGGAAGTAAGGTGCTTGAGGGGATGGGGACGTACTTGGTGACTAGTGTAGGCTGCTATTCCACTAATGGCAGGATTATGGCATCCCTGCAGACAGAAAGTGAACCGACGCCCCTTCAGGTCAAGCTGGCTAGATTGGCTGGGTGGATCGGGTGGCTTGGGACAAGGTATGAGAATCCCACTTAAGATCAAACCTGCCTACTAATAGAAACCCATAGCGCTGCTTTGCTTCTTTTCTTTGTCCTTTTGATCCGGTTCCTAGTGCAACTACCTGATAACGATGGTTCGCCAAGTGTGAAAGGCCAAGAATTCATGGATATCCTTATCGTCGCTGTTACAGTCATCGTGGTTGCCATACCTGGTAAGTTGTCTACATATAAGAGGCCATATCTTGCACTATGCCACTAACGACCTGCAAGAGGGATTACCCTTGGCTGTGACGCTTGCCTTGGCTTTCGCTACCACTCGTATGCTCAAAGAGAACAACCTTGTCCGGGTTTTGCGTGCGTGTGAGACTATGGGAAATGCTACCGTGATCTGCTCTGATAAGACTGGAACACTTACGCAGAACAAGATGACCGTGGTCATGGGATTCTTCGGTGCCAATGAGCGTTTTGACCAGCAGCCAACTGAGAGTGGCTACCCATCAGCATCTCCTACAGTACTGGAGACTCTCGGGTTATTTCCGAGCAGTTTTAAAAAGCTGCTAGTTGATAGCATCGTCTTGAACTCAACAGCCTTCGAGGAGGAGCAAGACGGTGGACGTGAATTTGTTGGGAGCAAGACAGAAATTGCTCTCCTTCAGCTTGCAAAAGACTATTTACACATGACGGATCTCACTGAGGAGCGAGCGAATGCCCATATTGAACATATATTTCCCTTCGATTCTGGTCGCAAAGCAATGGGGGTTGTCTATCGTGCTGGGCCCACTGGATATCGATTACTTGTTAAGGGGGCGTCCGAGGTCATACTTAACACATCAACTCGGACAGTAACGACGGGGCAGTCTTTCGAAAACCAAATCGTGACCGAACCCATCTCTGATGGCACTCGTCAAACCATCTTGAATACCATCGATGACTATGCAAGAAAATCCCTACGCACAATTGGGATTGTCTATACTGACCTCGTAGACTGGCCGACCAGTCTCGATACGGATGGCGAAAAGGCCTTGCCCGACTTTGAGCTGTTGCTTCGAGATATGACATGGATCGGGGCGTTTGGAATCCATGATCCGTTAAGACCTGAAGTCTCTGGAGCAATCAAAACGTGCCATTCAGCAGGTGTCCAAGTCAAAATGGTCACAGGTCAGTTCTTCTCCCTCATCTGAACTCTAGTGACCTAACCATGGTTCAACTATAGGTGATAATATCAATACAGCTTCAGCCATCGCCACCTCCTGTGGAATCAAGAATGGTGACGGCATTGTTATGGAGGGCCCGGAGTTCCGAAAACTAACCGAAAAGGAGATGGATGCCATTATTCCACGGCTGCAGGTGTTAGCTCGCTCGTCACCCGATGACAAACGTATGCTCGTCAAGCATCTAAAACGTCTAGGTGAGACGGTGGCAGTAACAGGCGATGGGACAAATGATGGACCTGCTTTGACGTCCGCCGATGTAGGTTTTTCAATGGGCATCAGCGGAACGGAATTAGCACGTGAGGCGAGTTCTATCATCCTTTTGGATGATAACTTCAAGTCTATCGTGACGGCTATGGCCTGGGGTCGGGCTGTCAACGATGCTGTCTCTAAGTTCTTGCAGGTAGGTCATAGTCCTCGTGCTCTGCATCCTCCTTCTCCAGCCATTCCCTGCCTTCTCCCTTATTCTAACAGTCATACAGTTCCAAATAACCGTCAACATCACTGCTGTTTGCCTCACTGTGGTAACAGCAATCTACAGCAACTCCAACGAAAGTGTGCTAAAGGCTGTCCAGCTACTGTGGGTTAACCTGATCATGGACACCTTCGCTGCTTTAGCGCTGTAAGTGATTCCTTCTATCCCAGATCCCAACAATTTATAGAAGAAGACATCCGGCTGGACCCAGACACCGAGCTCGCGTTGCTAACACAATCCAGAGCAACCGATGCCCCAACAGAGAAAATACTTCAACGGCCTCCAGTCCCAAGAAATGCTCCTTTGTTCACGGTAACAATGTGGAAGATGATACTCGGGCAATCTATATACAAACTAGCCGTCTGTTTTACCCTATACTTTGCAGGTGATCGTATCCTGGGTTACGATACCAGCATCCACCAAAAGCAAGTCGAGCTCGACACAATCATCTTCAACACTTTCGTTTGGATGCAGATATTTAATGAACTCAACAACCGCCGCCTTGACAACAAGTTCAATATCTTCGAAGGCGTCCACCGGAATTACTGGTTCATGGGAATCAATGTGCTGATGGTTGGTGGGCAAATCCTCATCATCTTCGTTGGAGGTGCTGCCTTCGGCGTCACTCCGTTGGATGGTGTTCAATGGGCTATATGCATTGGCTGCTCCATCATCTGTATACCGTGGGCTGCTGTTCTGAAGCTCCTTCCGGACCGCTACGTCGCGGTTGTGCTGGATATTTCAGTGAAGTTGATAGCTTTTCTGGCTTATCCTTTCACGAAGGTGTACCAGATTCTGGCTCGTGGTTTTACTATATTGGGGAAGGCCGTTCGTACACAATGGCAAAGTCTTGAGTCCAGATTAATGCGCCGGGTGAAGCATAGCAGACCCGATGGCGATGAAGAAAAAGGTGAAAGTACCGAACCAGTGTGACTGCAGTCAATCATTCCTTGCAGTCAATATGTCTTCTATAATTCCTCCTGGGCCAATTCTCGTCGCGAACCCCTTTCCCTTTTCCACGACACAGCTGCCGAGCCAAGGGCTTGGCCTGTTGTGGTTTGGCCTTTTTTCTGATACTCCGTGGAAGGGTGATTTTTGCCATATGTGTGTAGCTTTGTGCATCTGGTGGGAATGCCTGTGGTTCACCGGCGTGGTACGATATATAGTATAATCTGATATTGATGCGTCTTTGCCTGTGGAGCCGCCGACGTTATCAACAGTGATCTGTTAGGCTAATTATTCTCTATCTAGTTCTATAGTTTTTAGATATAAATAAAAACTATAGAACCTCAGCTTCAGACCTGACAGCAGTCTACAATTCTATCCATTGACAGTATCAACTATACAGAGTCAATACTACCTATAATTATAGTTAGGATTATGTTTAGTAACATGACAGACAAAGTTGTGTATTCATAGATTCAAATCTGCGGCATCTCATCGTACATTCGTGGGAGATATCGGTTTAGATTTCACCAACAACTTATACAATTGTCGGCCTGTTGATAGCACAGGAGATCCTCAAATGACAATCAATTCATACCGGACGGACTCTGATGCCCATCTCATGATCGACATATTCCAACCCTTCGGGGTCGGTAGCAAGCAGTTTTGCCTCAGCTTCCTTCCTTTCCTTGCCCTTACCCCAGCCCGCTGCAGACTTGAAAGGCTTCCCAAGCCACTGAAGAGCCGCGCCCACAGGCGCCGATATCGCTGGATTATCTGCGATGACTGCATGCGCAACGAGGAGACAGGCACAGAGACCCAAGAGTGCGGTCAAAACCCTGGAGTGTTGTTAGATTCGTGGGAAAGAAAATGCGAGGCAAAACGCAAAAGGTATGCTCACGCCAAGGCAATCTCGAACCCCCAAATAGTGACTAGTGCCTCACATGGCCGATTTCTATAACGCCTACCGAATTTACCTTTGCCCGACTGAATCGGTAGTACCTCGAACATTGTGGGTGTTCCTTCTGTGATGCCAGGGGGGTCTCGCCACACGTTATCATTTTCGCATGATCCTAGAGGAAGCGGCATATATCGCGATTGAAGGACGGCAGAAGCGACGAGACCCGTAGCAAGACCGAAGCGAGTAACGACGCGAGCGAACCACCACAGTCCACTATGTGGTATAAAGATAGACAGGAGGAACACTGCCACCCCAATACATGTCTAGATTTCCCGGTTAGTGGCTCTTTTCGTGATCCGAACAAGAAGATATACTGCTATTAACGGCCCGTCTGTGCCGGGCTTGATATAGGGGCTATATGGCGGCTCGAAAAGCTCCGGATGTGAATAGACTCTGTGGTGAAAGGCACCGGATAGGCAGGCCAGCGCTATAAACAGCACGAGAAATATAGTGGGCATATATTTCTCGAGCCAGAGAATGGCCCGAATCCCTAGGGGTCTGTCCGCAGGTGCGATGGACATGGTCTGCGAACGGGCAATTTATGTGAAGATGCGAAGCATTTGATAGTAGAGCAGGTGCAGGCAAGAAAAACGTGTTCGAGCCGCGCCTTCACTCACGGTCGTTTTATGAGCCATGCCACTTTTCCACTCCTGCGCAGTTGTGCTTGGAACGATCTGCAGGTTGTGCGGCGCAGTTAAATACGATGTTGGGGCGGGCTTGAGCGTAACCTAATACTTTGTAGCAGAGATCAACACCCTACATATCGTTTTCGTCCAACTAAGTGGGCTAATACGAGCCGATAGACGGAAAGTGCCTCTGCACCGTGATTACAATCCTTGGCAGGCCCCTGTTCGCTTATTATGATTGAGAGAGTGGGGTTTAAATGGAGTTTAAGAAAAAAATAAGATGCGAGAGATTCATGCACATCGCGCAAACCATGGTAATCGAGGATAGCTATCTTCGCCTACCAGAGTCAGGGCTCTATAGTACAACAAGTGGCAAGAGGGTTTCTGATAGCTCATCAGTTAGTTAGGCTTGGCGGATTTCAACGAAGCCTCTCTTAGGGTTATTCAGACGATGAATACTGTGCTTGGTTGCTTTGACCAAGACCCTCCATGATATGCACGACTCCTTCGTATAGGATCTAAAATATGCTTATCTCTCTTCCTCAGCCCCACACATATCTTTCCTAATAGTTACTTCGAGACACCCCAGATTAGCCGCATGAATAATACCTAATCTACAACTGAAGTTGCTTTGAAGCGCTGTAGCTATATGGATATAACTGTTACAGCCTACTTTTTTATGGCCAGTGCATTGTAGTATACGGACTTTGTCTTGGCATGCTTGTTGCCAAAAGAAAGGACGATAAAGAATAAAGATACATAAGAGGTATCAACTTTGCTAGAGAGAACACAGCTGGTATTGTCCCCGCAAGCACAGCGATAGTATAACAAGCCCCATGGGGAAGTGGTCGCCCCGAATCACTGCGTTAGGGTTGTGGCGGATGCCGGTTAAACGAATACTTTTTGGAAAGCCGGCGCTTTCTGGCCTCGAAAGCGGTCATTTTCGGCTTCAATATCACAGGCCCTCGGATTCTAGATGTAATCCATACGTGTTGGCAAAAGGAAAACCATGTCAATATGTTTGGGTTATGCTTAAAGGAACCCTGGAGCATTCCATGCTATCAGCAGCATTCACTACTATGAGGGCTAACCAGTCCTATGTCAAATCTCCGTGAAGTGCTCGGTTTACACCAAAATACGATGTCTTCGATCAGTTTTATTTCATTTTTTGTATAGTAATAGTATAGCTGTACAATTTGCTAAAATTTACAATCCCCCAAACGAATTATATTATGATATACCACTGACAAATCCGTAGCCACAATCGTCGAGTTTTTGGTGGAACACGGGCATTTAACGGCAACTTCTAGCGTACAACTACAATCTTTAGTAAGAATAGGATCAAGTACCTCGCTTTCCTTGCTTTTATGACAAGAGACGACTATCTACCACAACCGTTTCTTTCTGGGGAAGACACAAAGACAGCTTTCGTTCTAGTTGTGCGTCTTCTTGCGAATTTGGCTGGCGACACAATCCCTTGCTATAAATAGTTTACTATGGACATCCCTCCAGAATGTCGTCCCGCTACCGGCGAAACAGGAGCTCCTCACGTCCAAAGATGCTTCTGCAGGAAATGTGCTAGCTACATACCTGAGACCGATCCAAAAGATGTGAAAGCCAGTCGTCCTCCAATTGCCATCGTGGGGATGGGAATGAGGTTACCAGGCGGAGTTCGTTCGGCGGAGGATTTCTGGGAGATGCTCATCGAGAAGAAAACAGGCCACGGCGAAATTCCCGAGAGTCGATACAATGCAAAATCATTCTGCGATCCAAAGAACCCACGACAAATTCGCACCCGATATGGCTACTATCTTCAGGAAGACCCGGCCTGCTTTGATGCCGACTTTTTCTCGATGAGCTCCGTTGAGGCATCAAGGGTGGATCCGCAGCAACGTCTCCTTCTCGAAGTCGTTTGGGAGTGTCTAGAGAATGCAGGAGAAACAGACTGGCGTGGTAAAAACATAGGGTGCTACGTCGGTACTTTTGGAGAGGACTGGCTCTGCCTTTCCACAAAGGAATACCAGCATATTGACCGCTATTATGCGTTGGGGACGGGTGCATTTGCTTTATCTAACCGTATCTCGTACGTATATGACTTCAGGGGGCCTAGGTATGTGTGGACAATGAGATCCTCTCTCGGCGTATTGGTTCCTGATATCAGAAATAGCATGACGATCCAAACCGGTTGCTCTGCCTCCCTTGTCGGCGAATATGGTCATATCGGAAAGTGGGACGTGCCGAAGCTTCGACCAGAGTGCGGATGGATATGGACGCGGAGAAGCTATTAATGCTATATATATCAAACGGTTGGATGATGCTAGTCACAATAACGATCCGATCCGTGGAGTTATTCGGGGTACTGCATCGAACAGTGATGGATGGAAGTCAACTATTACTGCTCCAGATGTACTCTCTCAAGAGAGTCTGATGCGTACAGCATATAGCAATGCCAACATTAGCGATATATCGCAGACGCCTTATTTTGAATGTCACGGCACTGGGACAGCCATGGGTGATTCTGTGGAGCCATCTGCTATCGCCCGTGTGACGAAGGGGAACTCTGTATATATTGGTTCGGTAAGCTCCCATTCTTATTAGAGTGGGATACCTACATGACATGATGCCTAGCTGATGCCAATAGGTCAAACCCAACGTTGGCCATTCAGAGGGTGCATCAGGTATCACCAGCGTCATCAAGACAGTCTAGAGCCTTGAGCGTGGAGTTATCCCACCCGTTGCTCTATTTGAGACTCCCAGGCCGGGTGGCCCGTTGACCGAAGGACAATTGACCGTTCCTACCGATGCGAAGCCATGGCCAGCCGACCGACTTTGGAGGGCCAGTGTTAATGGATTCGGCATTGGTGGATCTAACGCACATATCATAGTAGATCGTGGCAATGGCGCTATTGAGCCAACCAACTCCAACCTCAATGCAGACTCTCAGTTAGTTCTGACTTCCGCAAGCAGTGTATCAAGCCTCAAGAAGCGAATCTGGCAGATTACACAATACATAAACAATTTCCCTTCATCTCTGGGTGATATGTCGTATACGTTAGGCAGCCGACGACATCATTTGGATGTTCGTGCTTTTGCGGTTGTACACCTGGTATACCACTCGAGGACACAGCCTTTCAGTTTACCGAAGCAGCAAGCCACACTGAGCTCATATTTACTTTCACTGGCCAAGGTGCACAATGGCCAGGGATGGGAACAGCCCTCCTAGAACACTTTGAGAGTTTTAAAGCAGATGTTGAAGTGATGGAACTAGCGCTGAAGGGACTGGACGACCCTCCTCAGTGGTCATTGAAAGGTACCGAAATATGGCGCGATTCAGGGATTTAATGTGTTTTATCCTCATATAGAAGCTAACAACAACCTACAGACGAATTGAATAAAAGCATGGACAAATCTCGAGTCATGGAACCCGAGTTCTCTCAGCCTTTGTGCATTGCGATACAGGTCGGTTTGGTTAATATATTCGCTCAATGGGGTATCAAACCGAGGGCTGTACTTGGCCACTCCAGTGGTGAGATAGCTGCCGCGTATGGAGCACAGGCGATTTCTGCTACTGATGCTATTGTGCTTGCATACTATCGTGGGAAGTTTGCGAAGTCGAAGGAAGGGCTAGGAGGAATGGTAGCCATCAATACAAGTCGAGATATGGTGCATCCCTTCCTACGTGAAGGCGTAGCTATTGGCTGTGAGAACAGCCCTCAGAGCGTGACTTTATCAGGTGATAAGGACCAGATCGATCACACGGTGGAAGATATAGAGCAGAGCATGCCTGGAAGTTGTCGTCGTCTCAGGGTAAATGTGGCCTATCATTCACGTGAGTAATGCACGCAATTTGTCTGTTGAATTTCTCGTATGCACTGCAATATACTCACAGTTATTGCAGACCATATGAAGGATATCGGACCTGCCTATGAAACAGCCATACTGAAGCATACCGGACGGGGTGAACAAATGCTCCCCATGCATTCCAGTGTGACAGGCAAGAGTATTCTGTGTCCTCAAGAACTAGACGCTGGCTACTGGCGCCGGAATCTCGAATCATCAGTCTTGTTCTTAGATGCAGTACATTGTTGCCTTGAGGCCAACTCCAGTAAGCGCTTAGTATTCGTTGAGATAGGCCCACATTCCGCGTTGGCTGCTCCCCTACAGCAAATATTTAGGGCTTCAGGTGGGCACGGACGTTGCGCATATATCTCTACGATCACGCGCTTCAGTAATGACTTCAGAGCGCAGCTTTTAGCTTCAGTGGGCCAGATACATATCAATGGCGGTTCTGTCAACCTTCCAAACATCCTTTGCCCAGGCAGGACATTAACCGACCTTCCGCCATATCCATGGCAACACGATCAGAAGTCCTGGGAAGAGAATCGCACAACTCGGGACTGGAGGTTTCAGTTGGCCCCTCACCATGAACTTCTTGGCTCTCACGTAACCGATACAACAGGCACTGTTCCTTCTTGGAAAAATATGCTTAGCGTGGAAGATGTCCCTTGGCTTTCGGACCATGTGGTGCAGGAAGAGGTCATATACCCGGGCGCCGCTTATGTTGCGATGGCTGGGAGTGCTGTTCTGCAGCTACATCCAGAGTCTGACAGCTACACAATTCGGGACCTTCTCATTATCGAACCCTTATTGGTGGACGAAAGAAGTCCGACAGAGGTTATCACCAGTTTCCAGCCAGTAGAAATAGCTGACAACGTCTATTCAGACTATTACAGCTTTTCTATCGTGAGCTATCAGGGGTCATCTTGGGTAAAACATTGTGGAGGGCGTGTGCGTCCTGGCTACGAAATACCTCCTAGGAAACAGCCTGTGGGATCTTACGGCTTGTCGTGCACTCCTGACGAATGGTACGAAGCGACCCAAGCTTGCGGTATCACCTACGGGAAAAGCTTCCGAGGGCTGGAGAATATCACAGTTGACCCCAACGGAGGTGGACGGGCCAGCGCTGTTGTTCACAATTCATCGGACCTAGACCATCATGCGTACAGTATTCATCCAGCGTCCATCGACCAGGCCTTCCAGGCAACAATGGCGGGCATCCTCTTCAATGCGCTCGACGGCATGGAGTGCTCATTCGTACCTGTCAGTGTCGACAGAATATACATCACACAAGGTGGGCCTTTGATGACAGTTGGTACGAGCGTAAAGTGCCATACGCAGACTAGTTACTACGGAAATGCCATTGGCCTTGTCGATGATCACATTGTCCTGGAAATTGAAGGTGCTGTATTTGGTGCACTCGACAATGGGAACAGACTCACTCCTGCAAATACCAACTTGCTGACGCGTACTGAGTGGAGGCCAGATTTTGACCTTCTACCCAAAGACAGTACTCTCACTCTTCAAGCCCTTCCTGCAAACGTGGACTTGATTGCTCAGGCGATGGGGCACTTGTCCCTGTTATATCATCTGGAAGCCGCTGAACGTCTGGAAGCTGTAACCACCGAGATTGTACATCTGAATAAATGGAATGCCCAGATTTATGAAAAGGTCTCGTCACTCCACCAAAAATATGGGAGCTTGTTTACTATGCTCGAGAGTCATGGGGCTCACATCAAACACTTACTTGACATGACAAGCGAGCAGCGACAAGTGACTAGAGATCACTGGATTGGTGTCGTAAAGGACAGTGGTTCCGCTTCTGTTTTGGCTGTGATTGATTGCATGGATACGATTTTGGAAAGGTCTTTGGAGCTAATGCGTGGAGAGGTGTCGCCATTGGAATTGCTGATGAGAGATGACCTTTTCGAAAAGATGTATGAGCAATCAATTGGCTGGGTCGACTGCAGTGCTTACTTTGTCCATTTGTCCCATTCTAACCCAAACCTTCGCATCTTAGAGATTGGAGCAGGAACAGGCAGCTGCACAAAAGTCGTCCTTCGTCACCTGAAAACTCAAGCAGGGATACGTCGCTATAGATCATATACATTTACCGATATATCACCAGCATTCACCCAGGCCGCCGTGGAGAAATTTGGAGAGCAAGCAAACTTTGAGTACCGCGTCCTTGACATCAGTGAGGACCCAATAAAGCAAGGGTTTGAGCCTGATTCATATGATCTTATTATTGCTTCGAATGTAGGGATTTCCCTTGCACTCACTGAAACGGAACCCTAAGTGACTGAAACATGACTGTGCGTCAGGTTCTCCATGCAACTCCATCAATCCGAAAGGCTCTACAGAATGTTAGGACTTTGCTATCCACAGGAGGCCAGTTGTTTCTTGTGGAACTTGATCCAGGTAAGACGGAGGTTGATGTACACTCACACTCGTAGATCGTGACTAAACGATAGCTAGCTGTACCTAATCTAGATGTGGTTTTAGTATGCATGGGCCAGTTTCTTTCGTCCATCTTTTATATCTAACGTACTTAGGGAATTTTACCTGGTTGGTGGGTTGGTGAAAGTGATGGCAGACCGTTGAGGCCGTATATTTCCGTTGAGCGGTGGGACAGCGAGCTGAAAGCCACTGGTTTCAGTGGTGTAGATGTCGCCCACCACGATCGCCCTGGCTTACTTCGAACCAACGCTATCATGATTTCCACAGCTCTCAAGGGGGAATCGTCTTTCCCAGCTGAAGATGTGACTCTCCTCCTCTCACACGAGCCAGGCGACTGGGAAAAAGACGTGCAGAGACGACTTACTCAAACGGGCCATCTTACAGAATGGGCTAAAATCTGCGACCCAGTACCACAGAGCCCAATGACTATCTCGTTCCTGGATATGAACAGTTCTTTCCTTCATGATATGTCCGAAGGAAGGTTCATCAAGCTCAAAGAATTTCTAAAAGGCTGCTCAGCCATTACTTCGTCCCAGTGCATCTGGATTACGCCAGCCACTCGCCTGCAGTGTTCTGACCCTTCTTATGGTCTGGTCTGGGGATTCGCCCGTAGTTTGCAGCGGGAGATGGATCTGGATCTTTCTATAATTGAAGTCGACAGCTTCGACAAGGTATCTGCAAATCTTGTCGTTGATATCATGCACAAAGTTCGGCGTCAAAGGCTGGTGAAACGCACCCCTTTGGACTATGAGTTCTCCATTTACAAGCACACAGTCCATACGCCGAGATGTACTTGGGAATCATTACCTCGGCTTATCTCCAAACCAATTCGGCAACACTCAGGCTTCAGATTAGACGTTTCATCCAACCGAAAACTCCAGTGGATTGCGGCAGATGCAGGACCTCTGGGGGAGGACGAGGTCGAAGTTGAGATATTCTTTGCTGGATTGAATTTCAGGGTCAGTATAACATGACCACCAGGAAATTGCACGGACACTGACTTTGGTGGTAACATAAAAGGACCTGATGGTAGCCCAGGGCCTTCTTGGAAATAAAGAGGAGCTCGGCTTGGAGGGGAGTGGTGTTGTACGCCGAGTCGGGTCGAGTGTCGTTAATCTAAAGGTTGATGACAAAGTCCTGGCAATAGGATTTGGGCTATTTCAAACCTCAGTGGCTATACCTGCTGAACAATGCCTGAGACTACCTGATGGCATCTCATTAGAAGAGGCATCAACCATGCCAGCTGCATATGTGTCCGTTATCTATTCTCTTCTGCACCGTGCTGTGCTTGATCGAGGTGATGTAAGCACAATTACGTGTCAATCTCTTCTTCTTACAGGTCCTGACAGAGAAACAGTCTATCCTCATTCACTCTGCTTGTAGTGGGGTGGGAATAGCCGCAATACACCTGTGCCAGAGCATCGGAGCCAAAGTAAGAACCCCATGGATAGCCGGTAGCGAGTTCCTGACAGCCAGCATCTAGATCTATGCGACGGTCAGCACGGAAGAAAAGGCTCAATACTTATTAGAGACCTTTGTGATTCCAAGAAACAATATCTTTGACTCTAGGTCGTCCTCATTCTACACAGACTTGATGCGTGAGACGAACGGTAGAGGGGTTGATGTAGTCCTCAATTCTCTTGCCGGTAAACTGCTTCATGTATCCTGGGATTGTGTTGCTGAGTTTGGCCAGATGATTGAGCTAGGGAAACGGGATATTTTGACGCATGGAACTCTTTCCATGTCTCCATTTTCCAAAAATCGCACATTTACCGCGATTGACCTCATGGGAGTTTTGAAGAGAAAGCGGGCATTGGCTATAAGGTCTGTAGTCAACAGCTATCATATCACTGGCTACAACTTGAACTAATTGCATGATACAGACTGGGACGTCAGTTAATTGAGCTCTATAAAGCAGGTAAAATCAGGCCAATTCTCCCAGTGAACACTTTTCACGCCCAGGAGGTCCAAGAGGCCTTTCGACACCTGCAAGGTGGCCTTCACAAGGGGAAGATCCTTATCCGTATGCCCGAGTCGCCATCTGAACTTCATGTGATGTCAAATCAGGGCAGTATTACCTTCCCTTCTGATACTTCCTACCTTCTAGTTGGAGGACTTGGCGATGTTGGCCGTGTTCTTGCTCGGTGGATGGTAAGGCAAGGCGCTCGAGAGCTCGTAATTATGTCACGGTCCACTAGTCGCGCAGAAAGGGAGCAGTCATTCATCAAGGAGCTCGAGGCCCAGAATTGCCAAATCATCACCGTCGCCGGAGATGTGACTAATTTAGAGGATGTGAAGGCAGCTGTGTCTAGCTGCACCAAACCTCTTGCTGGTGTGATCAACCTCGCTCTCTCCCTACAGGTACGCTACTGAGCATTTCATCGTTTTTCATCACTAAGGTTCCTTTTCCAGGACCGTACATTACTCCACATGACACATGCTGAATGGAAATCGGCACTCGCACCAAAAGTATCCGGGACATGGAATCTCCATCAGGCCGTAGAAGGCCAGCCGCTGGATTTCTTTCTTGTTCTGAGCTCCTTGGTCGGTATTGCCGGCCACGTTGGTCAGGCCAACTATAGTGCTGCCTACACATACCTAGATGCTTTTACCCAATACCGTCGGCAAATGGGCCTGCCCTCCTCGGTGGTCGACCTTGGCCCCATTGCGGGTTCAGCAGCAATCGAAGACCAAACTGTTTCCCGACAACTAGACATGATGGGATGGACTCGATTAAGCAAACAGCAAGTCATCGCCAGCGTGCAGCTCGCCATTTCGGAGTCTCGGGCACCGAATCCAACCGGGCCCCTTTATTCCAGTGAGCTGATCATTGGGTTCTTCCGGAATCTTAGCGAGACGGAGTATACACAGATGCTAGAAGATGATTTATATGGCCAGGATGCAAGGCTTTCAATGTATCAGAATTTGATCGCGTGTGCAGAGAACCGAAAGCCCAAGAACGAGATCAAGCTGCTCTTTGAGAGGGTTGAGAAAGATCCCCGCCTTCTTAACGACCCGGGGATGGAAACCATACTAGTCCTAGAACTGGCAAAATTGATCAATGATCGGACTAGTCAGCTCTCAGAAATGGACTTGGGACAAGCACGGGCCGTGGCCGTTGATTCATTAATAGCCATTGAGGTGAAGGCCTGGCTAAGTCGGCAACTTGGAATACATGTCACCGTGGACGAGATAGCGAAGGCGAACACGGTGGGATCTTTGGTACAGATCCTTATTCAACGTGCAAAGGCAAAGTACCGAGTGGGTGAAGATGGTCCTGCTTCCACCAAAGAGAGCTGATCGATATTTCATCCATACGAGTCTTTGCTTGCTATGTATTCCTGTCCCTGTGCCTTTTGTGATTTCGAAGGTTGAACCACTTAGACACTCAGACAACAGCCTCAATCATTGACTCCACTTAGTCCCCAAGTTCAACTGAATTAAATGCATCCATTTCACCATTCCGCCCCGACTCCCAGCATAGATAAACCTAGCCGGCGATCTCCCCGCGCGGAAACGACCCTTAAAAATGAGAAATTTAGAAACTCAAGGTAAAAAACAACATTCGGTATTTTAAACCCCCCGCACCAATCACCCAGGCCCAATAAACAATTAAATTAAATACTAGTATTTTCCAAATAAAAAAAACTATATCAAACATCCAACGCAAAAATCACCACCACCACCACCAACCTCACACCTCACACCTCAGCAAACAAAACACTCTATCTAACACACTACTACTACACCTACAAAAACCCAAAATGTCCTCATCATCACTACCCCCAAATCTCATCCCCGACATCTCCGCATTCGTAACAAAATGCATGGCTTCGCACGACCCCTCGCACAACCCCCAACACGTGCACCGCGTCGTGTCACTAGCCAAACAAATTCTAGCGCGCGAAACAGCCCGCGCGGCCTCTTCTACAGTGTACAATGCCGACGTGGTGCACCTCGCCGCGCTGCTGCATGACATCGGGGACCGGAAATATCTCTCCCAGGTTGCGGCCATCTGGAGTCTATTCCGGGCAGCAGTGCCACAGAAGAGGCGGTGGATCCGCAGCGGCTGGTGTACTGTGTGCTGGTGGCGCATGGGGCGGACGAGGCACTGGCGGAGAAGGTGCAGATGATTGTGTCGCATGTGTCGTATACGACGGAGAAGACGAAGCCGGAGGAGGTGAGCAGGTTGATTCGCGATGGGTATCCCGAGTTGGCGATTGTGCAGGATGCGGATCGGTTGGATGCTATCGGGGCGGTGGGCATTGGACGGTGTTTTACTTTCCTGGGGGCCAAAGGGAAGAAATTTTGTCCTGAGGGGATGTGGGTGATGGATAATGCCATTGAGCATTTTGAGGAGAAGTTGGTGAGGCTGGAGAGTATGATGAAGACGGAGACTGGACGTGACATGGCTAGGGTGCGCACGGCGAGGCTGAAGGAGTTTCAGCAGTGGTGGGCGGATGAAATGAACGACGTCGCGTAGGAAGATCGCTTTGTATGTACCACGATAGGAGAGAACGAGGGATGACGGCATGTAATGCAATATAAATTAACCTATAGACATCAAGTCCGAAATCATGCTATCCAGTCTATCAATTCTCAATACACTATTGGGTATGTGACAGGTGACGGTATTATCTGCTGTGAAGGCACGCACAAAGAGAAAAGGAACGTATGGTTCTATCAAACCACCTGCTGCACTCGGTGATAACCATTTGTTGTGCAGGGTAAAACGACTGTGATGCCATAGCCAATGCCACTGAGATGAGTAGGGAGAGACAAGTAAGAAAGAAGACCAACGCCGAAACCGCTGTAATGTCTAAACTAACTGCATGTCATTGCGTTTCAATATACCTCCGAACAAAAAGATTATAATGCAATTAGACCCGATCCCGGGCGAAATCCAAGAAGTCGCAGTCATCTTCAAAGAAGCCATCGTCGCCTCCAGAACCAGCCGAAGGAAACGACGAGCCATGTCTCTTCTTTCTGCGTGTGGTAATCACGACCTCTTCAGGAAGCCCCGTACTGTTGCCAAGACTGATTAGATTCTCCATCTCGCCACCAGAGCCCAGTTGGTGTTCATGCATCTCGTCGTCATCATCATCGCCACCAGCGCTGAATGGGCGCACATGTATTCTGGTCATGGGCAGGTTCTCACCAAATACCCAGTTGCCAGTAGGCAGATTTGATGGTTCGTCCGCATGTCCAATTTCCGGATACACGTAGAGACTAACCCGCTGGTCGGTGTGGAAAGGTTGGTAAGGTGCGTTTGTCTCAATCTCCGCCTGGGAGAGAGGCTGGCATTTAAGTTTGGATACAAGAGACGGCCGTGGATTGGAAGAAGGCAAGGCCAGCGATGCGCGAACGGGGGTCTCCACATTAAATGCGCTAACCGGCATAGGACCGCAGGGCGCCTGCAGAACGGGGGGCAGCCGGAATTCAATCTCCTTGCCTCCTACCACGGATTGGAGCTGCCGATTCTTCTGAGTAGACATAGTACGTCGCACCCTGTAGAGCCGGAAGTGCCCGCTGTCCACCAAGCCTAAAAATACCTGGTCTTTATTCGTAATCCAAGTGACACGAGACGCAGCTGGGCCACGGGCCAGCCCGTGTAAGCGGTTTTCCCCAGCGTGGCGGAGGGTGTTGACTGTCCCAGTGGCTGCTCCCATGGATTTGCTGAGGCCAGCAGCAACTACTTTCCCGCCTCGAACCCCAGCAGACGATGAAAATCCCCCTACTGCAGGTAAAGCCCCACCGGCACTTGCAGTACGACCTCTAACTGCCGCGATTATAGGCTGCGTCTTGCCCCCAACGAGCTTGAACGCCGCTGATAGAGGGTTCACCGGGGTCGCTTTGTCAGACAACTCATCCGTTGATTGGTCCGGCACCGGCGGTTTACTAGATGTTGGGCGAGCCCGTCGGAATGGAGGCCATTGGAAAGCACTTCGCGGTAGATCAAAGACATGTACTGTTCCTTTCCGAGTAATAACTGCCAATCGGTCTCCAGAAGGAGGGCACCAAATCACGTCGACAATGTAGGATTTTGTCAAACGCGTGTACCGTGCGATTTGGCGCACATTGGCACACGTGTTCACGGAATCCTCTGACAAAAATGCCCCGGCTCGACAGTATTTAGCTTGCATGAGATCCCAGACGTGTTGAACGTCTCCGTTCGTGCTCGCCGTAAGTAGCATCAATCCATTAGGCGAAAAGGAGAGGAAGCTACATCCTTCGGGAGGCTGGAACGTGGCAACGGGGTTGAATAGCGCGGCCTTTGTCTCATTGCCGTCTTCAAGCCTTTTCAAGTCCATGATTGAAACAATGTCAGGCTCCGCAGGTGTGTTAGCATGAGTATCTTGGGCATGAGTAGGTGGGAAGGCGCTGTATCCCTGTGGCAAATCTCCCAAGGTGGGAGAGCGCCGCGGTGCAGAAGATTGGAGCTGGTCTTTATTCCAATAATTATTCCACGCTTGAAGCCCCTGGTCACCCATCCATCTTGCGCCTCTCACAATCTCCTGCGTCACCCCTCTTGCTACCTTGTCAAAGAAGCTTGGGCCCTCGCCAATGTCTGTAGCGCACGTTATTGCTGGCCTTGCTGGAGGATTACGATTGTCAAGGCCATAGACTTTGCCCTGGATCAACGACGGAGGAACCGTCCCTGGAAGCGACGCCCTATACGTGGACGACGGCGGGACGATTGCCAGCCATCTTCCCTTTAGCGCAACGATAGGGCTGTCGGTGTTAGCAATTCCAGATGGAGAGTCAGTCCGAGATCCATCAGGATCTGTTGAGCTTGAAGAAGTTGAATAACGCCGGGATTCCCGTGAGCGAATACTCGTCCATGTTTTACCCAAGCACTGGTACCCATTCATGTTGTAGATGAATACCTCACCGCTAGCTCCAGATGCCAAAACTACATAGTTGCCTCCCGCGAAGAGCTTCAAATTTCCGGCGGGGGAAGGTGCAATTGCAGGCAGTCCAGGAATACTCTCAAAGTACGGGGAAGGCTTCATTGTGAATAGAGTCGTGATGTGCTCCCCTGTTCTGAGCGAATATATTTCGACGCGTGTCTGGTAATATCTGGCATCATCTTTCACCGAGCGCCTCTCAGCAGGATGCTGGCGCCCAATGAGCGTAGGAGGCACCTCATTCACTTCCGAACCCACAGAAGAGCCGCGAGTGTCATCGTCAGGTAGTCCACATGGACCATGGATAATGACAGCGACATGTGGTCTGGATGCTGAGCACGAGTCATTGGGTAAATTGCAGGCCAGGATTTTGGCGTCTATCACACGACCATTGAGACCAGCCAGCTTCCCAATTAATCGTGTTTTACGGTCCTCCACTGCGAGGACTTCCAAAGATCCATCAGTGCCCACAACAAGAACACTAGTTCCCATTTTCGACGACTTGGACGAAGGGCTGTAGATCGTGTCAAAGGAACAGAAAGAATATTTTTCACCTGTCGACTGCCTGTTCTGGCCAGACACGAGTGGGAGGTCGATATCAGGTGCTCCATAGAAATGGGCCTGGGGCAAGTGCGGCAACGGAATCGGGTTACTGAATGGGCCACTGACGGAGTGGCTTTTGTGCCTATCTACAGACTGCTGTCGAGATAGGTCACTAGTCAAGTACCCGTTGCCATAGCTCAAAGGCCTTGCCCTGGGAAGAGGCGACGTTGAAGAGGGGTGGCTAAAACCGCCCTTTTCCGGATTTGAGGGGAAGGCAAAGGGAGACCCATTCGCGATTTCGCTGTCACTAACGTCGTTCGGTGGGCTCTTCCCAAATGGGATAGACTTTGCCCAGCTATCGGTACGATACGCTAGATCATTCTCTGGTGAGTCATTAAGGGAGCCAAGTGCATCTAGAACCGGCGAGACTATATTGCTGGGACGTTCAGAAGCCAACGGAGGGTCTGGACATGACGACGGTTCAGCCTGTAGAGGCGGAGAGGCTGGTATCCTGTGCATTTTGGGTATTTCAAGTCAGTGATCTGATGGACCAAGCGGCAAATTCGCGGTGCTCTGTGCTTACAAGTCTTCCGGCGGTGCCTTTGCTGCAGCCTTAGCTGTCTTTGTCTTCCCCTTGGATCCGGCCTTGCCCTTTTTCTTCTTTCCGCTCTGATCATTCTCCGGGGGGGGTTGGTTCAAATCCTCTAGGGGTGGGCTAGGGTCACCGACGGACCGGCTCTGCTGGCGGAATAGATCGTCCGAAGCTGCCGGGGGCATGAAATGGAAGGATTGCCTCGTGGAGGCAAGACGATCTCGATAAGAAAAACCGCTCTCAGGACCCGTGATAAGGTCTGAGAACGGGGGGGTCTCGCGACGTTATCGGTGGCAAAGACTTGTCGCGGAGGTAGGGTATCGGCTGTTGACTATCAACAAACATACCCGTTAGTATGACTCACCCAGCAGTCGAGAGGGCAAAACAATACGTACATGTATGGATATTGAAAAGAAAATTTAGATATATGAATATGAAATGGAAAGCGGCTTCGGTGCGCGTGGGAATAAGGGTTAACAAAGCAACAGCGTATCCAGAGTCAAGATACGCTTGTAGCTTCGGAGATTAGGGCGAGACGGAAGCGCTGCTTATACCGTTCGTCCGAGAATCCGGAGTGGATGTATGGAAGTGGAACACGAGTTACAAAATGTACAAGATGATAGATATACCGGATACAAAGAAGACAGTTTGGTTAAAGAAGTCAGTTGTTGTTTGAGTAAATAGAAAGAGAGGTTGGGGAAGAACATGGAGGGAGAGGGGGAGGGGGTCAGGTCAGGAGTATGGATGACATCCCCATGGGTAGGCTGACTTATCTCCTATCAGTCCCAGATTTAGTTAACCTTAGTGGTGACCGACCACGAATAGACTACTATTAGTTGGGCGGAACTAGATGCGGTCGGCAGGTACGGTACGGTATGGTAAAGCCCGGTAACCTCGGTGAGGTCCCCAGGCCGGCACATGACGAGGATCGGGGGATGATTGGTCCGTTTGAGACGGTGACCGTCAGGGTATGACGCCAGTTTTGGACTGCCTAACGTGCCTTTGTCCATCCGGACCTTGGATCTACGGAATACCGCGCTTGCCTTGCAGTCTGCAAACCAAAAAGATAAGTATGGAGTCATCCGCCCCCCTCCTCTTAGAATGAGAGGAAGGCCCCCCCACTCCTCATTCCCACAGCCACTCGGCACTCAAATGACGATCCATCCACCATGATCCAGGCAAATTATTGGTTTGCCCTGCAGGTCGCATGAGGGGCCCCCCGGACAAACAATGCAAACCACACGCGTTTGAACACGGGTCAGCAGGCGCCACGTGATTTGCCTGAATGATGCAGCCAAAGAGCCCTTACCACTTGGACATGGAAGGGGGCGATGGCAAAGCCACAGTCAACTGGAAGGAAACTTCCTCAGCTTCGAAATTCTTCCGTGGACGATCCGGGTCTAGCCGTCACTGGTACTTCCATATCAACCAAATACTATGAATCATCAGGAATGTTCTGTCCGGTAGGTCCGCACCACATACTAGTACCTACTCGCCGTCATCTGCAAGGTCCCTGATTATCATTGGCACATCATCAAGCGGTGACTGAGGCATGACGGTGGAGGTTTAATTAAATCACATTGGAAGTCCATCCGTCGGGTCCTCACGCTTATATGGGCTACTTTGGGGAGTTACCCCTTTGGGGTTCCCCAACCTCATGTGATATCTTCCAACTTGGATTGACCTATCAGTCCGTCGCCGGTGTCTTTGAATCGCACCACGTGATAGGTTCAAGGAAGATTCCATTGTGAGTATAATAGGGAAGAGCGTGGAAGTTGCATGCATGCATACTCCAGGAATCAAAAGCGATATGACGTGTATTGTTACAATGTATATGACACCTGTTCCGACGCATCTAGGTCCCCCCTGCGCACACACCAAAGTTCGCGCCTATTGCAACTTCTCAAGTCTTCTTCTTCGCTGCCGCAGCCTTGGCCTTGGCCGCCTTCTTCTTGTTGCTGTTGATCATGACGATTCCGATGAATGTACCAACCACAGCCGATCCGAGGAGAGTAAGGATGACAGGGATGCGGATAGCCCATACACGAGGAGGGAAAAGGTCATGGAGGGGGTGGTCCGGGTCGACAAATGGCTATCACCTTGTTAATAAGTGCACGTAAATCCCAAAAGGCATAGACGGGGACTTACCATGAGAAGAGTCCAGGCCGTGTAGTAGAGAAAGATTGCGGTAGCGGCCAAGAGCATGGCGGATCCGACGAGTTGGCCCAGCTAGAAAAAGCGACAATCAGCATATGAAAATATAACGATGCAGACTAGTTTCTTCTTACCATAATGGTGAACAAATCTATAGGGTAGACCTAAGAGAGTAATTGCGAAGAGCTGCTGGCCTGAAAGGTGGGCATGGACAGACCATCCCATCGCATCAACACGAACAGCTTGGCTCCTGAGTGACACGTGACCCGATCCGAACGCTAAGACTTTACCCTTCGCCGCCTCACGTTCTGTCCGACGGAGCTCAACCATCAACATTTTCGCAACTTGACTCAAGAGTCACTCTTCCTTTATTGAGGTCCCAGGGTGATCTGGGGATCTGTACGGAACGATGACAGACCCGGTCGTATTGCAGTCGGCGGTGCGAGTGCCCACACCTCCACCTGGCACATCCTATTCTCCAAAAGCATCGGGCTCACGAAAACGCTCGCCCCCCTCTCGTTCGCCTTCTCCCACTCGTCGCCGGTCGCCTCCAGGTGACTCTATCAAAGAAGATGGCGACGCGCCACGAATTGACCCTGAACGTGCCATTGAGCGAGAACGACAACTTGCGGAGCGTGTCCGCCAACATGAGAAGCAGGAGGCCGCGCGGAAACCGATGACGGAGGAAGAAAAACAGGCTTCAGCCAAAGCAGAATATGAGAAGCTTCTGAATATGCGGTCGGGAGGAACTTATATTCCCCCTGCTCGACTCCGTGCGCTGCAAGCCCAGATCACAGATAAGACGAGCAAAGAATACCAGCGTATGGCATGGGAAGCTTTGAAGAAATCGATCAACGGTCTTATCAACAAAGTCAACGTCTCAAATATCAAATTTATTGTGCCAGAACTTTTCGGCGAAAACTTAGTACGAGGACGCGGGCTGTTTTGCAGGAGCATCATGAAAGCCCAAGCTGCCAGCTTGCCGTTCACGCCAATTTACGCTGCGATGGCGGCTATCGTCAACACCAAACTTCCTCAAGTTGGCGAGCTTCTGCTTAATCGATTGATCGTCCAGTTCCGCAAAGCGTTCAAAAGAAATGACAAGGCAGTCTGTATATCGTCGACGACTTTCATCGCTCATTTGTGCAACCAACAGGTGGTACATGAGATGCTTGCAGCTCAAGTTCTTCTTCTCCTGCTCCACAAACCCACAGATGACAGTGTGGAGATTGCCGTCGGCCTCACAAGGGAAGTCGGACAGCATTTGGAGGAAATGAGCGGTCCTATTGCCCTGGCGGTGTTCGATCAGTTCAGAAACATCCTCCACGAAGCCGATATCGATAAAAGAGTCCAGTACATGATTGAGGTCTTGTTCCAAGTCCGTAAAGACCGTTATAAAGACAACCCGGCGGTCAAGGATGAACTTGATCTGGTAGAGGAAGAAGATCAGATCACACACCGTGTTGGTCTTGACGATGAGATTGAAACTCAAGATACCCTCAATATTTTCAAATACGACCCGCAATGGGAGGAACACGAAGATGCTTACAAGAAACTGAAGGCTGAGATCTTAGGTGAAGGTAGTGATGACGAAGAAGATGAGGACGAGACCGATGAGAGCTCTGACGAAGAAGCCGAAGAAGAGCGGCAGATGGATATCAAAGACCAAAGCAACACGGACCTCGTCAACCTGCGGAGGACCATCTACTTGACTATCATGTCCAGCATTGATTTCGAAGAATGCTGTCATAAACTGATGAAGATCTCACTGCCACCTGGCCTGGAGCCTGAACTTCCGGCGATGATCATTGAGTGTTGTTCTCAAGAAAGAACATACTCCAAGTTCTACGGTTTGATTGGTGAGCGGTTTTCCAAGATCAATCGTCTTTGGTGTGACCTTTTTGAGGCTGCTTTCGCCAAGTACTACGACACGATCCATCGATTCGAGACCAATAAGTTGCGCAATATTGCCCGCTTTTTCGGCCATATGTTCAGCACAGACGCCATCGGCTGGCATGTTATGTCCGTGATCCACCTCAATGAAGAAGAGACCACTTCAAGCAGTCGTATTTTTATCAAGATTCTCTTCCAAGACCTAGGAGAGCACCTTGGTCTCCAGAAGTTGCAGGAGCGCACGAGAGATGAGATACTTCGTCCGAGCTTTGAGGGTCTCTTCCCAACAGATAACCCTCGCAACACCCGCTTTTCTATCAACTATTTCACAAGTATCGGCTTTGGTATTCTGACAGAGGACATGCGTGAATACCTGAAGAACCTCCCCAAGCCGACAGTTCCAGCTCTCCCTGCCCGCGATGCTACTCCAGAGTCAGACGCTGAATCTGTCAGCTCTCGCTCATCTTGCTCCACGTGCACTGGCCCCCGTCACTCGCGCTCGCGCTCGCGCTCCTATTCATACTCCCGTTCGCCTTCGCCGGGCCGAGGCCGCCGCCGCTCGGTCAGTCGGGGCCGGTCTTACTCACGATCCATCTCCGGATCTTCTCGCCGGAGCTATAGCTACACGCCTTCACGCTCCAGGTCGCCAGTGTCGCGAAGTCGCCGGCGCTCTGTTTCTTACAGTCGATCCCGGTCACCCAAAAGGTCGCCGGTCTCTCGTACTTCCCCCAGACGGACTCGCGCTAAGTCTTATGACTCGCGCTCCTCTCGACGTTCACCGTCTCGGTCCGTTACACCCGAGAAACGGGGTTACAGTCGTAGGAACCGAAGCTACTCCAGATCGGTGTCCAGATCTGTTACTCCACCTCGGCGCGAGGCACGAGGCAGGCGCTACTCGTCTGAGTCTTTATCTCCTCCCCGCTCTAAACGCGCATCGTCGCGTTCACCTCGCAAGGCAGCCCCGGCTCGGCGCGCCCGTGATGCTTCAGCGTCACGTTCCCCGAGCCCCGCACGATCGCGACGTGATCAAAGAAGACGCCGGTACTCGGATTCCCGATCACCGTCTCGCTCGCCCCCTCGGCGTAGATCGCCGTCCCGGACTCCTCCTCGTCGGGGCCGCGCCGCTGACTATATCTAATTTAAATGGTGATGGGTTGTTGTAAAAATGACATGAAAATGCCTCTTAAGACGCATACAAAGAATTCCATTATTTGATGTTGACCGCAGGTCATGAGTTATTTGTTAGGACTGGTTAAAAGGCTCGGTTTCTTAGGTGTATTTGTACTACCCTGCGTTTAGGTTCACGATAGCAAAAAAGGCAGTGGAGTCACTGCACATGATCCACATGTTCACCTGGCTTCAGTCGCAAGTCTAGCTTTCTATATAAAACGCAAAACTATAGCAATAGCTTTTCGGGTACAGCATCTATTATATCTAGGGTATCAACTCAACAATCCAACCCATCTTATCTTTTTCACGCAAACTCCCCCAAGGAAATAACAATGTAAACAAATCTACTCGGCGGCCTCCCACAAACACCTTTCGCACAAACACAACCCACCCAATGCGCCTCTAGCCCATTCCCTTCTCTCCTTGACACTCAGTCCAATATCACAGTAATGATTCAAGATCTCCTGGTCAGCCTTGATCCCCTCGTTCCTGGACGGCGTCTGCTCCTCCCCGGTACCAGTCCTCTTCCAAACAGGGCGTTCAGACTCCGTCCTAGCCCGGAAGGTAATCTCACCACCCCACTCCCACCTCACATTCGGATCACAGCAGTGATTCGCAAGACACCAGAGCGGATGCACAGCACAGAGCTCCGGACCACCATCCCAGGTAGAAAGACGACCAGATGCGGTGCCGCGGAATTTAGCATAGAGTGTATTAAGCACCCAGGTATCGTAGCGGGAAAGGGCCTCGTAAGGATCTAGTTCCATTTCCTCGAGGATGCGCATGGGCTGGAGGATATTGAGGTGGAAGGAGAAGGGCAGGGTGGCGGTGGGGTCGTCGGAGCCTGCGGATGAGTCTTCAAGGTCGTGGAAGTCGCCCCAGATGTACTTGATCTCGGGGAGGTCGAGAGGATGCACGTCCTGCGTTGCGGCCATGGCAACTGCCCGGCCCAGGAGGAGGAGGTACAGGTAGTCGGCTTTGTCTTTAGGGTCGGGGATGTCTTTACCGATGGATTCGAGATTCTCCATCAGGCCGCAGAGGGCGCCGTGGTAAGTTTCCTGTGCTTGGTCGTGACATGTTTGGCTGCAGAAGATTGTGTCGTCGCAGTCTGTGCAAGCGACGGGGGGGTTCTCGGATGCCAGGTCAGGTAGTGGGGCGTTGCAGGCGTCGCACAGGTCGTCATGGAGTCTGTTGGTGGCTGTGAGGAGGGAGTTTTCGCGAAGGATGATCTCGCCGGGGGCGATGTCTTCTTTGGCGAAGAGGCCTAGTTGGATAGAGACCTCGCCCTCTGACGAGGTTCCTTCGTCAGTGGTGCCGTGGAGAGCAGGCAGGGCAACAGCCCGCACTTCACATTTGGGCGCAACATCTTTCAGTCTGTCATTGAGCAGCTTGAGTGTCTCGGGGGCCTTTCTGTCCGGCTCGTGCTCGTTCCAGGGGTACAGGACCCTCCGCGCGAAGCCCTGCGCATTCAGAGCACTGGGGTTGATGTTCACTTCCGCGGCTCCATTGTCCTTAACAGAGTCTGGTCGTTGAGAAATGTATACTTTCTGAATTGCACTCAGCTGCTCCTTGAGGGTATCCACAGCTTTACCATCACACTTTTCCATACTTCCAAGCAACGACAAACCACGCATGCAGAATTCAAATGCGTCTCTATAACACCGGCAATTGACCAAGCTCCGAACGAGCAAAGCATATACAGTCCCAATGATTTCGTCATACTCGTCTTGTGTCGTAGCGACATATGAGTCGTCGTCGTCTTCGTCATCTTGAGTTTCCTGCTCCCCCTCCTTTGCAGCCTGAGCTTGAGTATCTATCTTCCGTCGAGCATGGAACTCACATCCATCGGGGTCAACAACAGACTCCAACAGTGAAAGAGCACGGTACGCGTCCGCGGATGCTAAATCCGCAAATCCTAATTGCTCATGGAGTAGTCCTCGTTCGAGGTGAAGATGTGGGTTATGAGGGTCCGCGTAGAGACGGGCGGTTGCTTCCGAGCGTGATTGAAGGATGTCGTTCATCTTTGATATGAAGACTCAAGTATCTAGGATGACTGTGGCTATTTCACTTCTTCTGTTCAAAACGTGGGGTAAAAGTGGGATGAAGGCCAATTGTTGGCTGTATTTAGGTTGAAAGAGATCGCCTCCCTGTCAGATCTGACGGCTTGGCCGGGCTTGTTGCGCAGCACCACGATATTCAAAAATTGATGTATATAGCTGACCAAACCATCGAGGCTTTCTTGTTTCAGTGAAAAATCAATGTATGAAAAGAGAAGAAAAAGAAAAAGAATGCGGGGAGATGTCTATCGCCACGTGATGATAACAGAATTTGCCCTATATTACCCATATTAGGAAGGTCAAGTAGGGGTTATGAAGTTATCTCACCCCAAGGTTCAAACTGGAATAGCAGTCGAAATCAACCCTGTAAGACAGCTGGATCCTCTGGAGAAGACTCACTCGCTCTAATTTCGAGTTGTGCAGCAATTATGATAGTCTTTCTTAGACTGTATAGCTCGTCAATTTGGTTTATTGCGGGTCTCGTATAGGTCTCCCCTCACGTTCGTTTCTCAGACAGAGTGAGGCTATCGATCATAGAGATATTCGATTTGGTAATTTGAGTCATAAAAGCCTTGCTAGAGTATGCATTAGTACCATCGGGTCATGGCCAACTGTTGATGAGACATGGTGATTTGTTTATCAGGCAAAGTCGCTTTTCCGGCCTACGTGATAAAGGCTCAATGAGAGACCATCTGGTCAGGACATGCATTCTTTGCCATGTATTTGAATCAATGTCTATACTCGGCCAAACAAAAACTTCGTCATGACCTCTGGTGAATAAGTTGTCCGTAATAAGCCCGAAAAGGCTGGTTTGTTGATTCATCATTATAATATATATCTTGACCGGCTATCTGCTAGTACATTGATTTTGTAGTTCGATATCACGACCCACGTACTCGATACTTCTATGAGGTGTTTGATCAACTTTCGAGAACTAGCAATAGTTTCATAGATTGAGTAAGCAAAGTATATAAAATGACATGCGAATGTATATCTACAAAGCAGACTATTATCCACCGAGCTCCTTCAGCCATATGAAATAACAAACAACAACCTACCCACTAGAATCATCAACAACACGAAATGTCAAACAATTCAACTCAGTCCCGACCCTACTCAGCTGCGCATTAACCTCATCAACCAAAAGACACAATCTATCATTCGGCGACCCCATGATAGCCACTTCCTTCGACTTCGCGCTATACCCACTCCTCCAACCCGCAATCCACGTATCCAGCGCACGCTGCCCAGGGTTCCCGGGGCTATCCGCTGGATAGTTCGAAAACGGCTCATGGGTTCGAAAGAGATACAGCTTCGCATCCGCGAAGCTGAGATGTATCACTCTACTGGCCAGGTACTTTGAGACGAGCAGTCCAATCATGCTCTCAATATCTGCCGTCACGCCGAGGGCTCTGGTTGGGTCAAATATGGAATAGCAGACACGGGGACGCACGGTGATCTTGCCGCAGTTTGTGCAGAGGTCTATCTTGGGTAGTTCTGTTGTTTGGAATCGCATGTCGATGGTCTCCATTGGCGATGTGAAAGGATTGGCGAATTTGATGTCGCCTGGTCGGAGGGTTTCAGTAACTTGACCGTTCCGCAGTATGAGCCTTCGTGGCCTGGGGGGACGTGTTTGAATGGCCATCGATATAGCCAGCATGGGAAGGCTATGATGTAGATGATATCTGGAGTAGAATGTATTTAGAAATGGGAGGGTAGATGTAGGAGGTCACTGACCGCAGCAGTAAGACCAGAATTTTGCACCGCTACCGGTTATCGCCATCTGTAGGACTCCTGTGCAGTGGTGATATATAACTCTCTGTGTTAATTTGGCTTGCTAGATTGTAGATAGTTCGCGGTAGCAGTTTACGACTGCTTCTTTTTTAAGGTATACTTGTATATTTTCTCGCAGGACCTTGGAAAATAGTTGGCTACTTATAGCTAGGTGGTATGCGCCTTGTTCTTTTCTTTTCCTTTTTTTTTCCCTTCTGAATTCTATTTGTTTTCAATCCCTGTGGTCGCTTACGGTGGGAGACCTTTAGTGTATGCTGGAAACAGTGGAAAGGATTCATTATGGGTAGTGGGGTGACTGGAATACACCAACACGAATGGCTCAACCTTACTTACACAAACTAAGGAATCTGACATCTAACCGACTTAATATGATCGATGGTTCGAGTTCTTGGTGGGACACAGGTGAAAAACTGATTCTATGGTGCATAAATCGCACTGGAACCGCTGAACCATGTGTCAGTCCACCTCTTGCAATGGGAATGGTCTCTCCATGTAGACTCAGATAGTCTAACGTCAGACATAGAACTCAGCCATTTACAATTTCAGTGGTCTAGACTGTCATGAAGCAAGTCATGTAAGCATCAGGGGCCCTTTTATCACTTCAATGGCAAGTAACCGGGGTTACATATTAGAAAGCGCTCAACTTCCAGGAAGCCTATTCTCCGTATGATCAACTGGGACAGCGATACATCATACCAGCATCTTCTTGCCCACTGTATCGGAACGCATGAGATATATATATATATCATGGCGCCAGTTAAATGTACTGAAAACTGCGACACCAACTTCACAGAAGGAGATGCCATTACCGGTAATCTCTTAGGAGGCATCACACCGTCAGTTCCTGAGCTAGTTCATACAGACTGCCTTCTCCAGACTAACCCTCAAATAGCTTCTTCGCACTCCTTGGACAAGATTTCACATATCGCTATTTATCCCAATCGGTCAGCGTCTGCGATTGGGTGGTATTCTCAATGGTCCCAACGGGGGTGCCGTTTGCCCTTAAGGCAATCATCAGAGTTTCCAAACCCAATAAATTTCTGAGAGGTCTTGCTGTCTACCCTCCAGAGGAACGCGATGTGATAGAAAAAGAGCTACTCTCATCGACATCCGAAGAAGTCTGTGAGATCTGGAACGGCCACGGCGTCGAAAGGAAACTTCTACCATCGTCCGAATCAGCACCCGTGGAAGAGTGGATATACGATGGAAACCTCCAGCCCACGTCTCGCGCACTGGTCAGAAAAGGTGATTCCATATTCTCTGATGCTGCTCTTCCTGTATACTAATCTGGAGCAGCAAGCAGGACTATCAGGGCCGAACCACCCTGGTCTGGAAAACCCGAAACAGAATTATCGCCGAATCTTTCACTGAACCTCGGGCCGTATAACAGGGCCCGGAAGCTGCTTTTTCTCACAATTATTGGGATACTCCTGCAAAGCAGTGTTGTAGTGGTATCTGCCCTAACGGCTTTCTATAATCCAGTGAGGGTCAGGTACTTTATCACAGCGACACGAGCTGTGCGTATCATATCATTCACTTTTGTGTCCGCAGGGACCACGCTCCTGTGTCTTGGACTTGCCTACACAGCCAAAGTCATCGATACATCGGAGCATGTCACAATCTGGAACCCTCGCAAGCAAAACACACTCGCTATCTGGATCCAGCAAAAGAACACAGCCCTGAAAACAGAAGCATATGTTATTGGGAAGATCATAAAGAAAGAGCTTGTCTGGGCACATCGGCCTCTCAGCTCTTGTCCATCAACCGCCATTGCATGTCCGGTAGCAGTCGCTATTATTGTCGGGTTCCTCCTGCAAAGTATCGGCCTGTCCATCATGCACTGGCCGGTGCAGGTTCTGCAGCTAGTTGCGATGACGGTGATGTTCCTAGGTCGATGTTATGCTCGCAAACTAGACTCACCAGACTTTGTTGTGAAACTCGACCACAGAATCTCGGAGGAAGACTTGAGTGAGCTGGCCAGAAGCAAAAGAAGGCAATTGCTGAATCATTAATAGCGTAACCTTGTCTCCTTACTTTCTTTTCTTTCTTTCTTTCTTTCTTTCTTTCTTTCTTTTTTTTTTAAAAAAAAAAAAGGTCTAGCATGTTATTATCCCTTAACTTAAAAAAACGCTGTCCAAAGTCCATAACTAAGCGGTATAAGACAAAAGACCCCAAACCAGATGGAGTCTCTGTATACATTAGGCCCTACCAGACGCTGTATGAGTTCCATATAGTAGTTATATATATATATTGGATCTCAGGGGCGCAATGTTGAACCTTGCTACCCATTGGCATCTTTGTCGAACTTCAAGTGTAATTGGAGTATACCAGAGATAACTTGGACCGGGTAGATGGACCAAAACCAAGGGTTCATCCAAGGAAATGAAATATTGCTTCAGTGACAGGGGTCTTATATTATACAAGGGCCCTAACTGAGGAATTTTCTTTTTCAAAAGACCATGTTAGCCCCGCTGAAATTCTGAACTCGGTCATACATACTAGGGCCACACTAGCTGCAGCAGCAGCAGTGGATCCACGCTTGCCTCATTCCAGCATATCCCTGTGAGGATACATCTCTAGATCTTGTAAGCAAAGTGAATGCACAGCGAGCCTGTGCATATGTTTGTGCGTCCTTCCCTGCTAGTAAACCGACCAGGGGTATAGAGAGCCGGCCGTATACCCTTGCTATTAACAGCGAACCTGGCAAGTCTCCCCTGCAATCTCCTCACATCTTACCATAGTGGAGACCCAGTTGCCTTTTTACTTGCTTGGGGCATGGGTCTTATATTCCTGATGTAACCCCATGTCAGCTAGTTGCGCCGGCCAAGGTGGCTCGACCGCTGTCATGAACCCACGCATTGAACTGCTAGTTCATAGAGAGTGTCTTACGTACTTTTGGTCTCTGGGATCCACTAAAGTAATCATAGCATCGAGATTGGCGGAGTGACAGAATGAAAGAACATCCTCACAAGTCCTGTGGCAGGGTCGGCTTGAACCATCCATGGGTAGAGAGTAAACCAGACTAGGCCTCTACAGAAATACGGCATATAGCCCACAAAAGTGGTCAGTGTCCCAGTAAAGGTCTATCAAATTAAAAATACTAATAGAGAAAGGAATGCCCAATTTCCGCGCACGAACTGTGCCACTTTGGTATAAAAGTGCCTTTTTAAGGTATCGAATTTTTCACATCATCTAGGATCATATTGTTAGCTATATGTGATGAATCTATTGGGGCTTTTATTCCCTCTTTCTACTGGGGGGATGCTGGCGAGGGTGTAAACTTACGTTGCAATTCTCATCCACGACAATCCCTTGTCCTCCACCATGTCTGATGCTTACGGCAATCCGGGAAAGCATCTCTCTCTATAATTGCATGGTCAGAATTTATTGGCGGGTCCGACATTTGCTGAAATGTCAACTAAGCAGCGGGTTGAACTAGACTTACCGTGAGGGATGCATCGGCCATACCGCCTTGACGTTCGACATCATTCTGACTCATTATCTGGTAGCTATCGTGCATGCGCTTGCAGCTCTTGAGCCCACCGATGTTTGAGACACTCGGACTTAGCACATTGGCTGGGTTCTCGGGGTTCAGAATGTTGATGCCGCGGCGAGCGTTCTCCTGTGCATTTCTATCGGCTGAGAAGATTTTGACAGTGCTGTCTATTCCAGAAGCCGCAATGGTCGGTTCGTATGGATGGCCTGAGGGCAAATTGTCAGTGGAAAAAGGCTCGATTAAGCAGACGATAGCCAGATTCACCTTGTATAACGTTGACAACTTCACTATCACCTTCCAGAATATTGACCAAGTCACACGTCTTCCGGTCCCAAATGAACAGATGCCCCATGTCGCTGCCGCTCACCACGTATTCGTCATTCAAGCCAAAGAAATTGACATCTTTGACAGTTTTAACATTGCAATGCCCGCGGTAGACTTTGGTATGTGAGGAGCACGGCACGTCGAGTCCCGCATCCTCTCTTCGGGATGCTCGTAAGCCGTTGAGGCGGAGCATACGCTCTTCAGGCTCAAGCATTTCATCGCTGTCATAACCGTCTTCGGAGCTATTATCGATATCAAACCCGTCATCGTCATTATCGTCGTCACTGCTATCCTCCTCATCTTCATCGTCATCCTCCTCCTCCTCCTCCACAGCCACATCAGATCCACTCTCATCATGACCAGAATCACTCTCGTCACTATCAGAATCAGAATCATTGGCGTGCTGTTCGAAGAAGCTGTTGTCACTTGTCTCGGTATCAGCATCAGTAGATGGAGTGGGAATAACCTGGGATACAGACCCAGAAGTAGCCTCGGGTCCTCCGCCGCCCGAAATCAAGGCTTCTTCGGTAGAATTCATGGCAGACAACATGTGAAGGTGCTCGAAGATCTGATACTCTTCAAAATCGGGTTGTATGTCCGCTTGCGACCTCTCTGGGCCTGTTTCGCCTTCGGGTTCAGATTCGTCTTCTATTATTGTACGCAACCCGCCGAAGGCGCGGTTGGTAAATGAGTAATTCACCCCCGAACCTGCCTCAATTAAAATACCACGAGCGACCTTTAAGCCCCAAAACCGCCGTACAGCTGTTCGATCAAGGGAGCGGATATGGGAGGTATCAGAATGCCCGTCACCATCATGAATTCTCGCAGCAGCGTTCTCTAGGTCTTCGAGTGGGAGTTTCACAACGCTTGCAAAAGCCGTCACGGCTGCGCGTTGGTTCGGGAAGAGTACACGTGTGCTATCGTGTTCGAACCTCGAGGCATCAACGTTCACGACAGGCGTGTCGCCCGCGAGTCTCTGGAGATAAGGGACAAGCTCTGATTCAATGGCACTGTCATCAGCTTCATCAGACAACGGATACCGTGACACACTCCGCCGATGTTCGTTACTACTCTTGAAACCTGAAATGAGAGCCTCTCTACCTCCTTCCAAAAACAGCAGAATGGCCTTTAGGAAATCATAGCCGAACTGAGCCTCTTCAGGGATAGTATTGCCCTCTCCGGGTGCGGGCATGATTTGCATAAACGGCACGCCATGGGGGAAGTCTCCGCGGGGCTCGCCTCCCAGGACGCGGGCTAACGTTCCTGCAGCTTGGACAAATCTCCAGGATGTCTCCCTGTTTCGACGAAGAGCCTGCTGGAACCTGACCACATCAGAAGAAGGATTGAGCGGGTATCCCCACGTTCGCATAACTTCCTCCATCTTTGGGAGATATTCCGAAGCCAGTGTCAGCGCCGTTGAAAATGAATCAAGATAAAGGGTCTGATCTGGCTGGCTTGATGATTCGCCTGCCTCTCGTACGGTAGCCTCTAGGGAGAACAAAGCCTTGCGGAGCTTAACTAGAGCTCTGGCAATACGCATGCTGAGTCTTTGCGCTTCGTTCAAAACAGGATACCTTGCCTGCTTCCTTGCACGCCTTGACGCACCAGAAGTAGGCGCTGAGACCGCTGATAGCGGAACATCCCCCGTTTCGCCATTCCCATACCGTGCGCGAATCATTGGTTCGTCGTCGTCTGGATGTTCGTGGGACCGCCGGCGAGACTGATGCCGATTACCACTAAACTCAGAAGATGATATCGAAGCGCCATTTCGACGCTTGCGCTTTCTATTCTTTGAGCTCCGTCGTTTACGCGGAGACTGGGTTTCCTGTGTGGACCTTTGGCATGCTGATTCGGCTTCTCTGGCATCGGGGCTTTGAATTAGATCAAAACTGTAAATGTGATCGCCCGACCAGCTAACCACCATCTCGTTCGGGTTGACATCACTAATCTTACAGGCTGTGATATGTCCGTTGTCCCGCGGTTTCATCCGGCGCTTGCCATTGGGTGCGAATCTTCGAACACATCTTGTCGCTTGACTCATTAATTCGTCCTCGCGATCACTGCCGATCCGAGGAGAGCCGCCCGGGTCCCCTCTCTCCCCGAGCAAATCTCGGCCCAACATACGCCTATCGTGGAGAAAACAATGAAGATGAGCGCCGCCCAGCGCAATGTAATGGGGCTGAGTAGGCGAGCACGATATGGTGTTGAGATCCAGATGGTGCCGTTTGTAGGATATCAGCGGTGGAGGAACATTCGAATCATCGTGCACCACCCCCGGCCGATAGGCATGGGGCCTTGACCACCTAACGGCTTAGGATACGCGGAGGAAGGCTGACGGAGATCCCATTGTCGTACCTCACCATCCTCGGAGCACGTAAGGAATAGATACGGGGACGACTCAGTGACAATACGCTTAACACGATCCGCATGGCTACGATAGACACGGCTATTGGTATTCTCTGCAGTCAGGAACCGGGTATTTGTGAAAAAATTGTTGAATCGCCGACTTCGGGCGGAGGCAGTAAATGCAGACGTAGCCTCAAGATTACCATTACTGCTAGAGTATTCGATGTCAAAGACCCGAACCTGATGGTCACCAGCGCATGTTACCAGGGTACGATCATTTGAGTGTGGCATGAACTTGACGGAGAATATGTTCGCCTTATGGCCAGTATGGAGAGTGGTATTTAGGGAAAAGGGCGCTGATGACGACTCGGGTTGGTAGGAGTAGATATTCACGTAATGGTCGTCAGATCCTGAGGCGAGAAGTTGGCCAGATCGCGACCAACTGCACGATACTGTCAGACGTGGAACAGACGCAGGAACCAGAAAAGAAAAGAAAAGAAGAACGTGACACCACCGATTGAGAGTTAGCTTCAAACGTACCATAATGCATTCACACAGCCTGTATGTCCACCCAACTCGTTAACGATGTCTAGATCGTCTACCCATTCTTTAGATCCATAGATCCCGCGAATACTGGCAAGGCGCGACGGCTCGCCTATTTCCCGGCGCCAGAGGCGGTCATACGATGAGTCCTTCATTATGGCGGCGATAGTCAAGCGACAGTCGGTGTTCAATATGCTTGCGTTTGGATCATTGCGCGCGACAAATTTCGGACGGCAACAGCTGCTACGGTGACGTCAGCGTCTGGTTTGGCACGAAGCCGCGGTGCGACGCTCAGTATGTTGCGTCCCGGAATGCGATATCGAGAGTAAGTCGTCACGAACCGGAAGTCAATGTCGTCAGAAGAAGGCTAGACGATGTCAAGTGCTTGATAGTAAATGAGGAATTGGCGATGAGATCGATTGGTAGAGTAGGTAAGGGACGCGAAGAGGGTAAGTGAAAGGAGGAATTTCCATTTAATGGCCGCGCGAGATGATAGTAGACTGCATCAGATGAAGTTGCAACAGAGTAGGATGGTCAGTGGGGAAAGAAGCTAATTCCGGTGTTGGACCTGGCGCTAGGTGGAGAGAGAAAGAGAAAAGTAAGAGGCGATGGAGTGTCATAGATGATATGTGCCGGACAAGCAAGAGGGGAAAAAAGAAAAGCTCCACAGTTCCAGAACCACCGTTTGGGCAGGTTGGTCGAGGCTAGATTGAATCGGCGAGGATATGGAACGGTCCCAGGGCCCTTAGTCAGTGAGAGCGTCTCAACCCTGGGCGAGCATCCAATGAAGAACCTGTCGAGAGGACTTGGAGAGTAGAGTAGTGTTCAATCGGGCAGTTCTAGCTTGTCCACACTACATCGGGTTGAAGTCATTGAAAGATTAGTGTTTGGTTCGCCATGGGGACGCCAAGCCTTCCTTAATCTGGACCAGCTTCAGTTGTATCGAGAAGGTAAAAAAGAAAAGAAAAAGCAAAATCAAAAGTCCTTTTCACCGGTGGGCTCATTCCATGGGTTCTTTTTATATCTCTCGGGAACATTTAGTACTGACAGTTCCCACTCAAGGGAATTCCTGCAGCTAAGGTGGGTAGTGACAGTTGATGTACGGAATTACCGATTTTCAGGTCCGGCCGAGAGTCGGATACAAGTACGTTACACTTGAACAGTGGATTGTCGTCGACTAATGACGACAACGAAATCATCTTCCAAAAAACGCCTTAGTCATCATTTATGAGACAAGCTAAAGCCCAGGACGTACATAGGAATCTTTCTCTAACCGCAGTGGAGTGGAACGAAGTTATCGGGCGCACTAATTAATCATCTTTTCATTATGTTTCATAAGTCATAGAAAGCATCCTACGAGTCAAAATAGGGTCATGGTCATGGTCATGGTCACGTTCCTGGTCAATAATCATTACGTGCCGAAGGAACTTCCACTTTTGGTCGCCGAGCAGGATCCCAGGCTGCCTATCATCTCGAGCGTAGTATTTCCGTCCCAGTGTGCATCCGTGACTGGTTAGAAATGGTGGGAATATCAAGACTGGTTCCAAGAGCCCGACACCCCCGATGCTGGCAGGCCGGGATTGAAAACCAGGGGGGGAGAAAAAAAAAAAAAGAAAGAAAGAGATATCGTGAACTTCCCACAACACCGACGATGCCGCCGGGGGAATCCAAGAATAACAAGCCGTATTATGTCGACTGTCAACTGTACGTATCATTCAATGAGGTTCGCGTGCAAGGGTCAATGCGGGTTAGAAACCAGTTTCCAACACCATCCGGGTCTCACAAAACCAGGAGCACCAGCAACAAGCTTGTTTTTCCCCCCTTTCAATGACACATCCTCGGTTAGAAAGTGGACGGCGCTGGATCGATCTCTTCGGTCGTCCACTAAGTAATGTACCCCTGGTTCGAATTCTACCCAGGAGAAAATTCCTCTTGTCTTCGTTGAACTTCCACCGGGTATCTCAGTGATCCGCTGGTGTTTTCAACTCCTGGGTATGCCTGCTCATGGGGAAGTGTAGTTTCGCAGAATAAGAACGGCAGTGAAAAGCTCGGGATATGCTCCGGGCCAGGATATCGCAGATTGACATATGTGACTGATCCATCACATCGCCATGAGGGGGTCTCTTCCAGGCTATGTTCTCCACATTCCAACTCGGGGGATCCTCTTCTCCAGTGATCTCGTGGAGGCCACCTGCTGGCTGAGCTGACTCACCCACTGCCTTTCCGATCTTACGACGTCCGCTTCGATCTTACGGATGGTGTTCAACTCCTCGATCATCGAATTCACCATATCATCTAATCCCTTTGCAGTCCGATAAAGGCTGGAACCTTCCAGCTGTTCTACCTCCCCGTAGCCCATTATATCCAGACTCTGCAGTTGCCTCGAGCATAATTCAAGTTTCATAGTCACCGCGTGCACTTCTTCCTTCCAAACGCGATCGAGAGGGTCGATGAAAACATCAAGGTCCGATCCTCCCTGGTAATGTCGACAGGTCTTTATCTCCTCAACGTTCCGGAACCAGGATTCAAATTCCTGCACGGCTAACGTAAATCTGCCTCCTAAAAGGTCAGATAAATCGCACACTTCTTGCGCAACCCCTGAAAGGACTTGGATTTGTACTTCAAACCCTTGGTGGCCATTATGTTCAATGGAATTCTTGAGCCAGCAGTGCAACGCTTGTCCATTGAGTCGCTGCTGATATTCCTTTTCCTCTTTCACAACGCAGCGATACTTTTCTGCGACCGTGTTGTACTTTATCTGTAGTTGTTTCTCTGCGCTGGCTTTCCATTCGGCGTCCTCTCGCAGCGAAGACAGATGCAGAAGGCTCAACTGTAAGAGTTCGGTTTGTAGCGCGGCAACGTCTGGCAGTGAGGAGGGTATCAAGGAAGGGTCCAGCTCTGTAGATGCACTAGCCGATGGGGCAGCGGTGGACGGCCTGCCGAGCTTCTTCGGGGAGGACTGTTGCTGGTAGGTTGAAAATTGAGTCCTGGAATGTGGTGTGCTTGGTGCCGATGGCGGATCTGTCTTCCTAGAGATTTGACTAGAAGTGGGAGGAATCACTTGACTACGGTGTCGCGCATGACTCCTTGGCGTAGGAGGCCCCGAACTTGAACTCGCTGGCTGTCGCAAAGAAGCCGACCTCGACGGCCGAGGCGGGGGAGGCATTTCTGTCTTCTTCGGCGATGTTGGACGCCCATTTTGCTTCGCTGGAGAGGGCAGCGAAGGCGCTAAACTAGTTCGTCTTGGTGTTGTAGACACGGTAGTAGCCTTCGCAGGAGAAGGGGCGGTCTTCAATGGAGTCGGTTTAATCAGACTTCGGCGACGACTCGCCAGGGTCGGTGTGCCGGATAGCTTGTCTTGTTCGGGCTTGCTCACTCGCTGAGCAATCCGGCTATCTTGTTGTGGCTGAGATCGCAACGGACTCGACGATCGGCTGTCATCGCGGACTGGCAACAAGCTCTTGCCTCGGGTCGAGAGATTTTCGTTACTGGCTGCTGGATTCGAAGGTGTACCGCCCGTCGCTGCCTTTGTGCTGGTGGATACTGTCCGGATCGAAGCTGAACGACCTAGTGTAGTGGGCTTGTTTTTCGGTTGTTAGAATACATCGGCTGGGGAACTGGTGTGCAAGGAAGGGACAGCTCTCATCTCTGGGGAGCTTGAGGCAAGGGAGGTACAAGACTAACCTGTTTACGGGGCTCCCGAAACGACAGGGAGCGAGTGGGTATTGGCATTGTGGATAGGGATCAAAGTCATTCAGCAGATCATACATGCATCCATTCAGTGATTCTGATCAGATCCGTTGGGAGAGAGGGGAGGTCTCAATCCAGTTTCTCTCCACGGTCGGAGTCTATTCCTGTCAATAGTATGAACGGTCATCTCCAGTTCCGAGAAGTTACTCGTGCTGCGGTGAGCTTCAGTGCCGGTCCAAAAAAGCTTGGCATCCGAGTGCTTTCCCAATGGAGAACAGGGCCATTCACTGCATATCGAACTATGAGCAGATACCTTTCTGGTTGGTATATTGTGTATACATAATAAAGAAAAAATTTAGTGCTATTAGCGATAAATAGTATAGTAGATTGACCACACTAAGTATAACACGAGTAATCATCCTATCAATTATTTTGTATTACTAGAGTATATATATTGGCTAGAATGTATTCGCAATGACAATGTCATGCTTGTTAGATTAGTATACTCCATACTTTTCTCGAACAGTCAAGCTAATCGTTAACCCACAGCACTAGCAATTCTCACTCAACTTTCATATCTAAATCTATCATTGTGGGAATTGCTCCTACACGCCATCCTTCATTAACACTGTCCTGGTAGCTTTGTGAAAGGCCTCCTCGACAAATATTCATAATGAACCAAGAGTATCCAGGCTATGGCATAAAGATAGATAGAATATCTAACCGGACTTGCACTGTACGAGTTATGCACCAACGTTATCAATGAGCGCCGAGTATTTCACTCCTTTATTTGGTAGTCGTGTATGGCATGCTTCATAATGACTTCATTCAACTTAAACTGTCTGTGATATCAAAAAGTATAGATAACACAAACTTTTCACTGACAACCTGGACAATGGCCTAAGCAACTAAGCCTCGCACACATGGATGTGTCCGTGTTAGGCAATCACCACCTTGTTCAGCAGGCGCACATGGCCGCAGATTAAGCGGTTAGAAGGAAACCTGGTCGGTAATCGCCCTGGACTTTCCCCCCTTTCCTTCACTTAAGAGCTCAACTTCGACCAGCTTCGACTCAACATACCATCACAATGCTCGGTACACCAATTACAAACTTCCACGTCTCGGGAAAGAGACACCCTCCACAGCGGGATGGTCAGTGAACCAGCTGACCTTCTCCCCAGCACCTTGGTTGACAAGAGAAGAAGGGAGTTCTCTTCCCTCCTCAGCATCGAAAATTTGCTTCATGATATCCTTCTTTCCACCACCGGTAGCCACGAATGCGATGCTAACAGCGTGGGTGACCACGGGTAGGGTGAGGGTGATCCGCTTCGGCGGGGGCTTCGGCGAGTCACTAATGGCCGCGACCCAAGCGTCCTTCTCCCTAAGGAGCTCATGGCCGGGGAACAAGCTGCAGGTGTGACCATCGGGACCACAGCCCAGAAGGATCAAGTCGAACACCGGCAATTTGACGCTGTCCTTGGCCGCGAAAATGCGCATCAGTTCCTCCTGATACAAGTCTGCGAGTTCCTGTGGGTCCTCATCGTCCACATGCTTGGGATCGATGGTGTGTACGCGAGGCTCTCCCAGTTCCGTGGGGATCTTGCTCAGCAATTCATCCTTCAGTGATTTGTAGTTGCTGTCTTGGTGATCGAGAGGCACGGCGCGCTCGTCGGCAAAGAAAATCTCCCACTTGGAGAATTGCGCGGTGTCTTCGGGGGTTCCGTTGCCTGGTGCAAGCAGAGCTTTGGCGAGAACAGTGGGCAAGGAGCCACCTGAAACTGCGACGCGGAAAGTGCTATGCCGGGCGAGGGCGGCATTTTGATTCTTAAGGACGTATGCCCTTAATTGTTGCGCAAGCGCATCGGAATTGGAGAAGCTGTACAGATTGGGAGATTGGCTTGCCATGGTGACTATTATGAAAATTAGTGGACGTGAAGAGAGAGAGACTAAGAAAGAAGGCAAAATGAGAAAAGAGATTATGATTACAAGGCGGTGGTTTCGGTCAACAGCTTTAAGGCGGGGTGGCGGGGCAGTTACTCAATTGATGTTATTGGAGATGTAATCATTACCTTACCCAGTCCCGTGCCTGCCGAATGCAATTCAACCACAATCCGTTCAAGAGATCAGTGGTTTGGGTATTTCTTTTCTTTTTCTTTTCCATAATTATTGATCTCATGGATCATATCCTCACCATCTGGAATAGGAAGGAAGCCAGAAACATGGCTACAAAAAGCGATAGGGTAGAACAACATCAACATGTTGATTGATATGACAGAACTTGTCGGTGGAACCCCGTCAGTCTCCCATGACGTCGTCATCGGTCATTTTGAACACAATCTTGCAAGGGGAGAAAAACCAGAACGACGACAGGAACAAACTACAATTGAATCTTCTATGAAGTAAGTCCATTATCTGTCCCTGAATTTTTCTGTTTAATTTCAACTTACTTAGCGACCCTGAGTGAGGAGATTGGGAGGTTTTGTACGATGGATCCCCCCCTCCCGTCCAATCCGGAAACGAGCTGGAAGATCTATTTGCTATCATCGATCATCATCGGCCACCCCCTGTCGAGCCACCACACGGGGGAAAGCATACACAATGATGTCAGTGCAAGGTCCTCTCGCAGGAGCTATTGGCATGAATCAGGGAAAATGCAACCCGACCCCTCGGCAACTCGATCGACCTTGTCCGATGTAGGTATGGTATGGTATTTGATGAACAGCTTACCCATTCCGTCAAATTCAAGGCTAGCTGGAACGAAGGAGTCAGCGAATTGACTATTTGGGCCTCATGCATTGCCGCCAACCTAGGAGCGGTCCGCATGCCCACGCGTTATTACAACATTGTGCAGGCGCCAGAAGCGACAAGTCCTACTTGCGGTGCCCGCTGCGTCTGGTGATTGATTATTTCTTGACCAGTCGAGATGTAAAGTACATGCCTAAGTCACGCAGGACGGGATGTTGATTAGGGTGACGAGACATATTCCCATCAGTTAAAAGAGGGGTTATTAGTCACGATAATCTTAGTTATGGTAAAAGTGAAACGGGAGAGAGAAAAAAAAAATAAAAAATAAAAAGAAAGAAAGAGGCGAGGAGAGGAGAGGAGAGGAGATTGAGGGGATATTCAGACAGTATTGAATGTGCGGAGTCAACATGCGTGTACATGTTCCGTGATAGTGCAGTGCCCGAATGGGCACAAATAAAGAAGCATGCATGCATAGATCCCGGGGTGTCTGTGCTTTAAGCATCCGAAATGTGATGACAGTGCGATGGGTGCTAAGGTAACAGAAGGAAACCGATCATTTTGTTCCATTACCCTCCAGCAGACACCAGGAACAGTGCATTGCAGCTGGTTATCAGGTCACATGGGCATGGAGGGGCTGTGGTGCTTTGGGGAACGCTGTACGAAGTACGGAGTACTGAAGAATAATCATAGTTATAAAAGAATTGAACGGAATAAGGATACTTTCTTCTAACCCCAATGATTTCAATTTCAATGTTTCATCTTTTTGATCTCTTAAACAATCTAACGTTGAACACCCGAGGTCTATTTGATTTAACCCAACCGAGTAACTGATGAGCGTCTCCAGCTTTACTATTCCCTTAGGTATCTGCCAATGGAGCGGGGAATGAAGTGACGTCGTTCTCGAGGTGCATGTGTGGAGGGAGCTATGTCCTGAAATGATTAAGGGGCTTTTCAATAATATGCAAAATAACCAGTGTTTACAAGAAAAAGAAAAAGAACCGAAAATGGATACTGCAGCCATCGGAGATAACTGACTGAAAATGCCTCAGAACGGGGACACAGTACTCCGGGGGTGTCGTGTCCATGTATGTGCTGCCAATTGCAGGTACAGGATGTATGTATGGATGCACATACTTTCTACCTAGATGGTAGTCCTACTACGGCACACTCGGCTGGCTTTCCTCGGAGGAGAACAAGTCTGCAGCTAACTAACTCTTTCAAGCGATCAAGGCGCAAAGGCAGCTGGAATGTATGTACGGAGTGCTCTATACACACATAATATATGCGTGGTCGCAAAGGATCACACCAGCCATCGCCCAATCCCGGGGTGCAGCTGCCAGCAAAGAGCCTGAAAAGGAATGGTAATGGGTAAGTATCGTCACCGGGTCTAATTACGTTAGGTTGATAAGGTAAGTTGTTGACGTCGATGTCGATTCTACTGCTTGCACGCAATCAGGGAATGTTGCGTGATACCGGACTCCAGAGGAGCGATGATGTTAGCAATTAACATCCATGGATGAAAGGCCTGTCAATCGATAGCATCGTGATTGTGTATTCATTGTCCACTCAGGGGAGAAGGATAAGCGTGCCTCATTCCTTCATGTCTCGTTCGTGCGACCCAGACAGACTCAAATTCTGAAACGACGGCAGTGGAGACGGTAACCGCCTCACGGGAAATGCTGCACAGCCGCAGTTCCCTAAAAGTTACCCACGAGGCTGGACAGGACATCCACCATACAGTACGTTTCATTCCATACTGCCAAGGCATGTGATTTTGTGGTACCTAATCAGTCGAGGTTTAGTCGATGATAACGAAGAGGTCCAATAGCATTGAGGAAACATAGAAAGGTGTCCATTGGATTGATTCGATTTGATTTGATTTGATTTCTTTTTATTGTCTTTTTTACCGACAAAGGAGGCAAGACCTCGTACCTGTTGTGTAGGACTACCGTACTGTGTAGTAGTCCCCTCGAGATATACTACTAGTACTAGTAGTTACTCATGATGATATTACTTTTATCCGTCCCCGATTACCCAATCACATTCCCTGTTCCATGCATCGCTCTGGCATCAGCCGCACGGTGACCATGGAAATCACCCAGCCCGACCAGCCTCGACCAAAGGTGGTGAGATCGGCAACTGTTAACGGGCAACAGTTCTTGACTCAAAACGATAACCCCATTAAGATAGCATTACCTTACATTGACAGGCAACCACTTATCGTCTGCGAAAGCCACATGCTCCGCCAGGCTATCGGATTTTTTGGCTTTGGTATCCAATAGTACCGTCCATTCTTGGTCTAGATGGCCAAGAACGGACTAGACCGAGAGATGGGACTCAAGACAACCGTTCAGATACGAGGGAAACGTCTTAGAATAACTGTCATGGGAGAAAAAAAAAAATAAGAAAGCCTAAAACGACCAAAACCTCGTCCATCCATATATCCCGCTCAGCAGGGGGATTCGTAATTTGTTGGAGGGGAAGTTGTGCAAATGGGACCATGAGCGTTCCTGAGAGGAGAATGAGGGCGAACCACTGCGGCGATCGCCCCAGAAAGTGAATCCGTCAACCAGACGATCGGTCATGACGACACGACCTATGCAGCAATCCCTCCTAATTGGGGGGAGATTGTCCATCAGTATGGAGTAGGCTTAAGCCAATCTATCGACGACTTTTTGGTTGTAGGGTGTTCTGCAGTCCGAAAATTGCACACAGGATTTCCCCCCGACCCCGTCACCTTGTAAGGTAAAAACATGCTTTTACCGATGGGGGGAGGGGGGGGGGGTAATTCATCCATACCCTGATCAACCAAACAGACTGGATGTACAATACATTCATTCAAAAAACCCCGAAACTCAAATCATTCGGATAAGAAAGGCTGCCTGAGGTACCCCAGTAAGTAGATACATACAAGTACTGTATGTACTCCGTACCTAGATAGCAACATTAAGGTATAATACTACTGTTGTGCGCCGCCCTACGGTCGGCATCGTACATACCTATAATCAAGAAGCTCCAATCTCTCTCCCTCTGTCTCTATGGAGGATCGTTTTTTACCCCCATGGTTGACAGCCTGGGATTGACCTTGAAACTGAACCCACATTCCACCCTGTTCTCCTCGTTCACTCGAATTTCTCGCAGTATCGAAAGTGGTACTGGTGGTGGTTAATATTTGCTCCATTTTTCAAAAGCACTTCTCCGGGCTCCATAACTGCATCTCCAGTATTGCAGTCTCCTGATTCACTAAGATTTTATTATTTTTCAAATTTCGAAATATTCCCTACTTCTTTATTTTTTTTTATTTTTTTTATTCTTTTATTTTTTCCTCCTCCCTCTCCCGGGCCCTAAAAAAACTATTTTCGCTTTCAAACTAAAAAGACGCCGGTCCTAAACAGGGAGAAGAAAGTGGATCGATCTGACCCTTCAAACTTGCCCTTGGCTGGTGGTATAGATATTTCGATACTTCCAGTTCGAATGTTTTTATTTCTAGTCACTTCTCACGATTCTTGTCTTCCCCCAAACCTTGAATGCCAACTTGTCCGTTCGACTTTCTTGACACAAACCCTGTCCCACGTGGTTGATTCTCGTCTGCCTGGGAATCTAGTGGAAATTACGCCCGCAGAACAAGAAAGAAACATTTCCGTCATTCCGTGAATTTATTATTTTATTCTTTACTGCGCTACGCATTGACTCAGCCTCGTTTTTATTTTCTCTTCAAGTCATCTTCTCTCAACAACCACGCTCTCACCTTTTCATCTCCCTCCCTCTCTCCGAAGCCTACATACAACCACCTTTTCCGGTTGACGGCATCAGTGCCACTACTCCCGCGTACCTTACGCCCTCACCACGACGTCGCCCATACCGTCCATTTGCACCGCGCCCGCATTGATCGGCATTTCCACAATGAGTTCGCCCTCGGTACAGGTTCAACCGCAACCTTCCGGCGGCGCAAAGGGCGTTTCCCACACAACGAAAGAGGCTGGTGCCATGAACTTCGACATTGTCCGCTGCTCGAGATGTCAGCGCTCCATGAGCCTGGAAAATGACTCCTCCCCCGGCGTTGTGCGCTTCGGCATGAATTCATACTACTGCAGCCGCTGTGCGTCCATGGTCGGCTTTATCCGATGAATTGTTCATTCGCGCAACGGAACAAGAAAAGAGAAACGACATTGTTACGAACGCATTTTTCGTCGTGCTTTCTAGCTCTCCTGCTAGCCTCACCACCGTCTTTCGGGATTTGGCAGGATCGGCTTGTTGGTTCTCCAGCTTTTGTTGTTTTCTATTTCAACCATTCACTCAGACGATACTTTCGAGAACTGTTCTGTGCTGGCACGGCTTCTCTCACGCCCTTCGAGCAAAGGATAATGGCTACGGACTACGACTCAGTCGTTGAGGTCGGATGGGCTTGATCGATGCCGCACTTCCCTCAATCATACCCGAGGGAACACTGACTCACCACGGGCGACAGAGAAGGCACGGTTGACCGGATGGGTGGACAAAGGAATACCTTTTCACTCTCGCGGGATCAAAGTGCGGCGAAAGACAATAGCCTGGCTCGGGAAGTTCGGCATCTCCAACGAATAATGCCGTCTACGATGCTGGATCACTCCGAGCTGCGCCCTACCCCTCGATAAAGCTACATTTATTCAATAGCTTGATGGAAATCTACGATACCCTGCATTTGTGTCATTTGCTTTGTATTGCATATCTTACAAGGAACTAAGCTGTTTCCCCTTTGTGTGTTAGAACCGCATGTAGGATCCTGAATAGAGTTCAAGGATTCCTTTGCTTTCATCTGTTTCACTGTCTAATTGTTTCTTTTTTCGCTCAATACCCACAATATGTTGAAACCATTAGCGATTACGGCTACTTTGTCATATTAGATCTCCGTAAGCAACGCTTACAATACAATATCAAACTCATTCAATTGATCGACAATACATTTTTTCTCCCTCCCACTGTGGCACTTGAGCGGACTTTGAATAGGGGCGGCTGGCATACTTTCCACAGCTGTGCCGACATACCAATGCGCCCTGCCTATCACAATTAAACCCAGTAACCCCGGGATGATCGCCATTGCATAGACAACAAACTCATTGGCGACGAACATGCCAGTCTCCCGCAAAGGTCGACATGGCGTCATTGGCGACAACACCAGCTGTCAAGACCGACCGGAGTCGTAGATCCTCATCAGCCATGCAAAACATCCCCGGAGATCCCACCTCCATCACTTCATGAAACTCCTATGCATGTCATACATCGCCCCTGTTGCAATTTCACACCCGTTCGGCGCGCCACACTCTAAGAATGCGGAACAATCAAATTACCTTGTAGATCCTACGCCCAGACCACCAGCCTGCGAACCATAAATCAACCAACCCATCACACAGAGCTTGACCATCTTCTCTCCCTTTGGATCTCATCTTCTTGATTCAGTAACGGGTCCATTACTCCAGATCGACTGAGTCTTAACTCGGACGGGATGTTGAAGAACTCAAAACCACCGCCTCAGCTCGTTTCGCATGTATGGGACATAACATACATACCCCTCAACAAGGGCGATCTGCCTTATTTACCCCTCCCCCTTACTGTTGGGACAAAACGATGCTCGGGAATGGATTGGCTGCCACTTTGACTCCCGGGTGTTCAGATCGCGTGTCTTCGGTATACAGAGTCCAGCTAGTATGTAACTACTACTTACCTGACTAGGTAAGAATGTATTTCCAGGCGCGCGAAGCGCCCCTTTTCTTTCCAGACGCTATTCTCCAAAATAAACCACACAAGAAAAAAAAAAAAAACCATAAAAAGAATCCTCACCCAAAACTAACCAATTTAGTGTCAGACATACTAGTGCAGACATATTCTTCACTTTTTCCCCACGAGAACCAGAAACATCCCTCCTTAGAATGTGGTACCAGCCTATGTATGCCCTGTAGGCAACCACGCGAGTGTGGCGCAGGAAAAAAAAAAAAAAAAAAAACGAACCACTCTGGCTCCACCCCCTTTACAGCCATGTAACGTTCGGTTACTGTGGAGAGCAAAAGCTGATCAGTGGGTCGAAATTCTCTCGGGATTCATTTCGGCTGCGATGAGAGTGGCCGGACTTCTCCGTTTTTGAGCTCGTAGGATTTGTTTCAGACTTTCAGCTGTTGTAGGGCTCCACTGATTTACTTTTGCCCGGTGGCGGGGGGTTGGAGTTTCAGATAGCTTGGATGTTCTGAGGGTATGAGGGCATGTACTCCGTACGGGGGGTTATTCTCTGGAGATAGTCGTGTCTACTGCGGAGTTCAGGGGGATAAGAGAGTTTTCGTTGGAAGGGGATTGGGAAGTTTCTAGGGGACTCGATCATTGATGTTGCCCAGTGTAGGCCCGAGTTATGGATGTTTGGGTTTTTTTTTTTTTCTTTTACATCTGGTGGTCGCCCGTTCCTTCGCCATCCTCAGGCTGTCGATCTTGTGATTGCTACCCAACGCCCCAGAGAAAGTAACTCACTCTATATCGCTGAAGTAATGGTGAAATCATGGATGTTTCGTGAGTTGAGGTTCTGGCGAATGGATCAAACAATGACAGTTGACATAAACCTTTGCCCTGCGAGCATTCCATGGGTCTGCTCTCCATCCCCGCGAAGTCTTTCCATGGACACGGTGGGCGAATCCAGATAGCTTTCGGTAATTCAATTCCCAGCCCTTGCTGGGGAGATCAAAAGCTTCTACTGCACGAGGAGAGTACTTCGGAGCCGAGCATCAGTCTCACCAGAGGATCAAGTAGGTTGAGTAAAGTGCATAATAAAGCATCCCTAAATTCTAGATACATTCCAGAAACAACCGGGCACACTAACGCGCTCGGTAGTCAATCCCAAACCAGTCAGCAGGCTCTCTCAGCGCCAAAAAAAAAAAAAAAAAAAAAAAAGCAAAACCTCCGGTACTGGCCTGCCGAAAGTCTATTGCCGACTAGTCTCGTTTGCTATACGAGATCCACGCGAGCGATGGACATGGACAGGGACATGACTCAGGGTCGGTGACCAGCTATTACGAGGCGTGGGTATTTGGCGGATAACTATGGGATGTATGATGACTGTACTACTAGTACCTCTCCATCTCAGTCTCCAGTCGAAGCAATAGTCGCTAGTGGAAGATCATACCAGAACCACGGTACCGGGTAGACGATGGTGGTCGGCTATCGATCGATCGTCAAACTATCGATTTTTAGTTGAATGCCGCAGTTTTCTTTTCTTTTTCTTTTTTTCGATTGAGATGGACGCTAAGCCTAAGTTACTTTGGTGTTCCGTTGCTGACTCGTACGTTTTGAGACGGAGAATATTCTATTTCATTGAAAAGTGACAGGAGCGGAACAAACTAAGAAGAATAAGAAGAGGAAGAAAAAAAAAGGGTTAGTCAGAGTATTGAATAACCACTTTCAGCTAGACTCGACGCATCATAATTGTCCCTCTTCTATCGCTCAGGCACCTTTCATTCAGTCTTTGCCCTCTTTTGTTGGGGTGCGCGCGGTCTTTAGAACGTCGCGATTGTCAATCATGAGTTTCAGCGAAACTGTTCCGTAGCGCTCGGTTACTGAACCACCTTACTCCCTACATCGCGACATCTTGTCGTACTGGCGGTGACCAGCCATCATTCGCCTAATATGCAGTCATGGATCACAGCTGGGCGGTGGTGAGCAATTAATGGATGCCTCATATGCGGACGTGATCGGGATCAGCGCGAAATCGGAACGCTGTTAATCAAGGGAGCAACTGAGAACTCTTTTCTCAACCAGATTCACCCTCCGCGTCGATGGATCTGACAAGACGACTCTAAATTTTAAATGTCAACAGAAAAGAGAAAAAGTTATAGCTCAGGTACTAATGTCTTGGTTTGGAGGGGGGTGGGTTTGTCATGTCAGACAAGAGTGCGGCTTATCAGAGAAAGATGATGCATCATCTTGGGGTCTCCATCTTCATCGACCAATGCTGTTGATCGCTTTTTGCCGGCTGAATCAAATGCCAAATCAGAAGACAAGCCAAAAAGCAATGCTGGCCGTGAACTCTGGGATGCATTTCGATCTCTTCCAATCCCCGTTGCTCGCGCTCTGTTCTTTCTTTGTGACTGTGTCTTCGCCCTTAATTCCTGTGAATTCCTTCCTCAGCAGATCTTCACAAATGGGACAGCTATTGACCACCAGGATCCCAGTCTAACCCGATCCATGATCGGTTATTCAACAACTTCTCTCTCACAATGCGATTTCACAGACAATGATGCCGCTCAGCCGGGTTGCCTTCTCATTCGCAGAACGAAATGCAGGGCTGATGCTCCACTTCCTCGCGAGCTCTCCAGCTTCGCCATCACTCCCCTGTTGTGGCTGCCCTGAAATCTAGCGGTGTAACACAGGATTGCCAAGCGAAGCGTCCTCGAGGATCTGAGAGTTGTTCCTTTCTGGTCGTCTGAGACGGAAGGTGTGTCATGACGGCTTGGGAAGCCTCGGGAGCCCAAGTCACTATTCATAGCAGCAACAATTGTATTCATACCGTACAAAAGACGAAAGGGGGGGAAATAATGTTAATAATAAAAAAGAAGAAGAAGAAGAAGAAGCAAACATTGCTCTCTTTTCTTTTCTTTTTTTTTCCCTATTCCCTCTTTCTTTTCCTTTTCCCTCCCCTTCTCTTCCCTTTCCTTTCTTCTTCAACCTTTCTCATAGCTCTTACTAGTAGCTTACTTAACTACCCACTGAAATAGATGCATGACATATAACAGGTCCGCGCATCCGCGTCCATCATATCCATCAGATTGGAGGCAAATTGACGTATCTCAACATTAGTTCCCAATCCACTCCGGAGGCATTTCCAGTCCATTTCCCTTGCGCTGCCTGAGCCACGCATCTCCATTCGTCAGTCGATGCATCGGCGGCTTTGTCCGTGTCTGGCCTCGTTGCACTATTGCGATTCCTGCTGCCATCGTTTCCCACCTTCTCCCCGGTGGGACCTTGGATGCACGGAATAGATCGATTCAGATCTGTTCTAATCCTCTCTCTTTCCTTTTCCTTTTTCGTTCCGTCCTCCATGCGATCCTTGCATGTTTAAAGGAGGGATTTACCATCTCAAGCTTGGATTTCCGATCCATTCCCGCGCTCTGGAACCTCTTGTCGGACAAGCGACCGTATTCTCAAGCCTTCTAGCCAGGTCATCAGGACGCTCTATGATATTCGAGCCTGTACTTTGTGGTCAATCATTTTGTTGGAAGTGCATGCCACGCCAGTCACATCGCTTCTACATCTACCAATCCGATTTCCGCTGGGCGTTGACCGATATTGCTTACAGGCTGCTATTTGAATCCACAGTCTTGGTATTATAGCCTTTGCCAAACCTGGTTCAGCTTGAAGCATTCTCGGATATCGCGCATTGTCTTTTCTCCGCAGACATCCCCGGGCAAATTGATCCAATAGCCCTATCCACAGCTGCACCATGCCTCAACCACAGAAAGGAAAATCGAGACCTCGTGGGTCGGATGAGGAATTCGTTTTATTCCTCCAAGGTGTAAGTGTCTTGCGGCGCGTCGGAGTTCCAGATGGCTGTCTTACTGAAGAGACAGATTCCAGCCCATTGTCGCTGGCAAGAACTGAAGGATCTAGTACGCCAAACGGCTTTGCACATCCGACAAGCGGTAGTATACGATGATCACCACGGGTTTCCCACCGGACTGGGCCAGATCATCGTGAAAAACGAAGATGAAGCGTGGCGGACTTACCGTGTGTATTCCATGCGACAACAAAGGATGCCATAAGTCCCAACTAACAAGCCCCCAGATAGACTATCCACCAACGGCTGGGAAGGACAGAGCTTAGTCGTTACGCTAGCTCGGACTAACTCACCCACTCGACCCATTGCAGGGCCAACGAAGAGCCCACACTGTGTGATCCCGCCGGACTACGTTGCAGGGTATTCGACACCCCCAAGAGTCTCACAGAACATGGCTGTGCCTCCATCTCCCATATCTCCAGAGTAAGCCTCCTCTCACCCACACGCACCCACCCCTATATTTCCCGCATATCCTGCGTCCCAAACTGCATACTGATACCCACAAGACCCATGATAGCCGGGACTAGCCCAACATACCCACCTCCGGAGTACGGACATGCCCCGGTCATGTCCTTCATGCCCATCTACCCAGATCCGCTCTCGCAACACATGCCGGGGATTCCCCCCTCACCCTCCTTCTGCGATCCCCTCGCCTTCACCGTCTACCCACCATACCCCGTCTCCCCCATGCCTGCCTTCCAGGACCTCTCCCACCACCGAACCCCCCATAAACCGCCGTACAGCTACACGTACAACTTCACGCCCGCCGCAATCCCCTTCTACGCCCCGCACCCGCAGAGCAACGGCAACCTCCGGACCTCCCCGCGGCGAACAATCTTCATCCAAAACCTCAGCGCAACAACCACCCAATCCGACCTCCACTCGCATCTCCAAGACGCCGGCACCATCGAATCCTGCGAAGTACCCCTGGACCCCACCACAGCCCGCTGCAAGGGCTTCGCCCGCATCACCTTCCGCACCGCCGACGAAGCCAAGCGCGCCGTCGCCCGCTACAACAACTCCATCTTCCTCAACGCCAAGATCAGAGTCAAGATCGACCGCGCCGTGCCCTTCGCTGCATCGTACGCCCTGACCCCCCCATCCACAGTCCCTGTCACCATCGTCGCTGCACCTCCCACTACTACTACTACCACCACCACCACCACCACCACCACCTACGCTCCAGAGCACACCCCCACAACCGATGAATCAACCAAGCCAGAGCCCACCGCTGAAGAACCATCTCAGACGAAATCTCAGCCGGGGCCATTAGTCGTGAATGGGTCCGGGATTGGTCGCAAGGAGATCACTACTTGATGGATGTTGATTCTATCCCTGTGCTTTGCTTTCTCAGCAGATCTTCTCTTTCACTTTTTACTTCCTTTTATTCTCGAATCTTTCTTTTACGGTGTGGGTTGGGCTTGCTCTATATCGTATTGGTAATCGTACTAGCCATCAAACAGGACGGGACTGGGGCTGGCGGATGGGTTGGTGCAGGGTCAGGGTCAGGGTCAGGTTTATATATCATTCCATTTTTACTAGGTACTAGTTTACGCATCTGGAAAAGTTGGGCCGGGATATAGTAGGGTTCTCTTTTTTTTTTTCTTTGCATAGTGAGTACTAACTATATTTAACCTTTTCTTTTCCTTTTTTTTTTTGGTCCGTTTTTCTTATGTTGAGGGCGTTGTTGGGGGGGGGATGTGGTTGAGGATACAGATAGAGGACTGACTATATTTATATTCACTTAATCGGTTAATTGTTGTTTTATCCATGTGGTCAGTATGTGATGCCCTGATATATTGAATATACTAGCTTGGCATCTATATTTAGTCCTCCCTTGCTGCCTAATACTATATATACTATAACTAATAGATCTATATTGAGTGGGACCTCGGAAGATATGATAATAAATGCCTTCATCATTCATAACTCATCTAACAGCTAATACAAATTCTCTCTTTATCATACTATCATACTGTCATAATACAATGCCATCTTCATAAGGCATGAAAATTAGAAAGATGAGAAAAAAGAAAAAGGGGGGAAAAATAGTGAAAAAAAAAGAATAGATCAGAAAAGAAAGAAAGAAAAAAACCAAGGAAAAAAATAACGCCATTACCGCGGCCCGGAAACAGGTTATTAAATGTTCCTCTCTCTCTTCTGGACCAAGAGGACAAAATACCGAATAGGAAATTCATAAATAATACACGTAAGAAGGGTCTTCGCTGACGCCACGCTCATGCAGAAGAAATTAATCTATTTGGCATGGTCGATCAGTTCGGCGTAGAGTGGTTCGGGGATCTTCCGGACGATCAGAACGGTTAAGGCGATGATTTCTTTGGCATCGAGGGGTGGGAAGGATCGGAGAATCTTGTTTGGACTGGAATGATATGTCAGATGGGGGTGGATTTGGGTGGCAATGTGTGACGGGTCTGGATTTTGGGGGAGATTGTTTTGTTTTGGTCGGTTTTCTTTTATTCTTTTATTGTTTTTTCTTTTTTCTCTCTCTTTTTTTTCTTTTTCTTTTTGGTTGCTAGGGCTGGGACGTGACGTACCTTGGGCTCTCGAGAATAGTATCTCTCATTCGGATGAGTTGGGCAACAATGCATAGGATGTTTAGGTGTGGGCCGTACGCGAATAGGAAGTCCCAGAGATGGAGGACCTCAGGCAAAGGTGGTGTACAGGCGCACATGGTTAACACGGATGGGAACGCGTAGAGTTCTGCCTGCATACCCTTGGAGAAGAGATACGAGGCAAGCTTGGGCTCAACGATCTCAAGGCACCGGTCCACTAGACGGAGCCCGCGATGGACCCCGTCCATGGCGCCGCGGATATAGCCCGGACATTCGCGGGTGACGAACGTATGGAACAAGGCGAAGGCCTCCACTTCACTGCGTGCGGCGTAGAGGAACGGGGCACAGAGGACGTTCATGCCTTGTACGTAGATCGCCGAGTCGCTAGTGATAGTGCTACTACGGCTGTTGCTCGATGTAGTCATTTCTGGGCTCGATTCTTCCTCGGCGATGCTAGGGGGTGTGTTGATGAGAAGCTCCATCTCCCGCCGACGGGTCATGGACGAACGAGGTTTTCTGGCCTTGTTCTTGTTCTTTGCGTCGTGAATCTTCCATGCTACTGCATTGAGGAGTCGGATTAGGCTTGCTTCTGTAACACGGCGTTTGAATAAGGGGTCGGTGGCTAGCGTGCGGAAGGTATCATTGCGGATTTTAGTATACGCTGGTGAGCGGCCGCGGTGGATGAGAGAGAGATATTCGTCTGTCGGAACAGGGGGTATATCCAGAAGTGATAGCCAGAGGTACACTCGATATGATGACTGGATTTAGGGTTAGTAGCTTGTTCTATAGCTCAGGACGACGGAAAAACATACCATGCCGTCAGCATCCGCTTCTACCCTCGTCGACAAAATCAAGTATCTCAGCTCTTGTAGTCCCTCGCGGACATTTCCCTGCTGTGGCCCATCTCGTAACAACGTCTCCAAGACCGATCTCTTGATGCCAAAACCCGAGCCCGTTTTCCTTGCCGATCGTCGCTGGGTTCCGATAGCAGGAGGCTCGCGGGTTGAGGCGTCGCTATTCGATCGGGCTCGACGATGCGTGCGCAGGCGCAGCGGCGAATCTAGTTGAGCTGGCTGAGAAAGCTCCTCCGGCCCAGCGGACGTCCGGGCGCTTGAGGGTTGGGAGAGCTGGGAGGACGAGAGAAGTTGATGGGATTGATCTTGCGCAGACTTCGCATCGTTCGCGGCGATGGTGAAGCGGCCAAAGCGGCCAGGTTGAGTTGGGCCTGGGTGGGTTGGGAGGCCATGTTGGGTTGCTGTCGGTCTTGTCGTTTTGTCGGGTCGGCGAAATTCATAGCTTGTCGCAGGTACTAAGTAAGCATCTTTATTGCTTGGTCCTTTGGGGGGGGGGGGGGGGGGGGATTGACGAAGACGAGGAACCAAGTCAAAGCGGACCAGGGGGAGGGTCCATGAACAATAAAACCCCCTCTGAGAATCTACTAGTTAGTATAGTATTTTAGAAGATTGTTTTTTTTTTCTTTTTTCTTTTTTTCTTCTTCTTTTCCTTTTTGACGGGGGGGCCAGGTGGAATGCGGGGACACGCGACGCGCTGCAAGCAATAATTTAAAAATGAATTTAAATGGAAATATTTTATTAAGTTACTTTTTGCCGGAGTTTGGTTCAGTTGCTATGGTGTTTGAAGTGGACCTTCAGCAAATAGTCCCGCAACTATATACCACCACCGCGAACCTGACTCGTCCCAACCCATGGAAATAAAAATAACAAAAATAAATAAAATAAAATAAAAATAAAATAAAAATAAACGAAACCAGGTACCGAAAATACTTTCAGATACCAATCGCTCTTGATCAAACAGGATCGTATTAATTTGCCACTCTGAGACGTCTCATGTAGCACCGTCGCGTCATATCCAGGGTCGTCCCACCTAAAAAGTACTAGAAATAGATGGATACATGCGGAATAAAGCTTCCAGAGCTATAGGTAAACAATAGTCATCAAGTCCGAGAACGCCAGAACCCAGTCATTGAACGGTAAATCCAAGCGTCAAGCTTCCTGCCGTCCATTTGCTTGTCCATTCTGGGTCCCTCCCAGGACCCCATCCACAAATTCCGGGTATCTAAAAACCTCCCCTCGCTTTCCTCCTCCAGGACCCTTACTGCTCTTGGCCCCGAAAGCCCTGCGCCCCGTAAACCCATTCAGAACCTCATTGATCTCTTGTTCGGTGAGCGGAAGCTCTCCGTCGTCCGGAGCCGTGTGGAAAAGAGCGTCGCGAAGTTCCCCCACGTTGATCTGGCCGCTGTCGTCCTCATCAAAGGCGGCCAGCGCATTCACTAGTTCTTGGCGCGAAGATAACGGCGCGAGTAGGCTGGACAAGATGTTCAAGAATGTAGGGAAGTTGATAGTTTCAGAGCTCCCCGGGGGGAAGAAGTCGGATAACATAGACGGATCTTGACCTGTTCACCACAGTAAGCTTTGTGTCTCCCTATATGGAGATCCATGTCTTGAGAAGGATCCCTCCGCAACATACCAACGTTCACAAGCACATCTGCGACATCGTCCTTGTTCACCGATCCGTCATTATCCCGGTCGAGAACCTGAAAAGCCTCTCTGATTTCTCGGAGTTGCGCCGGCGCTAGTTTCGAAGCTGCATCAGACGATCCCGCCGTCATGCCCATCGACCGGGCACCCACCCTCGGTGACCGATCCGGTGAATTGGCTCCTCTGGTCGGCGATGCGGATGGGGACTCTCTTGAAAATCGGGGCTGGGGAATTCGTTCTCTGCTAGTTGGTGAGGCATCTTCGTGCTCAATAGTATACGATTGATTCAGTTTGCTTGGAGACACGACCGGGGTGTATCCTCGGCTGGGTGAACTCCCCGGTGTGATCCCTGTGGGCGGCGAGTTCGGCGTAGAGGGACGACGAAAAGGAGAAGCACGAGGGGAGCTAAAGGATAACGGCGACGGTTTAAAGGGAGTATTTGAGGTGACCTAGGCGCAACCTGGTGAGCTTGGCGATGGGGGAACTGTGGGGGGAGAAAACACATCATCCGTACCATGATGCAGGTACCCCGGGCGGATGATTTAATATGTACTATGACATGCAAACAACCAGTGGTGTCGAGAGAAGTGTTAGTCGATGGCGACCGTTGTAACAGGCGCGGGGGAATACTTCAACGGTCGGTGGCGGTGGCAGATTTATCGCAGGTTCCATTCGATATCGACGATAAAGTAGAATGCTAAATAACTTTCCCAGAAGAGTAAAGCACCCCAAACAAGCCGAAGCAAACAAACACTTCGGCATCATGTCGGCCCGACCGAGCCATGGGCACGTGCGGGGAGCTTAATCCGGAGTAGAAGCAGCATGGAGGCATTCCTGGAAAATTCATGAGTTGAGTCCGAGTCAGTTGTGACAGTTTCGGCGGCAATTGATATGCACCCGTCATGACCGTCCCTGCTGCCTGCAATTGAGTCTACGATCATGGCGATTGTGGTGTTTCCGTGGAATTTCCCCGCTGTGGATCTCCAAATCTAAGGCTTCTTTTCATCCAAACTTCCCCCTTTCCCCCCCCCCTGAATCGGACGAATTACATGGTCGATCAGTCAACTAATCCTCCGACGGGATCTTTTCAGCGTGGCGAAAATAGCCTTACTTGACCATGACAGCTTGAACTTCCGAGTCGCAGACGGTCTCTTGGGAGGAATTGATCCAGTCGTTGTTGATCAATTAATTCCAAGGAGCATGCGGTTATTTCTTTGTTGCTCGTCTCTATTGTCCCCCAAACGCCCCGTTAATTTGCCCGCGATCTAATCCGAAACATTCCTCCCATATTCTTTGCCTCCTGAAAGGAAAATGAGTCTCACACTCCCTCATCGACCATCCGATGACGCTGCTCGTTCGCTTCCGACGTCCAGTTCTTCCAAGAGCAATGGCTTACCCCGGTTATCTCCCTCCCCGTCGTTCGTTCACAACCGCTCCGTGAGCAACTCCGGCACCTCCGTGCGTGGTTATGAGCCGAACCTCGCTGTTCCCTCCGCATATAGGCAGCGAAAATGTAAATCGCAATATCCTCGTGATTCATCGGAGCGCCATGTCGAATACATACTCGTTGCCTCCTTTCACATTGACCGGGCCCCATCATGGAGCATCAGTACCCAGCCCCTATCAGTGGTGACGAAAGCATGCTGGCCGAGCTGATGCTTCCGGATCAAACTCATGTCCGAAGCCAGGACTGGACAATCTTTTTCTTGCACAAGGACTCAAGTGCCGACCAGGACGATGACGACTCGTTGGCGGCTAAAAAGAAGAAAAAGAGGTCCAGAGCATCGCATGATGGCGACGGGGCCGGCGGCAGTGAAGAGGATCAGGATGAGTCTGGTAAGGAAGAGGAGAGCAGTGATGACGAGGATGAGGGTGGCGAGGGTCCACCGTTGATGTATGTTTTGAATCTTGTAAATACAAAGCAAGACCATACAGTCAAAAGGTATGTACCTTGGTCCTTTTCTCGGCGCGCGACACGACTAAACGGACCGCAGAGGTGCAGTTGTAAAGGCCATGGCTATATGTACACGCCACTCATTCCTCCATATCTATAAAGTAGGCCACCGTCTGACAAGACGCCGCATGATGTAGACTAACATGGCAACAGCCCTTACTTCTTCTAGCTCTGGAAGACTATTTCAAGAACCCTTATCTGGAAACGCTAGCCTCGTTATACAATGCTTTGAATGCCATGGACCTTTCTCTACTCCCCAAGCTGTCCCTCTTGGAGCGACAGATATTGCAGGCTAGCAACTGCAAGGATATGTTTATCGAAAAGTTCGAGCAGATGATCCGTCAGCGAGTTGAAGGGGAAGGAGAGTCATCCGACCCGGACTCGCCGGCTTCGCCCAAAAAGCCGGCCCCTAAGTACACGCTTCCTCGAGATACGCATGAGTTTGAGTCCAGGATTGTTTATAATGATATCCCTATTCCGGTCAAGGTACCCACGGTGATCTGGCCGGAGGTTGTGGGCGATTTCTCTCTCATCAAGCTCATCCAAACCTTCTCCGGCCCTCATAGTGCCTCCCCCCAGCCTTTCCCAATCCACCCCCACCTTACCACCAGCGGTCCCTATACCCATCCCATCATTATTCTGGTCAATGCGATGTTAACCCAAAAACGGGTGGTGTTTCTGGGCCACAATCGCCCTTCCGGAGAGGTTGCGGAGGCGGTACTTGCTGCTTGCGCACTGGCGTCCGGTGGGATACTGCGTGGATTCACCAGACATGCGTTCCCTTACACGGATTTGACCAAAATTGATGATCTCCTCAAGGTTCCCGGCTTCATTGCCGGTGTGACTAATCCCACGTTTGCCAACCACCCCGAGTGGTGGGATGTGCTCTGCGATCTCCCTACGGGCAGAATCAAAATCAGCAGTCATGTTGAGCCTGCACCGGTCACCGAAGGACTCATGTATTTTCAACAGCAAGGATTGAACCATCTCCATGCCTCGAACTTGAACTCCGACCCTACCGGAGATAATCTATTTATGGAAGACGTTCAGCGCAGCATTACCAACCGCTATGGTGAAAATGCTATCCGAGCCAAATGGCGTGCCTACATCTTGAAGTTCGCACGCGTTGCTTCCGCCTTTGAGGAAACCGTGTATGGCGCCTCAAATCTCTATATTATCGGCCCCAATGAAGAGCTGTCCCCGGAAAGCCCCAGTGGGGTTCAGGCGGACCCGTTGGACCCTACGACACTGCGAGGACATGGCCACGTCTGGCCCGACGAGATATCGAAACAACGCGAACTGATGGCATCAGTCTCCCGAATCGAAGGATGGCGAACAACGCGCTCATATTACTCTTTCATCCAAGATATCGCAGCCATATATTATCCTACGCGGCCGATTATCAAACCAGACCTTCATCACCACCATGAACGACTCCGCACCCTAAAATTATCTCCGCCGGAAGCGGGAGCTATTTACATCGCCTTCGCTTATGCCGTCAAAGACTACGCTGGCATTTGCCAGCTCCTAACAGTCACGCCGGAAAACCAAGCCGGCCTCTTCTACCTAAGCATGGGACTCTTCCACCCTGATCAGACGGTCCGCGAGGCGACAGTGGACCTCTTGGAGCGGATCAGCAAACACCCTGCTGGCCAACACTTTTGGAATCAACTCAACCGGTTCGCAAAATTGGCCTTTTTCCGAGTAAAACGCGAGCGAGACGCCTCGCAGAGCCCCATCTCAGGCCCGGAAATGGGGGTCGGAGAACCCCGAAGTCTAGTTGGGGTGGCGATGGGCGACGGGCAACGGTGAGACTCGTTGGCCACCTCTTCGGATCCCCGACTGAGGTAGCTGGCTGTCATACCTCGCCCTGTCTCCCTAGTCCCTTGTATACCTCTTTTGGATCGTTCCGCTTGACTGCTTGACCATTTATACCCAAGATACCATAAAATCTTCCAGGATACATTATGATGATGACAGTTCTATAGCCCCTATTTTCTTCTTGTCGTTTATTGGATATGTTTTCTTCGTTTGTTTTGGATATACCTCTTGACGAGCCCCAAGGCACATATTAGAACTTGACGAAGGGATAGGATGATCTTTGACGTCTTACGTTTGGTTTCGTGTCGATATTGATACATAAATATTACACCTTCAAGTCATACGGTTGAACACACCTCTCGGAATGTCGGCTGAAGGAATAATATGTAATGATTGTAAGAGGTTCGAAGACCACCAATTAAATACAGGTATAAACATTAAGAAAGAGATATCCAACCAAGCGGGAATAAAAGAAAGAAGCAGCCGCTGTCATAACCCATAACCGTGACCTGAACGAGAGTCCGAAGAAGAAGGGGGGGGGAAACGAGGAATATACAAATTCTCTACAGCTCAAAATGAATGAATAAGGAGCGAACGGGGGAAAAAAAAAGAAACCGAGCAAGAGAAAATGGGGGAGGAACTAAACCAACCCCCAGAGACTCGCCGCAATACTCAAGGCCACGACACACGCGGTGAGAAACCCATCCGGACGACGCACCGCCCACGACGCCGACGAGGACTCGCCATCCGCCGCAACGGTGATATTCGCATTCGCAAAGTTGACCCCACATTTGGAATTAATCGCCTTGGCAGAGGGGAGATACGAATGGGCGAGCGGCTGGCCGCTTTTCTGCGCCCATTCGCCGAAGACGTCCATGGAGGCCTGGACACATTTGCTGCAGGTGGGGTAGGGGGCGTTGGTGATTGCGCTGCCGTAGGGGATGAAGTAGACGTCGTAGTCGGAGGGGTTGGAGCTGTTGGTGGCGGCATCGACGAAGCAGTAGTCGCCTGTGCTGGGGTTCTTGAGACACGAGGCGCGGTACATGGGCTCGTAGATGATCATGTCGGTGTAGGCGTCCGTCACGACCGGGTTGCCGAGCTCGTAGTCCTTGCCGCAGGCGTCGGATTTGGTGATGCGTGACGCAAGATCGGACATGATGGACGAGCACTGGTCCATGTCGGCGGCACAGGCGAGGTCCAGGACGTGCGAGGTGGCCGGGGCGGACTTGAGCGTCTGGAAGAAGGAGCTGGAGTCCCGCAGGAGCATCGAGATGGCGTAGCAGTTGGCGAATTTGGAGTCCGAGAGGAACTGCTTGAAGAATTTCGGACAGCTTTCGGACGTGAAGTTCGTGGAGAGATTGCTGTCGAATGGTGTTGGCGTGTCACTGCTGCTGGTGCTGGTGCTGCTTGTCGATCTTTGGGATAGTGCTGGTTGTGCATTGTCGTTGGTCTGCTCGTTCTCCTCGGGTGCTAGGAGGATGGGCGAGTGCGCTGCGTCTTCTTCAAGACTGCTGTCTACCTGGACGGGTCCCCATGCCGCACGTTCCTGGAGTGGAGAATCAGATACATCTTGAAGATCGTCGCTGACGATCTCTCCGCTAACGGGGAGGTCGAGCGCGGTGGTGGAATCTAGACCTGTCCGGACGGCGGATGGGATCACGGATGCGACAACGGATGGGACCGCAATGACGGTCAGGAGTAATTGGCGAAGACTGGGCAATTGAGTCCGCCGGCGAGGACGCACATTGCTGGTCTGCATGGTGCGGCTTTCCGACGCTCGGATAATGGCATGCAATCGGAATTTCATTGCGATTGGCAGTGGTTGTAAACGAATGGCTTGCCACAAAAGGGCATGTAAAGGAGTGTCGGTAAGAAACAGAAAAAGAGAGACGAAAGGTGAGATTAATTTTATGAAAGGAGCATGGTAAGAACGATCACCGCGGTACCTGGCCACACATCTGGTGGTTGGGAGCGAGGAGACCAAGTCGTGGTAGTGGTGTTGCAGAGAAGATGAGGTTTAAAGAGAGAACTATCATGTAAAAAATCCACTCGTGCTCCAGCCCCCCAGACTTATAATTAATTACGGTTATTAAAAACGACAGCGACTGGACAGGTAAAAAGCGCCGACCAGGAGAAAAGGGGAATTACAAGAATCAAGGCCTTGGAAAAGAATGGTTCTGGACCCGACACTAGACGGGGATTTATTCTTAGTAGCTGACGGCTCTTGTCATTGGTGCTCCCCCGTGCCCTATTAAATTTACATTAGGTACAGGAACAAAAAAAAAAAATTAAGTACCTAGGGGGAAAAAATTGGGAAGAAGAAAGAAACGAAAATAGAAAGAAAAATCGAGAAAAAGAGCCAAAAGAGAACCAAAAATCAGAGAAGGCGAACGCAATTTCTCGATTCCGTCTCCCTGAGTGGTCTTCGATCATGTCAGGGTTAGCAAAGTCACGGTATGTGCTGTGCATTCCTTGCCTGATTCTAGACTTGAACAAGGAAAACGAAAAAAAGGTCATCCTTGCAGGACGTGCCAAGTTGCCAACCCTTTCATACTTGGACAACAACCACAGCCACGGACGCATTTCATTCTCCGTCTGTGCCGTTCTCCACCAAATACACTCCGGGCACGGTGCAGTTCCCATCCCTATCCTATCAGCCACCGGATCTGCATCTCTCTACATCCTCGTTCCTTTGTTTCTCCTGGACCAAGCCAGTCGTGCTCCACAGCTCATTCAACTCGAATTAGCAAAAGAGCCTCCATTGGGCGGTTGCCCAATGCTTCCACGGCGGCAGAGAAAAGTTTTGGTCGGGTCCGGTATCCGATCGATTAGGAGAACCAGAGTGCTTCGAGCCCATTCACTCCATGCTCGGTTACATGATCTTCTCCACGTTGATCAAACAGAGCACAGCAGGAGGTGAATCCACACTTCTATGCTATCCCGTGCGAGGTCCCGTTAATGCCGGTCGGTGTACCAGTCCACGACACTCAACCGAGTGAGAGTGGAGAAGAGCGGATACCAGATCGTGCGGAACAGTAGGCATGCGAAACAACCAGCTACTCGGTTGCGATGGTTCGGTCCAGAGTTCCATTTTAGGTGATACCCTCAACTGTATTTGGATGGGGTTGTTTTTATGCAGTTCCGATTGGCAAATTTACAGTGATTTTCATGCTGACCAATACGATGTTTTACTTCGGACATATCCAGCTTCTGAGGCTTCACAAAACATGCAACCACGTTAAAAAATCCCCGTGGCCGCGCTCCGCGGAAATTGCCATATGCACCTCGTTTCCTACGGCTAAGCTCGCTGCACAACAAGCCATGGTCGTCACAGCGGGGCGGAATATTCCAAGGAAAGGAAGTCCCCCAACAGAGGAAAACGTGGATTAGGTAAGAGCAAAAGAGCTCGGGGGGTACTATTTGTTTCAGCTTCCTCCGTACGACTGCAGCTACCCACCTCTTCGTCTAGCTCGGAGCTCTTTTCAATCAAAGGTTGCTTGCCACTTGACATCCGGTTGTCGGTCCCGTTCCCCTCACAATGAGGGAGTTCAAAAATATCCCTTTTCAGTACAGTTTCAATGCCTGCTACACCCGCTTCCTTCAAAGCCGCGCACCATTCGAACCAGATCCTACGATCACATAACGCATAAGCAGAAGGACTGTCCTCTACGACTTTCAATTGAATTAAGCCAGCCCAGAGCAGAAGAACAAAGCATTTCAGCCGGTGCTGCTCTGGAATAGTTTCGAATATACCATTTTCTGTGAAGCGGATGGCCAAGTGTCGCATTTATTCACCAAAGCTGACCGTGGCATATGGCTCTGCATTCCTCTGAAGCAGCTCTTGAATGGCAGCCACGCCCTGTACACAGGAGCTGATTGGCACCCCAAAAAGTGACGTGAATCCGTCTGCACTTTGGCTCTCAATGTTGCAGCCGAGTCGAGTCGGTCAGTTCATCAGATCTTACTCTTCTCCATCGTCTTTAGTTCAGCATACAAACGACCGACGGCAGAATGTAGCAGACTTCCAGGCGTAGCAACATGGTTGATATCGCGACCTGCTCTTTTGATAAATACCGAATCTCATTGGGGGCGTGACTTGAACAAGTGGAGGCAATGTTTCTATACCAAAGGCAGCGAAAAGGTTAATGACTACTAACGTCGTCTCAGCGCCAAACGCTAGTTAAGAAGTAGAACAGATCTTTAGATATAATACGTGTGCCCTAACTGTGGCAGCTACCGTTAGGGCCTGCTCCTTGTATCAAGATCTCGCACAGATTTGAACGCAGTCCACCTCGGCGTACTATAACGAGGTTGGCATACATAGAAGGACCCTAGTAAATTTGCGATATAGATACTAGTAGGATGTTGACTCCACTGGCATATACAATGTGGCAGATGAAACTAGTACAACATATGGTCTTATCGGGCCGATAAGCATATCGGACGCAAATCGACAACCGGAGACATCAGCCAATCAAGGCCCGGGGAATGCATCCCACTTTCTCTCCCCGACTGACTAAGAAACTGATGGACATTGACATGGAACTCGTTCTGACTCTTTACGAATGGTGATATCCGGTCGTTGAATCCTCTGGTCCTGGGAATCTGTCGGCTACTACGGACGGTCCGTTTCTCTGACTTCAACCGAGCCCTTGGAGTCTTTTCATCTCCACTCTTCCATCATCATGTCCGCCGACTCTTTAGTCCCCGAGACCCGGGTCCTTGCCGTTGCAAGCCATGTAAGTCGTTTTTGCCAAATGCGGTCATGATCCCCATATAAGGTCAGCTTGTTTAATTTGTTACGTATAGGTTGTCTATGGGTAGGTGTCTCATCGTTGAGATCTGGAAATCTATCCCTGTCCGGATCACCCCGCAATGGCTTCCCGATGACCATCTACTTGGGCAGACCATGACTCGATTGCTAACATGAGAGGCCAGTTATGTCGGAAACAAAATGGCAACGCTGGTCATGCAGCTACTAGGTTGCGATGTTGCCGCGTTGAATACCGTCCATTTCAGTGAGTCATTGTCCACACGTACCTACTAGTAGGCCTGCAAACTGACGAGATTCCAACCAGGCAACCATACCGGCTACAGGCAATTCAAGGGCACCAGGCAACCGCCGAGCAGATTACTGAACTCTATGAGGGCCTATGCCAGAGCCATCTAACCGACTTTGACGTCATGCTGTCCGGCTATGCGCCCAGCGCCGCAGCCGTCGAGGCTGTAGGGGCCATCGGCATGGACCTGCAGCGCAAGGCTGAAAAGAACCCTGGCTCGTTCTTCTGGGGTAAGCATGGTCCACGCTGCGCATCTAGCGTCCTCGCTAACGACCCATAGTCTTGGACCCGGTAATGGGCGACCAGGGCCGCTTATACGTGAGCAATGACGTGGTACCGGCCTACAAGAGGATCATCCACCACGCGGACCTGATTCTCCCCAATCAGTTCGAAGCCGAGTGAGTCAAACTAGCCCTGTTGCCTCGAAATGTGACTCATGCCTCGTTAGAACCCTATCCGGAATCAAAATCACCTCCCTCAGCACGCTAGCAGAAGCCATCACCGCCATCCACGCCACCTACAACGTCCCCCACATAATCATCACTTCCGTCGACCTGTCCAGGTTCACCCAATCCCCCTCATCGCAGACCACCCCATCAGACAGCCTGACCGTCATCGGCTCAACGACCCGCGCAGACGGCTCCCCACGTCTCTTCCGCATCGACGTCCCAGCCCTGGACTGCTACTTCAGCGGCACAGGCGACATGTTCGCCGCGCTGATCGTCGCCCGACTCCGGGAGGCTGTCTTCGCCGCGGACCCCCAGCTCCGCACGACAAAGTCCTGGGTGTCCCCCGATGATGTCAAGGCTACGGATCTCCCTCTTGCGCGAGCGACCATCCAGGTTCTGGCGAGCATGCACAACGTGCTCGAGAAGACGATGGAGGCGCGCGATGCGGAGCTCCGGGCGGCTGATACCCGGGGCGATGAGACGCTTAGTGAAGAGGAGAGGCTGAAGCGGGAGCATCTGCGCAAGAGTAAAGCGGCGGAGGTGAGATTGGTGAGGAATGTGCAGTACCTGCGTGAACCCACGATGGTGTTCCAGGCGCAGGAGTGGAGGAAGGAAGATTTACCGGCGGGGAGCCAATAGATCAACTGTGCTGTCTATGTAACGTACGATAGATAAGAAACTAGATGATAAAATATGTACGGCTAGCATTCATACTGCAACCATCCATGGGCCTTGAAAGTCTAATGACCTAATCCACATCCTCTATCCCAGTCTATAATCCCCCCAGCACAGCCTCCCCAAAACAAATGAAATATATATAAAATAATAACAGCGTAATAAAAATAAATCCAATTCTTTTCTATATAACCAACGCCAAGTATATGTAAACCCACCCCATGCGAAACCAATCATATCATCATTAGTTAGTGCCAGTGCTTCCAAAGCCACCCGCACCGCGCACACTCTCCTCCAACTCCTCCACAACCATAACCTCGGGGGTATAGATCTGTCCCTCACGTCAGCGGTCGGGCCACAACAACACCCACATAATCCAAAATAAAACCAAAGCCAAATAGCATGAAGGGTGGGGGGGGGGGGCTAGTAAAACGAAGAAGAGAAGAGGAAAGCATACCCTCTCAATGATAAGCTGAGCAACACGATCCCCAGCCTTCACGGGGAAATCGACCTCGGAGTGGTTAAACAGGAGAACCTTCACCTCACCACGGTAATCGGCATCAATGACTCCAGCGCCGGTGTCGATGAAGTGCTTCGCGGCGAGGCCACTGCGGGGCGCGATACGGCCGTCTATATAGTTACCATGCATTAGTGAAAGTTCCCTCTTCAATTGAATGTATGCGGTCGTCTCGTTTCCAAGAAACAGCTCACACAAGCCCAGGAAGGAAATGGAAAATAGAGAAGAAGAGAAAAACACATACAGGTCCCCTCTGGCACAGCAATGGCAATACCCGTATCAACCAGCGCCTTTCCCCGAGCCGGAATAACAGTCTCCTTAGCAGCATAAACATCGTATCCGGCCGCGAAGGCAGAGCCGCGAGTCGGGGCGCGACCGCCCTCGTTCAGCTTCTTGATGAGCAGCGGGGGCAGAGGCTGCGAGACGGAGGTGACGGGGGTGTTGTTGGTCATTTTGGGCTGGTCTTCGGTGGTGGTGTTGGGCTTGGGGCGCTTGGCGAGGGGTGAGGCCGGTAGAGAGGGGGGTTCTCTTGTGGTTGTTTGTTGCTCGGGTGGGGGAGTGGTCTCTTTGGTCATGGTTGTGAGGAGGTTTTTGAGGTGGTTGAGGTGGTTTTGTCGTTGCGGTGTGTGGTGGTGGATCATTGATGTGGTTATGCGCGTGCAGACGCGTAGCGCGTTTAATGGGCTTGGCGTTGGAGGCATTGTGTTTGGGTGGTTTGCATTTGCTCAGTAATAACCTAGGTAATCAAGGAGAGGGAGGCAAGGGTTACAAATTTGGGGGTGTATGCTGTTTTACGAAAGATACTGTATGTAAACAGGGTCGAGCCAATAGAATACCCCACCGGGTAGAAAAGAGGAGTGCAAGTTAAGCTAGGTATGAAAATTTCACTTGGGGTCAAGCAGCTGTGGAGGTTACCGACGGCCCCGCAAATGCCAATGAGGTCGTGTCGCTGTTTAGCCTCGGTCCGTGGCGGTCGTGAACTGGACAATTCACAATTGATCTTCCTACATTTATTGCCGAGCCTCCTGTCTTCAGAATGATCCCGCTAACTTCCCTGCGATCTAGGCATCTAGTTTGCAGATAATTATTAGTATCCCCGGAAATCAATCCCGTTTGGTTGTTTTTTAATTGCTATACCTGTTGGCCATGGCTGGAGCGGTGCGCCAACCAATTGATATCCCGTCCCTGGAGCGGTATCTCAATCAGAATGTACCTGAGATCCAGACACCTTTAGATGTGAAACAGGTAAGCACAGCGGGACCGAATCACATATGGTTGATGGGCACGATCTAACTCCCCACAGTTCTCGTTCGGACAGTCTAATCCCACTTATCTGCTGACCGGCACCGATGGAAGGCAGTTCGTCCTGCGCAAAAAGCCCCCGGGCAAGCTCCTGTCCAAGACCGCGCATAAGGTCGAACGCGAATACAAGGTCATCCACGCACTGGAGCAGACAGACGTCCCGGTACCAAAGGCCTATTGTCTCTGTGTAGATAGCAATGTGATTGGGACCCCGTTCTATATCATGGAGTTCTTGGACGGTCGGCTATTTACCGATCCTGCCATGCCGGGAGTCAGTGCTGAGGAAAGAAACGCATTGTATGTTGGGTCCCCACGCGTCATCTGAGGATGAGGTCCGATTACTAAGAACCTTGTAGGTGGAAGGCAGCGGTGCAGACCCTGGCTAAATTCCATCGAGTCGACCCCAAGTCGGTTGGTCTGGAAACTTTCGGAAAGCCGTCGGGGTACTATGATCGGCAGATCGCCACCTTTTCAACGGTGTCCAAAGCGCAGTCTCAGGCCGTCGACGTTGAGACCAAGGAGCCAGTGGGGGAACTTCCGCATTTTATGGAGACGGTGCGCTTCTTCTCGAATAAGTCTACTCAGCCGAAGGATCGCGGCACGCTAGTCCATGGCGATTACAAGATCGACAATATGATTTTCCATAAGACTGAACCCCGCGTCATCGGTATCCTGGACTGGGAGATGGCTACGGTGGGGCATCCCCTATCGGACTTCTGTAACCTCACGAGTCCGTACTATCTGGATGGCACCGACCACACAACCGACCAGTTCCAACCTGACCGGATACCTGGATTGCCCAAGCGTGAAGACTGCGTACGATGGTATCGCGAAGTGGGCGGATGGGACCCGACCATGGACCTCCCCTGGGGAGACGCCTTCTTTGCCTGGAGGCTCTCGATTATCCTTCAAGGAGTCAAAGCTCGCTATGCACTGAGACAGGCCAGCAGTGCCCAAGCGCACGAACATGCCAAAAAGACTACCCCGTTCGCGTTGGCCGCCTGGGAACGGGTCAAGGCCGTCCAGAACACAATGCATCAAAAAGGCAAACTGTAGCTTTTCTGCTACCCGTCCAATCTCTTCCGACCGCTAGAATGAACCTAATGTGGACCCTGCTCGTAGACTTGTGGCGTGTAGGCCAACGGCGTATATGCGATAAGCAAAGGGGATGGCTGGCAGGACCTGGTGCGATGAGGTGGCCCATTGGTGCATGACGGGCCTGTCGGGTATTCATAGTTTGTGATTGGTACCGTAACCCATACGCAAGCAGGATAATGCAAGCTCAGGTAGATGACGAATAGAGACTATTCTTCCCATGAATGGCCGGCGTAAGCCCAAGCAATTGTCGTCGTAATTGGCAGGGTTTCTACATCATTGATCTTCTCACATTTGGAAGCATGAGGGTGTCAAGGCAAATTGGTTTGACGATCGGAAATTCGGAAGATGACTCGTATATGCGCCAAGGCATTTGGTGGTCCAGTGAACGGTCACCAACGCAATGTCAGCAGTGAGCCGCTTGGACCATGATAATTGGGTGCGGCTCATGTGCTTTGTTTTCTTCGTTGCCTCATGTAAGGGTTAAAAAGGGCGGGTAAGAAAAAGAAAAGCAAAGAAAGATCGGGCATCTCCGGACTGAGAAACCGACCATAGGGCAAACGCAACCGCCACCATCGCGACATCATATCCCATCCCATCCCATATATCCACTCTACAGTCTACGTGTTGGGAATTCCAAGTCTGCCCTAACTAAACATGACCTGCCAACAACAGGTCCTCACGATTAGCCTAATGGGGGAGAGGGGGGATTGACGGCCAAGCGAGGGCTACCTAATTTGTGGTAACTCGCTCTCTCTCGTTCTCGCTCTCTCATTCCCTTAGTCTCCATAATCACAGTGGGGTTTGACCCTCCCTTTTTCTGCGGCGACCAGGATCAATCTCACTTATTGGCCCACACCGTTGAATACCATCCCACTTGACAAAAATGCCCCGATCGAGAGATCCCTGCAGACTCATCGTTCGATGGCCGAAACGTCGCCTCACCTCCAGGTGACAAACGATGAATTGATCAACCCGGTGCTTACCGGAAACACACCACCCATATGATGTCAATAACAGATCATGTTATGGGTGTCAGGAATGCTTGATAAATTAATTTGCACATTAAACTAAGATGGTTGGGGAAGGGATGTGACCCTGGTAGGGTTTTGGTTGTATCCATTCAGATGAAAATGGGGCCCGGAGCGGGCCGCGTTTGTGCTTGCGAGAAATAAATCAATCACTGGGGGTGGTGATGGAGTGAGACCTTTTTTTCCTTTTACCTTTTGCCTTTTCCAATCATATCACCGTGTCAGTAGTGCAGGCATCCGATTCCTGTGTCCGTTCAAAACGGAGTATACGGGAGATATCGATTACCCACCTACCGAGAACAGGAGGTAAAGGAAGGACGACGGATTGGAGTTTGTTTGACTCGGATCGAGTTTCGAATTAAACCTTTTTGTCACTAGACTCGATCATGGCCGTTGGGAGAGGAAAACTAAAAAGCAAAAAGAAAATAAGGAGTCTAGGCAGCATCGAATGTCAAGAGGCTGGAAGGTGAAAGAGGGGTTTTGGCTTCTCGGCCAATTGCCAATATTAGGGCGGAGCGTCCATGGGTAAATGTTGGACAGAGAAACCTGACCATATCCTGCTTCCTGCTGATGGATCTACAATCAGTCAGAGGGAAGCTAGATCTGCGAATGGTTCCAAGATTTGGACCCCATCCATATGATTGAGTTCCGCGGCAATCGCAATGGTAGTTAGTAGTTAGAGAGAGGATGAAAAGATCGAAAGAAAGCAACAGGAAAAAGAACGAGAGTCCAACCAAGATGGCGCTGGGAAGATATACTTCACCCGGTGGATTCGTCGTTTTATGGAGCTATTCGTATTCGTGGCTTAATGCTTGTTATTATACTAGCGCTAGAATCCCTCTAGACGAGAACCAGCTACGCCCACTTGATCGCTAAAAGGTTGATTGTGCACCACCGACGTAGGACCGTCGATGCATAATGACTTCTCTGGTCACTCCAAGCCCATGAATAACTCCTACTGGTAACTTACAGCAAGTAGTGCAATCCCAAGTGGAGACCGGTCCAACGTGGGGCTACATCTCTGGTCCGATCATCTCCTGCAGAGTGACAGGCGTAGCACGAAATTGCGCCCCCCCTCTTTCACTCTTGGGTTTCTCTCTCTCTCTCTCCCTCTTCTCTTCTGACCCTCAGTCTAACTGCGTGTTTTTGTACAGCCTCACACCGAACACGCGTGATTCTTCAGGACCACGCTAAACTTGCTGCAGCAGTGCCCATCCCCATTTCCTATCGGGTTCCTGACTGGTCGCAATCAGAATCAAACGGGCCCAGTCTACAGTTCCAGGGTGCTACCGTAGTCGTACACTATCTACTAGTAGATTTTCTAGGCACTAAGAATAACAAAACCCAAGAATAATATCATGGATGGTGACCTGATAATAATTATCCGAAGAGATCTCAACCCAACGTTCAACATGATGAGAATGGGCTTTTGTGTCGGTCCTTGATCACGGGGGATTCGGGGATTCGTAGGTTAAGCATAAAACCCTCGAGGGTCATGCCCCTTTTTACTCTGTCCTTGGTAGCCTGAGTCCTGGTTCTGAATTTTTATTTTACTTTATTTATTGTATTTTTTTTTGTATTTTTTTTCCCCCGACGCACAAAACGCTTTGATCCGGTCGATTCAGGGTTGATGACTAGTGACCCCAGGAGACTAAACTGGAAAGAGTAGTTCTACGGTTGCGTGGCGGTCAAGCCAACAAGGGAGTTAACAGCCTTGTCGCCTCAAAACTTAGGCTATTGCGGAAGACGACGCATCGGAGAAATTGTGCTCTTGGAGGATGACTAAGGCAATAGTAGACGGTAGTAACGCACAAGGATAAGGAAAACTAAAATACCATGGCAAAGAGAAAAACAAATAATGAGAGAAAAGAAAGCAAGATTAGACACGATGAGCTGCATGGCGAAGAATGGCCACATCAGCGATGAGGTCAGTCATCGATCTAGCTTTCCAGCTTGACTCACCCCCGGGTCAATCCTCTTCAAGCGAGTGCCCAAGGTTCCATGGCGGTTCGATGCAGAGAACAGTTCAGCCTCCTCGTTTTGGCCGTCGGGTCCCCGCCAATCACCGTGCATCCGCGGAGAGCCTCAAAAGTGTGTTCCGATCCCTTTGGGTTTAGTGCGATGTGGAACTGCGGCTGGTTCGGCCTCGTGGACGTGCCATGAAGAGAGGGCGATTGTCAGTACCTAAGGAGCCCGAGAGAATTAAAGTGGGCAAAATCAAGAAAAGAAAAATGCAACGGAGATGGTCAGGTTTAGAAATTCTCTCTTTTGAGTATTCTCCATTTCACTTTTCTCCCTTCTGATCTGAATCTTCCATGGTATGGGATCTGGAGGACGATCGTTGATACTCCACTAAGTACTTTCTCTTCTTCAAGTGGTGTGTCCAGTCTCAGGTCACTCAACTTAACCTCCAGTCTTGTCTTTCTCTGAATTTCCTCCCCTGGTGCTCACCCCCCACTTTTTCTTTTTGGCGCGTCTAGAGTCAGCTTCCAGCCCGCCGTCCCCCTCCGGCCGTTTCGACCTATTTCGACTATTTATTTCTTGGAATTCAATTCCGAAGCCGTCACAGAGAGGGGATCGTCTGGATTATCCTTCCCCCAGAGAAAGACTAAAAGGTTTCGAATGACGGAAAGTGGAATGTTGACAGACTGACATCGCATTGCTGGTGTCTCGCTCGTCGCTTGTTCTCCACCGAAAGGCCCGGGTTCCAGCTCGGCCGGTAGTGGATCTCCTTCAGATTCCTTTCTCCTCAATGAGAAGAATCCTAGTTGACCCAACTAAGAAACCATCCTGACTGTGTCTAATTTCCCTTTTTTTTTCTTTTTAATTTTTTTTCCTTTATTTTTCAATTCTCTGCGACCACCCCCTTCCCGGGTTTCTACCCTCTCGCTGACCGCTTCGAACTAAAAAAGCCAGCCTTTTGCCAGGCGGTCACTCCCGCTCCCAGTACTATTAGCTTCATTTCCAGCCGTTTCTCGACCACCATTATAATTTTATTATAATAGTAATGCTCTCTTAATGCCATTACTATTATTGTGATCATTATTATTCGCTCTATTCTCTTGGTCGCCCATGGTCATTATTATCATTCCTGTTCTTATTATTATTATTATGGTCAATCTCCCTTCTCTTGGCTTGTCCATCTGACAATCATTACTCCTGCAACCCACACGGGCGCCGCCGCTGAGATTATTATGCCTGTGCCATAAACCACTGTTGTTTTTCCTCTTTGCCCCCCACTTGACTTGTTTCCAAGTCGGCGGCTACTACTTGTGCCGCCTGGATTATCACCATTCTGATCGTCGCGTATCTTGGATATTGTCCCATCCTCATTATCCCTCTTACAATTTGGACCGCCTACTCCCCACCAACCCCTTTGGATTTGCGGTTCTCAATCTCATGCAAACGGCGCATCATCTTCGTATTCTCAATCGTGACGTGCAAATTGTCTCCGATTGAGCCTCATCTTTAAAGCCGGCGGGTGCCTGAATTCTGCCGTGTACTCCGTGTCTCAAGTTCCTTCAGCAGGTGAGCTTATTCTGCATCTCTAATCATCTATCTTTTGTTCCTGCTCCTGCTCCTGTTCCTGTTCCTTTTTTTTTCTTTTTTATTTGTTTATGTATTCCCATCTACTCTGTCCATGGTAAGAGCGGCAACGTCGGCGGCGTCCTGAAGATGAAAAAAAAAAATTCAAGACTCCACACTCCCAACGTGCACCTCATTACTGTTCTCTGTTAGGAGGTCTTCTGCACGCACCACCGATGTCGTGGTGATTGGTCTAATGTCAGGTGGTTTACCCGACATGGTAGCGCCCATGGGTCTCCATCTTTTCTGACATCGGAGGTTGATTGATCCCACAACGTCTTCAGGAGTGGGTTATTGCTTGTCTTATTAGTCGCCGCAGCCGTAGTTGGGTTGTTGTTTTCTTTTTTGCCTCTTCCCATTTGTCCTCGTTTATCTTCTTACTTTGCTTCGGGCTTTGCTTGCTATGGCCTTTACATGTTACAATCATAGTCAACATCCTTATCAGATCCCTGTTCAGCATTTCATCTCAGTCGTCTAATCTGATTCCTTTTTCGAGTATCTTGCTGGATGCGAACTAACAGGCAACAGAATATCTGGGGTGCAGTCGATTGGCCAAGCGCGCCCCAACTGTTCATTTCCTTTATTGTGCATTCACTGGGCGGGCAGTCGGGTGCTGAGCCGGTGTTTTTACGGTTTCAGCGCAAAGGGTGGTCTTAGAAGGCCAGAGTAAACCATAGAAGGTGCGGCGCACCTGATGCGTCAAAAACCGCCGCCTCCATGACAGAATCATATGATCCCGACGAGGACCGTCGTTCTCCCGGGCTGGAGGCGACCAAGCCGGATTATAAGCCCCATAAAGAACCGACTCCTCCTTTCATAGTCAAGGAGGTCAAGGAGCCCGAGGGCGAATTTAAATATTCTCCAGGCGAGGGAACACCGGACTGTTCCCGTAAGCCTCAATCGAACCTATACAAGTCCGAACCAAGCGAGGGCAACTCGGTGCTGATCAGCTATATAGACCCTAACCGACCTGATATTGCCAATTATGAGAGATCTGACCCACTTCGCCCGGAGCACTTCCGTGACATTCTCTGTGATGATCTGCTGGAGAAGCCTATGGTCAAGCCCGAGAAGCCAAAGCTAGAGAGCCCCGTGGTGGAGCCGGCAAAGCCTAGAGAGCCTCAGTCAGAGACGGATCCGAGTGAAGCAGCTAAGCGCGCCCTTGCACTGTTAGATCTACCAAAGCCCAGCGATGGACCCTTGGAGCCTCCAGAGATCCCAGTGAAATCCCACGTTCATTCTCCTGACGCGCGCAGTGGCGTTAAAGTGGAGGTGCTGTCTCCAAAAAATGCCCAGCCACCACCACCTGCCCTTCCCAGTATCACGGAGAAGAAACCATTCAGCCCACCTTTAAGCCAATATGCAATCTCCCTACATCCGTCGCAGGACGTGTTGCCCCCGTTCCACTCACCTGACAACACTACCACCCTGCCCCCCATTCAGACTGCACTACGTGGTATCGCTCATGTTAATGAGCCCGCTGCACGCGTCAATGGCTCCTCCCCCTATTCTTTACCACCCGTCACCGCTAGTTCCCCACCGGGCCTCCGGAGTGAACCTGTCTGGGAGCATCAACGCCCGGGCCATTTTGTTCCACCTCCCCAGATCCCTCCTAGTCCTTACTCGCATTTGTCACCTGCGAGTACCAAAGATTTGTCCGCTGTGTCGTCTCCAGCAACGCAGAACTCGTACTGGAGATCACAGAAATCCGACATACCTTATATCACATCCACCTATGACATCGCACATTGTGACGCTAAAAGCCCTGCCACGGGCTATCCAACACCCACAGATCAAACTCCAGCGGGGACGTGTGAACGGACACCATACAATCCAAGTCCGCAACACAATGGAGTGGTCACATCGGGAGCCTACAAATGTCGGCATCCGGGGTGTACCGCTCCACCTTTCCAAACTCAGTACCTATTAAAGTAGGTCTCGGCACTTCGCCATCATACATGAATCTAGTTATCTGTTGAGTGTTTTCAGAGCTCAAGCTGATACGGAGCAGTTCCCACGCGAATGTTCACTCGCAAGACCGACCCCATTTCTGTCCCATTGAGGGCTGTCCTCGTGGAATCGGCGGGAAAGGGTTCAAGCGCAAAAATGAGATGATCCGACATGGCCTGGTCCATAATTCCCCTGGCTACGTGTGCCCGTTCTGTCCAGACCAGCAACATAAATACCCACGACCAGACAACCTCCAGCGGTAAGCTTCCCCTAGTTTTGCGTATGCAAAGATATTACAGATGCTAACGGAATCAGGCACGTGCGGGTCCATCATGTGGACAAAAGCAAGGATGACCCCCAGCTCCGGCTGGTCCTTTCGCAAAGGCCAGAAGGCAGCGCGCGAGGGCGCCGCCGTCGGATCAACCCTTGATTAAATATTTATATGAAATGCGCATCATACGTATCGACTTCTGCCTGTGAGAAGATGGCTTTCTCACTATTATCGAGAATGACGCGGTCATCTTCACGATGTTTTGCCTTCTTCCCCCCCCCCCCCCCCCCAACTTTTTGATGTACACTGTGCATGCATTATGAATCTCTGCAATATTTCTCATACCATTCTCTTTTTGTCTTGTCCGTTGTGTTTACTTTGTTCGAGATACCAGATGTCTAGAGTTACGAGCCACATTTATCGTTTGTCATTCGTTTCATGTCCGGATATACGCTACGTTTATGAAGAAGCGTGGGATTGTACAGGAACCAGGATTCGCGGTTGGGCGTCCAGTGAAGGCTTTTTTTTTATTCTATATCAATTTCTTTTTCCGTCCAAAAATCCGCTGTGCTTCATTTTCTGCTTCAGAGATGGATCCCTTCCCATCTCTTTTTCTTACGAGTACGTCTAGGGAATAGCGGCGTCTTTTCGCGGAAACAGTCATGCGACTCCGATCTTTATTCTAGGAGCCAAAGGTGATAGCCAGCTGAACTAGTTGACAGAAATACACGTTTCATCGACAGAAAAAAAAAAGAGGAAATCTTCTAATAATACAGTACCGGTCCATCCATTTATCCAGCCACATAAACCCATCATTAAAACCCAAGATAAGCAACAACCCACACAAGAAAAAAAAAAAGAAAAGAAAGAGAGAAAAGAACAAACCAAACCAAAAAACGAGAAACAAAACAGACAGATCATTCCCTCCTGCGATGAATCCTCCTAACATGATCCTTCATATTATCCACCCGACTAAACACCCTCTCACAGCCTGCCCACTCACAACACACCACCGGGTTATGCTTAGCCTCATGCCTATCACGATCCTTCTTACTCGAAAACCCGCCGGCCACAGCCTGCGGACAGCCGCGATGCCGACAGAACAGATGCTTGCGGTGCCGATTATAATGTTTCCGGAGGTCGCAGCCGCGCCGGAAGATCGTCTGCGACGTGCAGCCCGGGTACGCGCACCGCCAGGTCTGGTCTGGGTTTTGGATGCCGTAGTTCGTGAGGTCCTTTTGGGTGGCCGGGAGCGAGCCTGAAGAGGCAGACACGACGGCTGCTGTGGCAGATGTAGGGCTGTTGGAGAGCGGTGGGTATGTGGGTGTGTTATTGTTGCTGTTGTTGGTGGTGTCGGGGGGATAGTAGGGGGAGGATACGGAGGACGAGGTGTGGAGGTATTCTGAGGCGCCTCCTTGGTGGTAGTAGTCGTTTGGGTGCAGACAATTGCTGCCTGTGTTGCTGTCGAACGAGTCGCATGTAGGGTAGTGTATCGAGGAGGCGGTAGATATAGACGAGGAGGAGGAGGACGAGGAGGAGAAATCCCCCGCGCGCCGGAATGGGGCGTAGAACATATTGTTCTCCAGCTCTGGGGCTTCGCGCAGATGCACCCGTTCCATTGTGTAGGGGATGAGGTCGGCCATGTCGGTCATGTCCGGGAGCACGTAGTGTTGCAGGGTTGGTGGGGTGTAGAGGTGCTGTTGGGGTGGGTATGGGGGACACGCGCATGGTTCTGGGGTGTATGGTTGGCGTTTGGAGGGGAGTATAGAGATGCCGAGACCGGCTTGTATATCTATAGCTGGGTAGTCTCCCGCCGGTAGATCGAAGGTGGTGGATGGGTCCATGGTCCCCATCGACTTGAGGAATTTTGCTAGATGGATTGATTGGACACTTGGCGGGGAGGTCTAGTTCTTGTCTAGTCACTAGGGATGTGTCTCTCTCTCTCTGTGTGTGTGTATGTTTTGTATGTATGTATGTATGTATGCAGAGTAGAAGTAGATATAGGTATGATCACAGTTCAGTTCAATTCAATATCCGATGTAGATTCAGTTATAAAAAGAGGAAAAATTCCAGGTAAAGAAAGATGGCAAGCACGGATGATATAGAAGAATTGCAGTAAAGACGCACGAAGAATGATCACTAATAATCATGCAAAATTCGAATAAGAATTGCAACGTCTATTACCCGATCCGACAGATGAAGAAATATATAATATCAGCTGGTGACATCAACAGGGGCCCCACGTTGTAGGGAAAGCCGTTTGGGGAGTAAGACGTGGTGGCTATGCAGTGGTTTCGCGAGCTGACAGTCGAACGGGTTAGGTGGAGGGGTCTAGATGAGTGGTGAGTTCGTGTCTGCAAGTGACTTTGGACCAGAGATATGTCTCGGAAGGCTGTGAGGTACATCCATTGCTGTCGTGGTGGTCTTTTGGGTCCTTGGAGTGATCGCCAGGAGGCATGGACAGTTGGTTGCTTTCTCCATTTCCAAGTTGTTGGTTGGCGTCCACGTGCCGGAAGGAAGTCAAAAACGCAGAAAATCAAAATCAAAACCAAAAAAAAAAAATCAGAGACATGCTGAACCGCCTCAGGATCCTAAACTTAGACTTGGGTCATATACTGCGAACGAATGAGGAACGGGGACGTCAAGGGAAGAGGATCAGAGACATGATGTGGAAGAGCGGGGAGGTGGACTCCTTCTCGATCGGTGGTTTGGGATGATCTGGGGGCGAGTCCGAGTACGCCCGGAGACACAGTCGAAAAAAAGTGCACGACGATTAAAAAAAACACACAATATACTTTCTTGGGAGGTTGAGAAAAAGAATTATTCTTAGCATCTCATTCCGGTGGTTGCCAATCACGGCGGGGAGGTGACCTGGCTGACAGTGCCGGCGGTTTGCTCTGATTTGCTCGCTCGGATAAACAAGTTAGAGATCGACATCCACCCGGCCGCTAGTGATCTTTTGGCAACCGCTGCAGTGATGGCATTGTTCCCACTTTTTCCTCTTTGGCTTTTCCCTGGTAGGGCTGAGGAGACTCACGCCCAGACCACGGTTATGGTCTTTGCGACTTGACTGGATTAGGAGATCTCATTCGAGTCATGGCGCCATTCCAAGCTATGCATGGTTGTGGGCTGTGACTGGTGTTGGTGCTGGAATGCGTGCAGAGACCTGCATCAGTCATCCCGTGTTCGGGGTACCCTGGAAGCCCATCCATGGCTCTATAAGCGAAGGGGAGTCAGAGCCTCAGCCCCTCCGGACTTATCCTGGACCCAAGCCGGGATCCCCGACTCTTGTCTTCACCTCCGGATCCTGTGGCGGTTGTACCAATGGTGTGCATGGCGGAGAACCATCAACGATATCTACGGGGGTGGTGCAATTGGCAATTGGCATCGTCAGACGCGGAAGGCTGGGGCTTCCCAGTTTCAAAGTTTCAAAGCACAAAAAAAAAAAAAAAACAAATGTCCCCGCCGAATCGTTCGACGCCATGGGGATGACCGAATTTAGTTCTTCCCACCGCTCCTCGGGTCCTAGCGGATAAGCCTCATTCCCACCGTTCTTGCAGCGGTTCCAACAGATATGCATAGATCCAAGCCTCGTATTGGTGGACGCCCCCATGTGGAGACGCGCCATCACGATAGCCATTGGAGGGTTAAGCAAATGATGCGCCACCGCAGCTGCAAAAAGAGCGGTGTCACGGTACTTCATCGGTTGACCAGGATGTCGCTTCTTCATCTCATTGCTTCTATACATGCGCTGGTGCGACAAAACTACGTCTGGAGTCGAGTTGAGTCGAGTCGGGTCCGACGTTTCAGCTGACATCTCACTCGAACAGCAATTCTTTGCCCCACAAAGTCTTGACTTCTATCACATTCAGGACCTTCACCTGAGACTAAGGGAGTCCGTGGATCTAATCATAGTTTAAGATGACACTCTCGCCGTTAAGTGGCAAACCCAAATAACAACAGTCTATGAACCAATTCAAAAACGGGAAAGAAGATACCAGCAGAAAAGAATCTATATCATCCTCGCCAATACTACACAGCTTCATCGCCATCTCACCACAGCCCGTTCACACATCTTCAGTCCTCGGTACACCGTTGGACTCGGTCAACAGAGGGGTGGTAACGTCTGGGTCCTGATGCTTGGTAACTTGATCGTCCGCGCCCCTATAGAGAATGTAATGCTGGACCATGAAGAGGATATCAAACAGGATCGAGACGTTCGACAGCAGGAACTTGATAGGGTTTCCCGTGATGCCGCTCCAATCATCCAGGAAGCTCGAGTCGAGAAACAGTTGGATCAAGGACAAGATACCGCCAGCTATATCCAGTAGAATTTGACCGATATGCCAACCGTGGGTGGATTTGCGCTTATAGTTTACCCAAGCCTGCGGCACATACTTGGTAATGGTGACCAGTAGTTTTACGTATGATAGACCGTATACCTAAAATAGACAGTGTTGCATGTTAGTTAGTAATACGCAGGTACGTCGGACCCTTTGGCTGCTTACGACGTCGATCCATCCCCAGGCGGATGGGTCATAGCCTCCATCGGGGCTTTGACCAAGGACGATAAAGATTAAAATAGCGACGGCCACGATAGATCCCCAGAACAGCCCTGCAACTGGCTTACTAACTCGTTGGAAGCGTGAAACCTTAAATCCCCAGACCGCGGGCCAAAATTGCGTGTAAGTTAAGGCACTGAGAATGATAGCGTGGACCGCGAAGGCTAAGTCATTGAATCGCACGGTAGACCCTTCAGACCCGGGATGACGAGCGGCATACTGGTGACGAATCACGGGGGAGTATAGGAAGGCGGCCGTATAGCCAGTGTAGCACACATATCCCAAAGTATTAACGGTGGGGAAATCAATGGCTAGTCCAACTGTCGAACGGCGCCGAAAGTTGGTGATCGGTTGAGGATAAAAGGACGCGGACCAACATAATGTGCTGCACGGGTCAGTCCCCGGTGCGTGCAAGACGTCGTTAAGCCATTTCAGAAAGTAGAGCGAAAGTTAACACAAGGTATAAACGTACTATATCCATCCTAAGAGGCTGTACCATAGAATGCATCAGTGTGACTGAGTCAAGAAGAGCGGGGCTATTCTCCCGCCAAGGCTGGAGCCCATGTCCGCAGCACATACCGAGAAAGGGCTTTGATGAAGATCTCTCGTTGGGACGACATGATCCCGGAATCGAGTGATTTGGATACGCTGAGAGTTCGCAGAATACACGGGAGGAGAGACAAAAGCCAGAATTCACTTCGCCAAGCGACCGGAATCCAGAGGATCAGAACCTCCTTGCCTCGGCGATAACGGGGATGTGAGCTATCACGACTTGTAGGCGCTTATCAATCCAGTGATCCAGGCAGTTCAGCGATGTTTCCCCTTGTTTCGGATCTTTCCGTCGACTCATTGAAGAGTCCGGATATGAAGATTTTACCAGAAGGTTTCTCGCAGGCTTTCAGAAACGGAAGAGAAACGACAATCCGACTGGACTCCTGACACTTGGAGCAGTCGTCATCGATTGGGAGCGACTGATAAGATACGAAGGACCCCGGCATGGCACGCGATACGGCCCAGAACGGCAGGCGGTCCGCGGCTGAGGATTGCTGAGTCAGCGGCTGGTTGTCCGGGATATGCGCTGGCCCGCTAAACCCTAAACGGCAAACAGTTGATCGGAGCTGGAAGAATCCAAATGCATCTACATTCCAGCCTCCAATCTTCCCTACCGTGGCAGACAAGATCGAAACCGCGGTTGGTATGGTTCCCCTGTTTGGTCAATTGATTTGATTTTGGACTTGAATCTAATTGTTCAGGATTCATCGCTGTTGGGCCTGGTTCTTCAACTTCTCATCCTGCCTCGCCTACCTTCCCCGCCTTTCCTTCGTCTTACAATCTACATCCACATCCTGAAGCGCGTACGGTGGTAAACATCCGATCCTCAGTTTCGGCCGAACAAACCTCTTCGGTCTATCGTATTCTTTGCGATCGCTCTCGACAATTCATCTGGTCACTGACGTATCGTGCTCACATCAACATCTCTTATTGGCGCATGGTGCATTCTCTGGTGTGGGGGATCTATTAGATCTCCTTCGGGAATCTATTCCGGCATTCCAGTCTCGCAAGATCGCCATTTGAGACAGCATATTGGCATATAGTTGGAATATACAAAATTACTGGTAACCATGACTGGTAACTCGGATCTCACGGCTCCCGGGAGCAGCACGTATGCCTCGGATACTCTACATGTTGGCGACGGGACATGGGATGCAGGGCGCGATACATTCCTCTTGCCAAACTTGATGGGGATCAATTTTGATACAATGCGATACAATGGTATGTGGGATCTCTGACCTTGGAAGCTCTCGTTCTTACATTGGTGTCAGGCATGGGAAACCGATTCAAGGATATGCCCTACTATCATACCCTAATAGTCGTACATGGTGTTATTGGGACAATCGTATTCCTGGGTCTTGTTCCCATATCTATCTTAATCATTCGATACTACTCTCGATGGAATCCGTTTGTGGCTTTCAAGTTGCATGCCTGGTTCCAAGTCCTAACTCTACTGCTAAGCACAGTTGTGTTCGTCTGCGGGTGGTTTGCAGTTGGGCCGGAAAGGAGTCTCACAAACCCTCACCACGGAATTGGACTGGCGATCTATGTCATGGTTGTCTTTCAGATTCTGTGGGGATGGTTTCTCCACAAAGTAGAAAGCAAGCGGCAAAGATACCGAGTGCCTTTGAAATTAGTGGTCAGTTGCGAAGAATGCTATACCCCAACACTCACCTCGAGAGCTAACTTCATATTCCCAGATCCACCGATGGATTGGCCGGGCTCTTGCCATTCTAGGACTCATTCAGATTCCCTTAGGACTCACCCTTTATGGTTCGCCAAAGTCGCTTTTCATATTATATTCTGTCGCTGCCTTTGCCCTCTTGGTTACGTTTTTCGTCCTGTCGTACCTGTATGATGATGAGGGATATCCACCGGGACCAGACTATGACAACCGACATAGCTATGTCTCCGGACCTCCAGGCCCCGGCCCTGCTGGTCATCGCCAGAGCAGTTTCGGGCGAATGGCTGCCGCGGGAGCCGCAGGAGCAGGACTAGCTTCACTCTTCAGGCGTCGCTCTCGAAGTAGGGGAAGAGATGGTTATGAGGACTCTCAGACTTCTTATATGTCGGAAAAGTACTCAGATGAAGGAGCCCAACGCAAAGGCTGGGGTGACAAACTGCTTAAACTTGGTGCGGTGGGCGGTGGCGCTTTCCTCGCTAAGAAGTTCTTCGACAGGAGACGAAACCGAGATAATGATGCCGAATCTGGCCAGTATCGGCGCGCCCATAACCGAAGTGACAGCATGACAGAGACTACGATGAGTAGGATGGAAGATGGACGACGACCCGAACCAAGTCATAGAACCCTCTCAATCGCCCACCGAGCCGACCCCCGAGTAGACCTCAGAGTCCCGGGTCATCATACTACTACAATACAACTTACTTTTCCGATAACGACCATGACCGACCTAATAAAGCTCGAAATGCCCTGTTTGGTGCGGGCGCCTTTGCAGCCCTCAAAAACATGTTTACTCGTCGCAAGGCCAATGATGACGATCGTCGTGTAGAAGATATGCGCCGTCGGGAGATGGAGGAGGAAAGGCTTGCACGAGCAGACAGCAAACGACGCTATACTGGGGATGGGTACCCACCTCGCAGACGAACCGACTCCTTCACCGCAACTGACATCTCATCTACTGAGCTGACGCGACCTCCGCGTGGGCCCTCACACGGAGAATCAGCTTTAACTGGTGATCCGGCCATGTCTGGAGCAATCGATGGGCATCATTCTGATATACCCCCAGGTGCGCCTACCTCGGAAATGCCAGGTCAGGCTCCCTCTCGACTTGATCCTTCTGATATTGCGGCTGGGGCAGCCGCTGGAAGTACCCTGGGTGCTGCCTCCGGCCATCGCCGCCGAAGCAGCAGCAGGCATCGGAGCAGCAGCAGGCACCGGAGCAGTAGTCGACACAGAGATGATCACACGAGCTCCCCACCAGTATCGGTGAAAGTCAAAATGCACAACGATGGTCGGCATGTCACACTCCGAAGGTTAACAGAGGAAGAGGCAGCTGCAAGTCGCGAAGCAAGACGTAGAGAACGGAGAAATTCTCGTCGTCGCGCCGGAAGTGCAAGCTCTCTGTCAGGCAACGAAGGTAGCTACGACCGGTGGCGCCGCGTTGAAGAACTAGAGCGTCAGCAGCACGAACGAATGCAACGAGAACAGGAAGCTGCCGCTGCTGCTGCCGCCGCTGGAATGTCCACAGCCCCATCTGGAAGCGTGCCTCCACCACCTTTTCCGCCGCCCCAAAACATGAGCCATATGGCTCCCCCTCCCCCGCCACATGTACCTTCCAGTCTGCCGTATGGCCCAGGGAGCGTCACATCCCCTGGTACATATACCGGTACAGAAGCAAGCGGATACGCCAGCAATCGGCGACGAAGACGAGCGGAACGAGCTCGCGCCCGACAAGAACGACAACACAGCGTGGAATTCACTTGACGGATGTCTTCGGCGGGCACTTTCCCCTCTGAATCTCTTTTCACATGTATAGATGTTTCGTGGATTTCGATGTCGTATATTTCACTCCCGTTGTGCTTTTCCCCTTTTTGTTCTTCATTTATTACGATTTACCCCTTGATATCGACACGATGAAATGGCAACTTAATGATGCATGCAAACGTTGATCCTGTCTAGTCTCTCTTTTAGCCCTAGGTACCATAACTCAGAAGGGTTGATGCAACACTCTTCAATGGTTATGATAACCGAAAGGGCCCTGAACAGAAATGTAAAATCATGGACAGGAAAACCTACGCCAAAAATGTACGTACATACCTCAACTACGGGATGAGGAAATGGATATGGATATGGGTATGGGTTCTGGATGGGAGGGATATGTGTCGATTCAGTATATGGCGTTTCTCTTTTATTCATGTTTGTGGCTTCTTTCATCTGTCTAGTATCGGCTTTTTTCCCCCTCTTATGATGTGTTGTTATGATTTCGCCTTTGCATTTGACCTTAGAATTCTAATGGGTTTGTTTCCTGCATCTCGTTTCTTCAAAGCTACTGTTGCCTTGGAAATAGTATACACACTTCAACGGATTTGATGAATAAATCGTAGAAGTCTGCATTGTCTTCTTAGAAATGACCCTAACCCAAGGATTGATACAAATGAAACCACATGATTATCGTTTAGGACAAAGAATAACACAAGAAAGCAAGGCAGGTAGTCACACGCCGTCGTCTAAGCTTGAATTATCCTTATATGGCCGTATCTGTGTTTAAATCTGACATAATTTGTGCTAATATATGCTACTCACAGCCAGTGGAAGGATGGTGTAGTCAATAAATGACTAGGTAACATAACAACGAGTGTTTTGATTAGATCTTATATAACTATGGTTAATAGGGCAAAGGCCGGGGGGAAGCGCAGGAGTCATGACAATACGCTTCATAGACAGGCAAGACACTAGAAAGGATGCTATAGAAGCACGTGTTTGGGGGGTCAATAAAGAATAATAATTGGTTATAGTTCTACACGTTCAAGGCTGGAATCGCGAGTGGATATGTACATCAGGTAGTTTATTTGAGGTGAGCCTGGAGGGTCTCGAGCACCTTTATAAAAGATTAGCTGGCCGCTCATTTTGTTTCCACAAGGGAACGTGGGTTCTACTCACCTCGAGCTCAATCTTAGCCTCAGCGATATCCTGCTCACTGCCGCTGCCACTGGCGATCTTCTGGGCCTCGGCGATCTGGTTCTTGACGGCCTGTGGGGAAAAGCATTCGTTAGTACGTATCTCAGGATACAGGTCGGGATTCGGGACATACGTCGGAGCTGAAGTCCTCAAGAGGGAAACCCTCAACAGCGTTGATGCTCAACTGGGAGTCGGGCTGGACAACGGCGAATCCACCGGAGACTGTAGCAGCACGAGTTATGCATGTCAGCGTTGTTCAATATTGCATTGATGTAGCCGCATCGACCAGTCCTGGCTCGGGGCGCGGTGTCAACATGGGTCGTCGGACGTACGGAAGAACTTCTTGGTAGCACCACCCTCCTCAACGACCTCAACAAGACCGGGCTTGAGCTGCTCAATGGAGGGGACGTGGTTGGCGAGAACACCCATCTCTCCGGACTCGGCGGGAATGTTGACCTGGACACTAAATGAAAAAGATCGTAAGTACAGCTGCGAACGAGGCAGGGCCGACCCTCAACTCTCGGTAGGTCGGAATTCGGAACAAACGTACACGCCGGTCGACTTGAAGATGGTCTGTGAAGTAGGAAATGGATTAGTTAAGGCACCATATACGTGTGCAAGGAGGGAACCACGGGGTCGGGCGTACCTGGTGAGGAAGGACCAGGGAAAGCTTGATCTTGTCGTTCACGGCCTCGGCGTAACCTCTGCGCTGGAGAGGAACGCGGAAGGCAGAGGGACGGGCCCGGAGGGCAGAGCGAGCGAAGCGGAGAGAGCTCATCTTGCAATGGATGGGGAGGAGACGACGGTGATGGTATCCCTCTTGGACCTGTGTTTGAGTTGCAAAGGTCGAAGTCGGATGCCGGTTGTTCCCTAGCGGCTCTTGTCCGGTCACGTGGCGGGAATTCCGAATCCCCAGCAAAAGTCTTGCAAGTCTTTTCTACTACAACTACTACTATCACCAGACAATGTCGGCTACATGGATTACTGTCCCTCATCTCTGGATCATTCTTTCCTGGAGTTTTCTCATATTCTCCGTATGGTGTGTGTTATGTGCAGACGCAGGATTGCGATCCATACAGGCTTACTCTAAATGGGGAACCTGATAGTCAACTCAATGCAGACTATCGCAGTTCCGACCTTCGAAATTACGGGTGCTTCAGGCTAATGTACCTTCAAACAAGCATGGCTCTGATATTGAATGGGTCTTGACCGGCAGTATGAGTGTTGGAACTAAACACCATATTTTGATATCACGTGAACAAATAGAGTTGGCATGGCATTTCTTTAGTCATCCGGTCACGGGCCGATGTTGATTAGTACCTTAGAGATGCCTATGGAGGACCCCGTCTTCAGGTTGTTTTAAACAGTATAATAATGTCTCTGTCGTGGATAATAGAAATTGAATTCAGTTAAATGACCTCTTAGTATATACACCTCAGAACCTGTCCATAGCCCGAATAATAGTAATTGTGCATAATAAACGGTAAGCTCCTATACCTAAGGACGTAAGGCACCAAAGGCGCTAAGCCGCGGACGGTAAGCGAAATCCCACAAACGGGAGCCCTAAAGGCGGAGAGAGTCTCTGCGCCTTCTGCTTCAGTTCAGGGTAACCTCACTCGCCAACTCATCGTCAACCGTCTCCCAGTTGCGACAAATCCGACAAGATGGCCAGTACGTGGTGATCCCCTGGTTCTCCCTGGATGAATATGGAGATTTTGGTCCTGGCATCATTTCCCAAAATGACGGGATCTTTGGACTTCGTCGTTCGGAATCGCTGACGTCTTACCTTTGACAGAGTCTAAGAACGCCTCTCAGCACCACAACAGCCAGAAGGCTCACCGTAACGGGTGCGTACCATTCGATCCTTATCCTTCCTGAAACACGACGTCTTTCGACCGGAGGGGGATTGCGGCGATATGTTGTATTGTTGGGTGTGGTGGGCGGTTTATTTCGACAGCGAACCCGATCGAGATCAGATCCAGCAATGCAACATAGCTCAGCCAACACCCCTCTGCGATGGATACTACGAAATGAAACGATGAGGAGCAGGCCGCTGACATACTTGACTCGCAACAGTATCAAGAAGCCTAAGACTCACCGTTACCCCTCCCTCAAGGGTGTTGACCCCAAGTTCCGCCGCAACCACCGTCACGCTCTTCACGGAACCATGAAGGCTCTTGTACGTTGATCATCTCCCCTCTCCACACCAACGCACTCGGACCACTCGCCAAGCACAATCTTAAAAAGATAAGACCGGCTAACAATTGCTACAGAAGGAGCGCAAGGAGGGCAAGCGTGAGGTCGCATAAATCAACTTAATTTAGAAATGAATTAAAAATGGGAGCGCATTGAGTTGGTGTTTCACACGTGCCATGATCCCAGGCGTCCTGTCGGATAGACCCTCTGGCTGGTCCCGCGCAACGGTTGCTAAATAAGACAATATGATTCGATTCCACGACATGGCCTGACACTTGTTTTCGTTCTTCCTGTGTGTTTTTGGTCAGTAGGTTGTGCAGTTCCACAGCCCTTATGATGGGCTTTCAATGTTCGTATGAACAGGCATATGTGTGTACAGCTTCGTGCTTATTTTCATGCGCGCTTGCTGAAGGATTTTTTCAACGTGCCGAGAGAAGATTCCATGCCCTCCAATTACCAAACACCTTCTGCCTTGACTCTGTGGCCAGTGGGTGCATGGACGGAGGGCTACATTCGTAAACCAGAATAGCAATCAATTCATTTATACTACATCCATTCATTTACGTTGTCATAATTGTTTCTCCCTTATCTGAACCCAATGACGTTGACCGTCAGATATGATACACGACCCAGGTATCTTCATGCAAACTCAAGTAACCACCAACCCTACGAAGCTATACCATCAAGCCTTCCAAACAATCAGCCTCTTATCAAACCCCCCACTAACCAACCACTCCTCCCTCACCACCTCCCCATCCCTCAAGACATCTACCCAACCCGCCCAAATCGTCCGAATCTTAGACCCAGCCACATGCCCATCCTTCAACACTGTAGCCACCTTCCCAGTCCTAGTCTCCACCCCCCGAATCACCCCATCATCCCCATTAACCCAGACACCCGAACCATCCGGTCTCCAGGCAACCTGCGGCGTCGAATACGCCGTCTGCGGCGCAAACGTATTTGCCTGGATCACGATGGCAGCGTCCTCCCGATTCTGAAGTGACAGCGCCGCGAGAGCCTGCGTAGCCTGTGTCTCCGGCTCTGGACCGTCGGCGTTATCATCCGTAGATGGGAACAGAAGCCGCACAATGATAACCTTCATATGTGGTAGAGTTGAGGTAGCGACCGCCAAGAGGCCCGGGTCATGGGGGCTGAGGGCGAGACAGGACGGGGAGAAGGCGATCCACGCGTTGGAATGGGGCGCCAGGTTCTGTTTGCCAAGGAGGGTGCATTCGTACGGTTGGTGTTGGACCTGGTAGTAGTACAGATGGGTGGAGTCGCGCCTGGCGACGAGCAGGAGTAGTTCCTTTGTGTCCGGGTGTTGGACGAAGAGCAAGGACTCCGGGTTCGAAGCTAGGGTGATGCATGCGACGGGCTCGCCGATCGCTATGGGGCCTTCGTCTGCGAGATCTAGACGGTAGAGATGGACCTTGGAGTCCCAGCCGGCTGTGGCTACCCATATGGGTCTCTGTGGGGAGTCGTGGTCTTCGAATGCGACTACTTTGACGGCGTATTTGGCGTGGTCTTTTCTTTTGTCGAGGACCTCGGCGTTCCGTTGTAAGAGGAGCTGGCCCGACATGTTGGTTAAACAGACGTACTCGCCATTGCAGATAGAGACGTATGATAGGATCGGGGACTCGGAGAGTCCTGGGAGTGAGCTGAAGATGGCATTGTCGGCTTCTGTCTTGAAGAGATGGAGCTGTTTGTCTGCGCCTGTGGCTATGAGACGAGATGGTGTGTCTTGGTTGTCCTCATTGCTCTCTGGGTGTCCCCATGGATCTACGGAGCAGGCGAGGATGTTTGATGATGTTGGCGTCTCTACGATTTTCGGGTTGGAAGGTGCTGTATGTCGTGTTAGCCAGGCTGGGGGGGGGGGTTTGTCTAGGAAGGGAGAATATATATCTATCTGTAAGGAGAAACGCAAAGGGACTCACCAGGAACGCTCCACTCATCTTTTGCTTCTTCGCCATACCGTTCAAATCCCAAAGTCTGATCAAAGGCTTTCTTCTCCTCGAGTACGCTCTCGATCGTCCAGTTGTTTCCTTCTTTGTTGTCTGTTACCTGCCCCGCGTCGGCGGGCAATCCCGCTTCACGGATGAATGCATCAAGAGTCTCGGCGTAATTGTTGCTTCGTAGAAAGCGGGCTACCAAAATACTCGCCAACTGAGGGCTTTGGGACGTTGGTGGCATTTCGGCTTATTTTTCCTGGGGTTTAGGTTGGGATGTTAGTTGGAAGTCGTGATAAACACCGGGGTCGATAACCATAACTTTTATCTTAAGAGGTTCGGGTCATATCATTCCGTATGTACGGCACATTGAGTTTTCAAGAATCTAGCCAGTGTATTATACATGTCCGTAAAAAAGCGAGTATGCAGATTTTAAGTATGGAGTGGCCATAGAAAAGATCAAGAAAGTAAAAAAGCAAAGAGGAAAGTATTGGTATCACAAATTGGATGGCGTCATTCGACACGTTTTCTATCTGATTCTCAAAGGCTCCCTGGTTCCCGATTATACCGAATGATTGTCGATTCACGTTTCTCGCCGATGTGCAATTTCTAAAAGCTTTTCAGCTGAACATATCCTCCGCCCTCCGTCGTGGCCCTCCTCGGCCCTCTATCTTATCCGAGAACAGCTCCTTGCCAGCGTTGGATTTGTACTTGGATGGGAAGAGCTCGCGAACCGATGCGCCTCGTCCTTTAATTGAGAGACCATTTGCCGCGCCACGAATCGAGAACCCTTGGTCTGGGCCAGCGGCTCCACGGATATTGACCCCCCTCTCCTCAGACTCTGGGAAAAGCTCGACGTTTTTGTTCCGTCGTTGATCGCGAGAACCATCCACAAGAGGGACTGAGATTCTCTTCGAGAATAGATCGGCCGTTTCATCCGCAGCATCAATGGCATCCGACCGACGGTGATTGCTGTGCTTACTGGGGAACAGCTCCTTCTTGAGATAACTGGCCGCTGGTTTATTCGGGAATAGCTCTCGCGAGTCGGCATCGGCATCAGCCTCGGCACCGGAAGATTTCGAAGATGGAAAGAGTTCCTTGCCTTTATTCCGGCGATCGATCTGAGGCGACCTCTCGCGGAAGTGCCTGCGCGAGTCGCGACGATCATGCTCCGAATACCCGCTCTCCATCAACGTATCGCGACCTGGAGAAGCACTGCGATTCTGAAGGCGCCCTGAAGGACGTCCTTCATCCGATGGAAACAGTTCCCGGTCCCGGTCCCGGTCCCGGCGTCGACCTCGCTCATCGCGACCTCTTCCCGTCTCGGAATAATCCGTGCTAGCTGCCCCCGAATCGTCATACATATTAGCGCTAATAATTTCATCTCCGTCACGATCCCTCCGTCGCCGCAGCTCCCGGCCGTCGAACCGTCTCCGCCTGTAATCCCCATCGTCCCCGCCACCTTGGCGTCGTCTATCGTCGAACTCCCGTCGCAGACGCTCGCGAGGATCGTGTTCAGGGTGCATAAGATAGAAACGACTGGCTTCATGGGCGCGGGGCTTCTTGCGATCGCTCTTCACGGCCGATCTCACCTGGAGTACGGAATCGGGGTGGGAAGGGAGGAGTTTAGCGGATCGGAGTCGCAGCGCCGGTAATTCAGACGTATCTTCTTCTTCACTAGCCTGCGTAAGGGCCGACAAAGCCTGCAGACCGATTTCAGGCGAGGAGTAGATGAGATTTGCCGATGTGTCATCGATCCATTCGACTCGGGAAGGAGCTTCGAGGGTGAAGTGCTCGTTCGCAAATTGCTTGATATTATCCGTCGTCAATTCGTCGACACCTCTGACGTGTACTTTCTCGTACTGGGCTTCTGAAGACTGGGGATCTACGGCTCCATCTTGAAAGGGAATTGTTCCGCCCATTGGGTCCTGAGTCGTGCGACGAGGGTTAGACGAGACATGGTGGGCATCTTGGATGCATTCATACTCACAGTTTCGATTGCCTCGGCTTCCGGTAATGGACCAAGGTCGAGGTCCATGTCGATATCCATTGACGCATCCATGGCGTGGTCACCGTTCGAGGCGGAAGGCTGTTGTACGCCGGCGACCTCCATTGCGGGGAGGGTCACTTGCGGACTAAATGGAATGTGGTTGATACAGTAAGGAAGATGTGTAGCACACACAAATGTAATTTGGAAAAACTCAGTTTATAATAAAGCGGGGAGGAGAGGGATATGAGAAAGATATGAATCAATCGCGAACTGAAGCTTTGGAGGTGCCGGCGATGAGCAGTAGTTACTGGGCTCACCGCTCGCAGGCGGCGACGGGCTTAATTTTTAGTTGGTAGCTATAAATCACTCTCAGATAATCATTGATTTCTCTCAAGTGTATGATAAATCAATAAGAATAAAAATACGTTCCATTTCATTATTTCTCAGTCCAGTTTACTTTAGTTCCGGTATATTTCGTTCAGGCTCTGTCACCACTATTGTCTACAACACCTTCCGCAGGACTCGTCTTCCGTGCATCCGCATCATGCGCGTTGACCTGATAAGTAGCGAACTGCCTGGCGGGCACTTTCTGATGAAACATCACGTCCAGCTCGTCATACGTTCTGCCTCTGCATTCTGGTAGTCGAAAGAATGCCCAGACGGCGGTCACCGCTGCGGTTGCCGCCCAGACGAACGCCGTCTTGCCCTTCAGGTTAGCCTCAGTCGGATTGATCAGATAAGGTTCGACGACTTGGGCAACGATATTGGTGATATTGTAGACGTTGCGTGATAGGCAAACTGATTTCGCTCTCAAATGAATGGACGACGTCTCTGAGATAATAGTGTAGGTAACTGGACCCAGCGTGACGGAATAGGTGAAGAGCCAAACCAAACACAAAGCAGCTTGCCCCCATTTCGCGCTGCTGGACTCAGATGCCGCAGCAGTGATTCCGATGATCAGCAAGAAACCGGTCAGACAGGCAATGCCAGTCACATATAGTTGGCGTCGACCAAACCGGGTCAGCAAGAACCACGAGATGACAGTCCCGACAAAGGAAATCGCCGTACCCCCTACCGAGATCTGGTAGGCATTTTCGGTACTGATTCCCGCCTGGACGAAGAAGTAGGTGGGAGTGTAGGCAAAGGCCGAGCCTGACAGTACTTGACCTGCGAAACTCACACAGACAATCTCGGTGCGGCGCCGGTCGATGCCTCGGAAACAGTCTAGATAGCTAGACCCGGACTCCAACTTTGACTCTAGCTCAAGTGTATGCATGATCTGCGCTAGAGTTCTCTGGTGTGATTCGCGGCCTCGGGTGTCGAGCCGGGCAAGAGATTTAAATGCATCATCCATACGATTGTTTCGTGCTAACCACCAGGGGGACTCTGGCGCAAACATAATAAGGAGGAAGAGAGGAACAGGCCAGATCCATTGTAGAGCATAGGCAATACGGTAAGACCACTCGCTCTCGATCTTAAGCAAGCCGTAAAGGGCACCGGAGGCGATAAATTGACCCATGGCCCAGCAGAGATTCACGTAGCAAGTTAAATATCCACGGAGAGCAAGTGGACATACTTCCGAGGCGTAGGCTGGGGATGATGTCGCAAAAATGCCCCAAGCGAGCCCGCACAAGATTTGCCCGACGAGAAGCACAGGTGCTGATGGAGCGAAGAAGAGAATGAAAATGAACCAGTTCATAAAGAAGAGGGCCGCCAGAAGGACTCTCTTATATCCGAATCTTGTAGACAAGTAGCCGTTCATGAAGCCGCCAATCACGATCCCAACGTTGGCACCATTGCTAAGACCTGCCTGCCAGGGCCCAGTGACTATGTAGTCCCCTTGCTCTGGACGGTATGACCCGAATTTTTGTTGGAACGCAGGGTACGTAAAGAACTGGTAGATTAGGACTATTGCACCGTTACTAAATTCCCAGCAACTCAATGAAACAGCAGTATGCACGATAATGCTCACCAACATCATATCCTTCCATAATGATCGACAACGAGATAGCGGCAGACCACAACACAGCTTTATAGTTGTGTCTCAGGGCCTCCCATACGGTAGCTTCATGCTCATCTGTAGAGGCCTGTAGGGCGTCCTTGGTTGGAACCGTAGTTTCTACGGCATGTTCTATGTGAGCACTGTGCTCCTTGGAAACGTCTTCGTCGATTCTCATGTTTAGAAGTACAATGCCCACGAGAAAGACTGAGAGAGAGAGAGGTGTCTGACCTATGTATTCCAGATACGAGGAGACATGACGTATTTATAGCTTCGATGAGTGTCTGAGAGGCAATTCCTCCACGAGCAAACGCATCATTCTGCTGCATCCTAACTTTAAAGCAGTAGCCAAGACACCGGACTTTGTCCATTTCCTGGGGTAAATGAAATGCACCCCGCAGGATTGACACGGTTCCCCATGGGGTACGGGGTACAGCATGTGTCGTGAGCGTTACATGGTTTAACCTATTGGGCTTTCATTCGACCGAGGATCCTGGACGACATTTCTCAGGTATCTGAGTGCTTGAACCGGAGAGCCTGTCCTTCATCGGAGGCAAGCGTGGGGGTTTCAGTGAAACGCTTGTGTTGGACAGGAGTATGGCATCGTCTGGATTAAGATCCTGTTGGATAGAAGGACCACTGCCAAGCTTAGAGAGCATCGTGTGATTTCCCCTAGTGGCACTGTATACACAATCGGACTGGAGAATCCGACGTTCTAGATACCAATTGGGAATGCTATGGAGATCCATGGAGTACAGGACGTCATGTAAATGCGGGGGAGAAACCGAGAGATCGGAGCCTCCACATTTTTATCTCGCAGGTAAATCATTGCTCTTCTCCACAGGAAGGCCGTTGGTGTTATTTTCTCCAGCCTTGAGGCGTCGTACAAAGTGCGGCGGTCTTTAGGCTATAATCTCATGTACCAATCCGAAGAGCGCTTGCCCGCCGGTTAATATGGATAAGTAGATCTCAGAGTTCCCCCACCACCACCGGAGCTCCTCCGCAGGGGAACTGCCCATTGTCGTTATATACCGACGGCTGGAACCCCGGCGTTGGTCGCATTGCTGCATGTGTTGCAGGGGGCCGTTGTGTTGGTGAGACCAAGTCCCCACGAGGGGGAGCACAGCACCACCACTCGCTCTGATCATTTAATGACTCCATGTCCCCCAAGTTAACAATTGATTTCTTCTCCTATTGAGACCGCAGTATTTTGTTCCTAACCCTCTTGAACCAGTTGAGCCCATTATAATACGTGACCAACTTCAATCTCCCCATCATGCTCTATGCTGAAGACGACAAGCTCATCTTTCGCTTCGATGACCATCTTCTTTGGATTCAGTCATGGGGTGAGAACGCATTCAGAGTGAGGGCGACGAAGCTCCCATCGATGCCCACCGAAGACTGGGCGCTATCCACAACACCCAGCTCAAGTCAGCCCGTCATCGAGACCCCGGAAGGCAAGGAAGCCAGCATCTCCAACGGCAAAATCAAAGCTGTCGTCTCCCAGCGCGGCAAGGTCATCATTTACGACTCCAAGGGAAACAAGCTCCTGGAGGAATACGCTCGCCATCGTCGTGACCCCAAAGATCCAAAATGCAGTGCCTTGGAGGTCGAAGCTCGCGAACTGCGAGGAATCCTAGGGGGCGATTTCCATCTCACCATGCGCTTCGAGTCCCTCGATCCCAAGGAAAAGATCTTCGGGATGGGTCAATACCAACAGCCATCTTTGAACCTCAAGGGTGCCGATGTCGAATTGGCACATCGAAACTCCCAAGCCAGTGTCCCCTTTGCGATCTCCTCCCTCGGGTACGGCTTCTTGTGGAATAACCCTGGGATCGGACGGGCTGTTTTTGGAACAAATACCATGAGCTTCGAGGCATATTCCACCAAGGCGCTGGATTACTGGGTCGTCGCAGGTGACACGCCAGCAGAGATTGAGCAGGCATACGCTAAGATGACTGGCTACGTCCCGATGATGCCTGAGTACGGCTTAGGGTTCTGGCAGTGCAAGCTCCGGTACTGGAACCAGGAACAGCTGCTTAACGTGGCGAGGGAATACAAAAGGCGACAGATCCCACTGGACCTGATCGTCATTGACTTCTTCCACTGGAAACATCAAGGTGACTGGAGCTTTGATCCTGAATTCTGGCCTGATCCTGGCAAGTTGTCCTTCACAACACCACAGATATAAATATTGACTGACATCTACCTCAAATAATAGATGCTATGATCAAAGAACTCAAGGAACTGAGCGTGGAACTAATGGTATCCATCTGGCCTACCGTGGAAACCACGTCCGTGAACTACCAAGAGATGCTCGAGCGAGGCCTCCTAATCCGCCACGATCGCGGGCTGCGAATCGCCATGCAATGCGATGGCGATATCACACATTTCGACGCCACCAACCCCGAAGCCCAGAAGTTCATCTGGCAAACTGCAAAGAAGAACTACTACGACAAGGGCATCCGGGTCTTCTGGTTAGACGAAGCGGAGCCCGAATACAGCATCTACGATTTCGATATATATCGCTATCACGCCGGCCCCAATATGCAGATCGGAAACATCTTCCCCAAAGAGTACGCACGGGCATTCTACGAAGGTATGGAGGCCGAAGGGCAACAAAACATCGTGAATCTCCTCCGTTGTGCCTGGGCCGGCAGCCAGAAATATGGTGCCCTTGTCTGGAGTGGTGACATTGCATCGTCCTGGAGCTCATTTCGCAATCAACTGGCTGCCGGACTGAACATGGGATTAGCTGGGATCCCTTGGTGGACTACGGATATCGGCGGTTTCCATGGAGGTAACCCGGATGATCCCGCATTCAGGGAGCTTTTTACTCGGTGGTTTCAATGGGGGACGTTCTGCCCGGTGATGCGTCTGCATGGTGACCGCGAACCGAAGCCGGAGGGACAGCCTACTGCGTCGGGATCAGACAATGAGGTCTGGTCATATGGAGAGGAGATCTACGAGATTTGCAAGAAATACATTAACATTCGCGAAGAGCTCAGAGACTACACTAGGAGCTTGATGAAAGAAGCCCATGAGAAGGGCTCCCCGGTGATTCGGACTTTGTTCTATGAATTCCCGGAAGACAAACTAGCATGGGATATCGAGACAGAGTACA